CCCGGAACAACAATGTTTGGATCACACAAAGAGCCGTTCCGTGCGGGAATGGAACCCGCGACACGTTGCACGTAGCCAGTTGCCTAGCCACCGCACCAACCGTGCTGTCGGAACGGATATTATACAAGTACCTACATAGTTTACGAACATATTTTTACCCAAAAAAATTGTGCGTAATAACGTCTCACGGTACATGAATGACCTTCAATATTGAAAACAATGCTTTGTACATAATCTTCACATAAATTTAATACAACACTACGTATGTATGTACTCGTAATTAACTAAAATCCATATTTTACTAATATGAATGAAAAAAGTATCTGTTTGTTTGTCCGTCTTTCTCGGCTAAGCGGAGCGACGAATTAGATGAAGGAAAGTGCGAATGACATAGACTTTTTTTATCTCTTTCTAACATTCTATTTCGAAATGGAAAGTCATGCTTATAAAACAGCCTCAATAACGAATTGTGTATTATTTTCTAAGTTTTAAATCATACTGAAAGGGGAACCGTGTTGTTCGAGTTTAACGCGATCGAATTATATTATACTAGCTTCCGCCCGCGGCTTCGCCCGCGTCAAATATCTTTTGTCAATCCTGGTCCCTTATGTTTATGAGACTCTTACAGGGGCCAGCCCAGGAGTACCATTTTCAAATTCCACACTTCTTGTGGAATTTGAAAACGGTACCCCTCTTGCTCATTGCTAAATAAGCGGGTATTGTAGTGCGTCATAAAACTTGTGTGTGTCGGACACCCGGATCAATGTGTTATCATGGGCTTGAAAAACAATATCGCGCGATGTGAACTGTTCACCACACACCATGGCAGCGACTTCGTTTATTAAGGGTGCATTATAACGTCTTTCATGTTCCCCGCTTGGCGTACGATCTGCGAGTATTACTAATTTGTGATTTTCCCGTGGCATTTTTTCTAAGGCTGTTTTGAAGGTGTTACTGAGGTTATTATGTTCGTGCAACATTCTTTGAATTTTTAAAAAAGTGTTCCTCTCATCTCCTTCAATATTTTGACATCAACGGTCAATCTCGCTGTTTTCGTCTCCCATTAAATAAATCTGTAGAAATTTTGGTTGATCATTGTTTGTGGAAAGCAAAGAACCAAAACATGATAAACTTGCCCTTGTACCGTAAATGTGGGTGAAAATCCAGGCCGCAATAATGACAGGAAAAATCTCCTTTCCGTTGCTCCTCGGGGTCACCAAGCGTTGGTACTGATACTTTGCCTCCAGAACAGCACATACCTAGGGTCTATTCCTTCCACTTGAGTGCCTCACAGTGTTTGCATTTATTGGCCATTCTACCTATGAGGACTAATCAATGATTAAAGTAATCTGCGGCTATGTACGAAGCTTGACGCCCAGCATCTAAGATTTGGCGAGCTTGGGTCTGTTGGGAAGTCTCAGCAGCTCTTTGATCCGCGTGACGCTCGGCATCAATGATTTGGCGAGCTTGGTACTGTGAGAGGTCTCAGCAGCTCTTTGAGCCGCGTGACGCTCGGCATCAAAGATTTGGCGAGCTTGGGACTGTTGAGAGGTCTCAGCAGCTCTCTGAGCCGCGTGACGCTCGGCATCAATGGCTTGGCGAGCTTGGGTCTGTTGAGAAGGTCTCATTTCAGTGATCTGGCAAGTTTAGCAGCCCGAGCTCTGCTAGAGCTTTTAGCTAAATTGGACTTTCGTTTGCGAGGCATCGTAGAACAACAAAAATGAAATGAATCGAACAAAACAGATGTACAGATTAAGATTTATTATATTAAAAAGGCTGTCTTCACCATACCTGCACCTACTTGGATAAGTACTTATTTACAACCAATGCAAAAAAGTAGGATACTATTAGATTAATTGAATAAAAAAAGGAAATAAAAGCAAATCGTATTTATTTAAAGTAACGGAAACTGTGTTACCTACTTGTAACGTTGTAACTATGAACTAAAAGAAATATAAGTACGTGCAAAATAATTTTACTGGATCGAAAAATGTAATTCTCTAAAGCGCAAATTTCTCTTATCGCACCCGACAACGACCTCTGTCCTCACGTGTCTGTCCGTTGGGGTACACATAGTTAGATTCGTGCGCTTCCGCACCACACGACAGCGCCGCGCCGCACTTCGGCGAATGTGCGCGACGCCGACGGCAGCGGCGGCGATGCAGAGTGTTCATTAAAAGGAATTTATACTTCGAAAGTGAACTATTTTGTAACTTGATAAACCCAAAACTTCTAAATTACATGTTCCTAGGTTCAATAGTTAAGATTTCGTATACCTACATAAAGGTTGGCTTTGTAGATCCCGTTCCGAATCCGTTCCGGGTCTTATTTTCAATTCATCCCCTATTTAACTACATATCACACTGATAAAATTTTCAAAATGCTAGTACAGAAGATTTTTTGTTTCTTATGACGTGATATTTGACGAAATTGCATACTAACTTTCAACCCTTATTTCACCCCCTAGCTGGTCGAAATTTAAAAAATGCTAGAACAAATATTTCATATTTTCTTATCAAGTGCTTAAATATTAAGTTTTATGGTTTTATCTTTAAAAAATAAGAAATCCCATACAAACTTTTAACCCCTATTTTAACCTCTTTATCTCGGATTTTCGAAAAAAAAAATAGCCTATGTTCTGTCTCAGGGTCTAAAGATTATCTGTACCAAATTTCATTAAAATTGGTTGCGAAGTTTAAGCGGGAAAGCGTAACAGACAGTCAGACAGACAGACAGACAGACAGAGTTACTTTCGCATTTATAATATTAGTTAGGATAATCGGGTTAAAGCAAGTAATCAATAAATTAAATGAGTAAGCTCTACTAGTTTCAAGGCACAGCGGGACTCTTATAGTGCAAGTCGCGGCGGCGACGCGCAGCCGACTTTCGGCCGCAGTTGTTCTAACTTAATGCACGGAATTCGTCACTTTTAATTAATTTTGTATGCCACAATATGCAGTTACTATTCAAAAATAACTACCTAGTAATAAAAATATATATACACGGATATAAAATATCTAGTTATGTAGGTAACCTAAACGTGAAGAATTAAAAAAGCTTGCATATCTAATAATATCAAAACATGACGTCATCTAGTCTTCAAAATAGTCCACCGAATTGCAAATACATTATAGCGAAATGACAAATCACGGGTCGACTTGAAGCAGAACAAGGGACATGGTGGTTTTTAGCAGGGATGTTATGGAAAATTTTGGATACGGATATAGGAACGATTATTACACTAGGTACAATTACGGACAATTATTTGTTTCTGGCAATTACGCTTTCGGATATTAAAATTTAAAGGAATTTCAAAAGTAAAATACAAATAGCTAATATAATGGTCTCATTTATCAGCAGCGCGCGGCTTGTGTGTCGGCTGCGCCCAGCCGATCAAAACCACTACCCATAACGTGTCTCAATTAGGCTCCGCCCCTGTGCGGTACCTACTATACGAAACTTTTATTTCGGATTCGGTTTCGGTTAGGTACGGATATTTTTTTATATCGGATATCCGATAGTTTTGGTTCCGTTTTGTTTTCGGAACTCACACAGCTAAACAACCATTGCGTTGTATTTCGTTGTGTGTCCCAATCCTTCCCCTCCCCCAATCCTTCCCCGATCCCTAATCCCCAAAAGTTTGGCCACGCACTCGTAAGTCCTCTATTGGTGCGGATGTCCATGGACGGCACTGATTGCTTACCATCAGGTAATCCGTCTGTTCGTTTGCCGACCTAACGCATAAAAAAGTGACTTTATTCACACTGGAGAGTGTCATACTCTCACTGATTAAAAATCATTCCTTTCCTTTACGTGCTTCAGACCTAAGTCGTTTCGCGACTAAAAATTGTACAAAGTTAAGGCTAAAAAATATAATTTAGTAGGTATGCATAACGATACAGACACAATCAGACCCAATATTGACCTCTGAATGACCATCAGGTTAAATTTAAATAATTAATCAGATCGAAAACTACAAGTTCAGAAATAAAAATTATGCTGTTTTAAGAGTTAATGTTACCGTATGACGCAGGTTAACATTTAAAAAATAATATAGCACGCAAAATTATTTAAAGTAACAAGGATATCTTGGAATTTTATTATTTAATTTGTTATGAATATGCAGCTAAGTAAGTATATGTACCTTACTGCAGTGTGTGTGTGTGTGTGTATTTGTGTGATTTTCAAGTTTAAGTGACGTCATAATTTTGAGCAACAAATACCTATGTATAACAAACTTGTTTTTACAAAGAAATATAATTAATAAAAATAATACTTAAAGTCTAAATATTTTATTTTTGAATGAGGAAACTAAGTCGTACAAACTTCTAGTAAATATTGCTTAGGTTCTCTCAAGTACGGGCTGATGTTCAGCCGCGGTTGCGGGGTAAGGGCAGTGTGGCACGGCTCGGCCTAAAACAGGAGAAGGAACGACACAATATGTTACTTGAATGAGGGAGAAGGTGTCCACTCAACTGCAGTCCTCCATCTCGATGGACCATTCTCAAGACTGACGTCTTGACCTTCACGTTTCTCCTCGCTCAATGTCATACCAAAGCACAACCGTTCTATGTCCTTCTACTCACACCATAAACTAAAACTTTGAGCTATATCTAACTGTGAAAGAAACGAAGCATTGACGTTAGTCGGGGCAGGTTATTTGCTTACCATCAGGTGTTACGTCTACTTATTTTCCCCTACTTAACTCATGACAAATACAAGCAAAATACCTACCACATGAAAACTTTAGTTGGTCTCTTTTCCCGGCCAAGGTTGCAAGCAAAGCCTTCATAAGTTACCCAGGCTCCAGAGCAGTTGGAACGCGGGTGTTATTTTTAGTCAGAAAATGTCAATCAAACTAGTAAAATAATCAAAAGAATCGCCACTCCCTGACGGTTCCAAAAAACGGATGTTTCTAAGAATATTAAATCTGAAAGTAGAATTAGACTCTCCCTTTTATGAATACCCCTCACTTTTATTTCTCCTTTTTTTATTTGCAGTGTTTGGTCCACATCTTATCATGCCACGATTGGGATATAACGACGATTGAGGGTATAGGGAATCGCAAAGATGGATACCATGCCATCCAGGACCGCTTGGCTACGTTCAACGGAACCCAATGTGGCTACTGCACTCCAGGGTGGGTGATGAATATGTACAGGTAAGACCCTATTATTTTATTTGTTAGTAGGTACCTAAAGATAATTAAATGATGATGATAAGAGAGCCGTTTATTTGTTTTACTATGTGATAGTTACACTGATGTTATGCAATCGACGCCGCCGATGGACACCCGTAATGCCAAAAGAATTATGAGCGCGTTGCCGGCCGTTTGGGGATAAGGGTTTCGAATATTTAAGGATTGAGAAGGGATGGGGGGGAGAGAGGGATTGGGACTCCACTCACACGGCCAAACACAACGCTGTGGTTGTGTCACGCCGGTTTTCTGTGAGGCCGTGGTATCATTTCGGTCGAGCCGACCCATTCGTGCATATGGACATGGCTAACCCACGTACATCGAGCCATCATTAAACATTTACAACATATATTATGTATATAGACGTTTTACAAGTTAACCAATACATTATTTATTACATACTAGCTTTTGCCCACGACTTCGGTCGCGTGAAATAGTGACTTCCTGGTGATTTTGGTATAAAAACTATATGTCCTTTCTGGAGTTCAAAACTATGTCTGTACCAAATATCACAGAAGTCGGTTCAGTAGTTTAGGCGTGAAGAAAAGACAGACGGACAGACAGAGTTACTTTCGCATTTATAATATAAGTTTGGATTATTGTACCCATATGTGACTACAAGGCACAGAACAAGTTGTCGTCGGGTCGAAGCTTGGCTCTCCCACCCTTATATCATATTGTGAAAAAATGTTTGGTAGAAATAGAAATGGAATGTTAAGTTCCCTCTTATCCACAGCCTGGACAAATCTACCAAGAACCTGACGACGCAGCAGGTCGAGAACTCATTCGGTGGCAACATGTGTCGCTGCACTGGGTACCGACCTATTCTGGACGCCTTTAAGAGCTTTGCTTCCGATACTGATCCTGAATTACAGGACAAGTTACAAGTACGTATGTACAAGTTTTTTTTTTATATCGGCAAACGAGCAAATGGATTACCTGATGGTAAGCAAACGGCACCGCCTCTGAAACTCGAAGTAGGTACCAAAGGAGTTACAACAAGTGCGTTGCCGGCCTCTTGTGGGCTATTAGGGATTTAAGGATAAGTGATTTGAAAAATAAGGATGGTAGGCGGGGGGAGAAATGGGGCCTCCAGTAACCTCACTCACATGGTGAAATACATTGCTTCACGCTGGTTTTGTATGAGGTCTTAGTAGGAATCACTCCGGATTAGCCGACCCATTCGTGCCCAAGCATGGCTCTTCCAAACTTTATAAAAGTTGGAAATGATGAAAGAAAGATACCTTTAGATTGTATTGTAAATAGGACTGCTAAACTTTGGAGGACTAATCACAATACAATCCCAACGTTATTAGTCCTTTAAAAACTCATTACTTACATACATTTGTGCTAAAATTGAGAGAGGAGTTACGAGTGCGTTACCGGGCTTCTGGGAAAAAAGGATAACGAAAATTTAAGTGTTGGGGAGGGATAGCCGGAGGGAAAGGATCGGGCTTCCGGTAAGCTCACTTACACATTGAAACACAATGCTGTGGTTGTTTTACGCCGGTTTTCTGTGAGGCCGTACGTCCGATCGAGCCGACCCATTCGTGGCGATGCTTAGCTCTCTCACTCTTAAAGTCTTCTTTTTGAAGTCAGCTAGATGCGTCGACTATATTTTTACAAACTACAAAATTAACGTATAAACCTTAATCTTCTTTCCAGGATCTAGAAGATCTCCACATAAATAAATGCACAAAGCTTTGCACTCGCAAATGCAGCACTTCAGAAGAGGATTGGTGTGTTATTGAGAATCCAGAGGAATCTATGAAGGTGTTGAGGACTAGTGTAGGACGCTGGTATAAGGCTTACAGCATTCAAAATGTGTTTGAGGTAGCTACTATAATTATAATATATTTTTTAGGTTAATTTATAGTAACGACTTGGTCACGTTAATTATTATTTCTGAGAAAAGCCCTACTACTGCATCGTGGTGACTTCACACAGCCGACTTTTGAGCACGCTACTTATGAAAAAGAGCCCCGTCGTGACTTGAAACTAGTAGAACTTTTATTAATTAATTTATGACACTAAGTCGTTGTTTTACATAAATTTAGTACGTCTCACTATTATTCAAAAATATTTTTTAGATTTTACAGAAAAATGTATGAGGGTGGAAGTATGTGATTGATAGTACAATTTCTGATAGTGAGTTTATAGAACTTTCTGCCGAACAAAATATTACTTCTATTCCTGATAAGTTTATAATAAGGCTATCAGCTAATTGATGTTACAGAATTGATTGAATTTTCTGGACAGGTGCTGGCGCGCGAAGGTACAAATAGTTACCGATTGGTGGCTGGCAACACAGGAAAAGGTAAGATTATGAAAAAGATATTATGCTTAGTATTACTAGCAGTCGCATGCGGCTTCGCACGCGTCAATGTCGATTTTACACTTTCACAAAAAAATGTTAAATTTTCTCTACGTACTAACCTGGACTTCCACGTATAATTCAAGAACAAAACTAGCCAAATTGTTAAGTAAAGGCATTGTTGAGTTATATAACATTACCTACAACGAAAATTTTTATTTTTACAACGCATTGATTTTTATTTAAAGATTACTTTAATTCCGATTCAACAAATTTACTAAAGGGCACAGAAATACAACGCGTTGTTTCAAACCGGTTTGTCTGTGAAGCTGTGATAGTGATAGTAATTCGATCGAGCCAGCCCATTCATGTCGAAGTCTGGCTCCCTTACGTGTAGACAACCAACATTATAGTACTTTCCTTTTTTTACAGGAGTCTATCCAATATCATCGGAGCCAAAGATCTTAATTGACATATCGTCGATAGAAACACTAAAGCAGGTGCAGTCTGATGAGAACCTGATCCTGGGAGCTGGTATGTCCCTCACTGACGTCATGAAGACCTTCCAGAAGTGGAGTAAGCGCAACCAAGACTTCAGCTACTTGGAAACTCTGTATAAACAACTCGATTTAGTTGCACATGTTCCTGTTAGAAATGTAAGTTACTTTTTTATGGAACTGCTTAGTTAATGAGTAGACGGAATACCTCGTGGTAAGCAATCGGTGTGTACCCTCCACTTAGACTACACGGTTGGTGTGGTCGCTGGGCAACTGGCTGCCGTGCAGCGTATCGCGGGTTCAATTCCCCCACGGAACGACTCTGTGTCATCCACAAATTGTTGTTACGGGTCTGGGTGTCATGTGTATGCGAAATTGTATGTTTGTAACTGCAACCACGACACAGGTGAAAACCAAAGTGTGGGGTAAAGTTTTTTTTTTTGAAGAAACAATAAAGAACGATAGTACCAGAGAAGTTGGAGTCTGAAATATTTTTAATTTTAATTAAGGCTTACTTAAATTTAGGTTTGTTAAAACTAACACTGTTTAGTTGCATTTAGAATTAGTTACACACACGGCGTTAAATCAATATATTGTGACATTTGTAATTTGTTGCCTGAATGGTACACTTGAGGAAATGACACATATACACACGACCACGACAATTAATAATCATTTATACTAATATTATAAAGAGGTAAAATTTGTAAGTTTGCATGTTTATAAGTTTTTATGTAGGGTTTTATCTTTGGAACCGCTAGTCGGATTGCCAAAATTCTTTCACTGGTAGATAGCTTCAATGTTCCTAAGTGCTATAGGCTATAAAACATCACACTACGATTAAATGGAGCCGAGCGGGTGAAATCGCGCGAAAGTATCTAGTTACTTAATAAGTTTGAAGAGACATGCTTCGGAACGAATGGGAGGCCCAATCCTCCGTCCGTACCTATCCTCTATCCATAAATCCCCTATCTATGAATCAGTAACAACCTACAAGCGGCCGCCAAGGCACTTGTAGTGACTCCTTTAGTATTTCGAGTGTCCATGGGCGTCGCTGATTGCTTACCATCAGGTAATCCGTCTGCTCGCGTGCTGACCTACGTCATAAAGAAAAATGCTTAGGTATTAATTAGTAAATAATATAATACTGAACACAATAAGTACATTCAAACCTGACATGTTTTTTTTTGCTTTAAAATTCCAGGTGGGAACAATTGGAGGTAATTTATCATTGAAGAACCAATTCCACGACTTTCCTTCAGATGTATTCTTGCTTTTAGCAACAGTAGGAGCTACTATTACTGTTGGTGAGTACATATTTATGATCTTCTGCTGGTCTTGACTTGGCCAAAATCTTCTAAAGCCAAGGAAAGAGCGGCAATCCTTAATCCCTAAAAGACCAGCAATGCACTCGTAATACCACTGGCGTTTCGAATGATCATGGGTGGCGTCGATTATTTACCATTCGGTTATCCAACTGCTCGTCAGCTTTGCCCTCCTATCCCATAAAAAAATATCTCCTAAAATCTATGAAAACTTCTTCAAGGAGAAAACGACCATATATAAAGTAAAAATAATGGTTTCTTTTTCAGTTAATAATGACCTTAGTAAAGTGGAGTTGAAAACAAAAGAGTTTTTAACAGCAAACTTGAAAGATAAGCTGATATGTGATGTGAAGCTACCTCCTTTGTCGAGCAACAATCTCATTAGGACTTTTAAGGTAAGTTTACCTGAGGATCCTACTCCTGATTACTGGACACGAGGCGCGCCGTTTGAGGCTATTGCTGTTCAGACTAGACTGTATTTTTTGTGAGGGGAAAATCATCAAATGACTTTTCTTGCCCATGTATAAGTGGGAGTTTTAGACTCTTACTAACTAAAAACCCCTGTTCTGGGTCGAGGCCGTGGCAGGGTCCCCCCTGCCGGCTAGAATACTGCTTCAGCTAGTTCTAGTAATATTACAATTAGTAATATAACAAATTCTTTCTTTCCACCAGCGATTCAGCTGCTGCACCTCCTTTTTTGGTACCCAAGTATCATGTAAAGATACATATATTATGTAAGTGCATGAGTGCATATTACACTGCAGTCACGTACGCCTTGTAAACTGACGTATTATTCCATAATTACCGAGACTACTATACAGAGTAATTAGTAGAGACGATAATAATATAAAACATTAAATGAGTTTAAGTACGGTGGGTTTGATGGATAATGTTTCTAATAATAATAATAAATACAAGCGAAAATAGAAAAACTAATTAAGAAATAGGTTTAATTTTTCTTTTCTTTTTCCTTGTCTTTCACATCTAATCTATAGGCTAATTAATAAAAATTTCACAGATAATGCCACGCGCCCAAAATGCACATGCAATAATGAATGCCGGCTTTCTTTTTAAATTGGACACTGCCAAACTTGTAAAGTCTGCCAACATTATTTATGGTAACATCAGTCCTACGTTCATTAAAGCGTCACAGACAGAAAGCTTGCTCGTTGGGCAAAACTTGTTTACCAACGAGGTGTTGTTAAGAGCTCTGAGGAAATTGGAAGAAGAAATAACTCCAGTGGAAATACCAGGGGAACCTTCAGCTAGCTGCAGGAAGACCCTCGCTTTGGGATTGTTTTATAAGGTAAGTTTTAGGAATAGTTGTGAAACTCGTTTAAGCATGCTTGCAGATTTTTTGAGCATCAGATTGGGCTACTGCTATTCTCTTAAGAGCAGCGTTGGGCTGGATGTGACGGTAGTTTCAGCGTACCATGTATAGTTGTCAGAGGATCACAGATTAATTGGACGCAAAATAGCAGGGTCACCACTTGTCGAGGGAAGTCATTGAGTGAGAGGCGCCCGTCCTATGGTTTTTGGTTTGCCATCGTAGCTAAAGATAGGTCATATTAGCACATTAGCTTATGTATGTATCATACACGCCCTCGCCCCAACACCTTTTCGCCAAAATTTCTTCTTTAAACGGTTGAATGTAAACCAGTTAGGGACCCGCCACCGCAACCCATTCTAAATTGAAGAGATAAAATAAGTTTCGGAAAGAAGCTTTTGTAAAACTTACCAAAATTCTACAGTTTACTTGTTGTGATCAATTTTAAAGGGAACAGTTTACTTGTTATTTTCCTAATATTGACATGTTGTAATCCGAATCCAATTATTACAGGCAGTACTATCACATTTCCTGGACGTCAACCCCCGATACAAGTCTGGAGGCAGCATACTGGAGCGGCCCGTGTCAAAAGGTACACAGAGTTATGAGACAGACAAAACAATATGGCCACTTAACAAACCTGTTCCTAAACTTGAAGCACTTGCACAGGTAATTATTAGAACTAATAACTAGCTCTTATATCAGCTTACTCTTGTTGTAAAGGTATCATAACGTTACTATGTTAATAAGTCTCTCGAGAATTGTGGTTATCAAAAACACTAAAAATTTATCAAGAATTCCCCATTAGGACGTCCCTTTTCGACACAATTAATATCATTCAAAAGTAGGGTCAGAAAGGTGAAAGACATCTTACTAATAATATAAATGCGAAACTTACGATGTTTGGATGTTTGTTACTCAATCAGCCCAAATGGCTGGACGGATCTGCATGTAATTTGACACAGGTAGGATACACTCTGCAATAGGACATAGGCTACTTTACTTACGGCAAAGCCGCAGGCGGAAGCTAGTATGTTTAATATGGAGGCTCTACTCCTCTACTTCTAGATCGAAGAACTAAGACAATGTCTTTTTGTGAGGGGAAATCAAATTACGTCTCCTGCTCTAGGTGAGACGAGAGAGTATCAAACTCTTACTGACTAATAACCATTCCGTTCCTTCTCCTACTCCTGGAGGGGCCATGGTACATAACCGCATCTGCAACCTCGCACTAAGAAAGTATCTTTGAGGTCTTCTACAATAATGAAAACTATAACATCATTTCGTTTCACAGTGTTCTGGTGAAGCAACATATGTCTGTGACATAAACAATGGAGTTCGAGCTGTGCACGTTGCCTTCGTGTTATCTAAAGTCTGTCGAGCTGAACTAGAGGAATTCGACGCCAGTGAAGCACTAGTAAGTAATGCAAATAAATTAATCTTCAAAGAATTTGAATGCACGGTTGCCTTGAACATGTTTGTATCAGAACCATCAATTGTTGTTCCATATTTGGGTGTGGTATATAAGTGACTTGTATGTAGTAGAAACGCCCTAGTAATAATAATAAACAGATTTGTCTGTCAGATTGCAGATTTTTTTTTGTATTTACTGACATGAACAACGTCTTTTTGTACAGTTTATGAATTTTTGTATTATTTTAGAGAAAGATGACAATAATTCCTCCTCCGTATCCGCATTTGAAGTTATAGTTTAACATTTTATAAACACTACCGCTTTCTTATCCAGAAACTTCCAGGAATAGTTGCAGTCTTCAGCGCCAAGGACATACCAGGAAGGAACTCGTTTACTCCGAACGAGGTGCCTTGGATGGAGTTTGACGAAGAGATTTTTGCGTCCAAAAACATCCACTACTACGGTCAACCAATAGGCGTGGTAGCAGCCGTTACTAGAAGAGCAGCATTAGCTGCTGCAGAACTGGTCAAAGTGAAGTACAAGAAGCTAGCTGGTAAACCTGTGTTGTCTATTAAAGACGCATTGCAATCACCTGATAAGGAAAAAAGGGTAAGCTGATATTATTTAATTTTTGACACACTTCCTCATAAAGAGGCTCTGATCCCATGGCAATTAGGCACCATGATGACACCTATAACCAAATTGTGTTTTTTTCATTACTTCACGAATGAGTACCTAATATACTTTTTAGTGCCCATTTCAACGCGGACTTGGAACATGTATCCTCACCATTATATCTCAGAGGGCGAGTTAGGGTAGCTCCGCCCGACCAGAACCAGACCCTAGCGTACGGCGCGTAGCGTTCCACTCGCGCGCTCCAAGAGCAAATAGACCACCACAAACGGGACCCTATAGGGCTGATAATCAGCCGGGGTTGCAGGGTAAGCGCAATGAGGCACCGCGACCGCAGCCCAGACCAGAAGAAGGAACCGGGTGGTTTTTAGTCAGTAAGAGTCTGATGCTCCCACCCGCCTGACCCTGGACGGGAGAAGTCATTTGATGACTTTCTCCTCACGAAAAAAAAACATTATATCTATGTACAGTTTTTTACTCAGTGCTATAGGCTCTTATTTATTTTTTGCGTATGAAATACTCAAATAATTTTTCATACACCTTAAAAAGCAACCTTTCCAATTAGTAACCACTTGTCTAACTAGGTTATATAACGCTTTTATTTTTATTACAGCTTCGTAAAGATGTGACGATAGAACCGACATCCAAAGGCACTGACATCCAGCATACAATAACTGGAACCTTCAACGTCCCCCCTCAGTATCACTACACGATGGAAACTCAAAGCTGTACCACCAAGGTCACGGAGAATGGCCTTGTGATCAGATCAGCTACCCAGTGGATGGACCTTGTGCATGTTGCTGTGTCGAAAGCACTTAATATTGATGAGAACCGGTACGTTGTTTTTTGCCGTTTGCCATTTTTACTGACCAGAAAAGAATAGCATGCCATATATAATATTGTTCGAGACAAAGTTCAATATCGTACTTGACGCTGACTAGAACTTCGACTACACGGTTGGCGCGATGGCTGCCGCGCAACGTATCGATTCGCACACGGAACAACTCTTTGTGCGATCTACTAATTGTTCTTCCTGGTCTGAGTGTAATGTGTATGTGAAATATTATGTTTGTCAACTTATTATTAAAACAAAAAGGAAGTGAGCAAATGTTACAAAACAATATTTTGAAATCAATTGTAACTTCAAAGCTATTCTTATGCTACTGAGGTAGCAACTAAAGACTTTTTTGCAGTCCCCCATTTTCCTTATACATCAAGCAACCTTAGAAACCAAAATATTCCAATGGCATTCCAAGTATATTACAATTTACAATAACAACAGCTTACAGCTTGATCAGCTTCTTTTTGGTACTAGCCCACCCACAGTATAAAAGCGAGATAATAGAAATTGATCAGATTATACAAGTCCTCCATATATTTCAGAATTCTTGTGGAAGTGCCCCGAGTGGGCGGGGCGTATGGCGGCAAGGCGTCTCGCTCGTCGCTGATAGCGTGCGCCTGCGCACTGGTCGCTCATAAGCTGAACAGAAGCGCTACCCTTGTGATGCCTCTCACACAAAACATGGAGGCCATTGGTGCACGAAGTGCTTGTGAGTTCCAGTACGAGGTAAGTGAAATACTGTTTTATTTAGCTGTGAATATAGTTTTATATTGAATGTGATATTGGACAAGCACAAGTATTTTTATTATAACTTTCGTGAGACATTCTAAATTATTTATTATGTTTTCGGCTTACTCACGTAATAATTTGACGAGATACTCGATTAGTTTCAAGCCATGCTAGACGCCCATATTCATGAGCAGTATTCCGCGACACGTGACTCGGCGACTGTCGCGCTGTAACTAGTCGAGTATCTCGTCAAATTATTACGTGAGTAAGCCGAAAACATAATAAATAATAAAGCACTAGTATGTTATACTTGAGGAGAGAAAATAATCAAATGACTTCTCTCGCCCAGGGTATGGCAAGTGAAAATGTCAGATTCTTACAATCTCAACACCCCCCCGTTGCTTCTCCTGCTCCATACTCAGGTCGCGGTTACACCGGCAACCCAATTAAACCGCAACCCCGACTCCAATTAAATTTAGTTACGAATTTATTGTTTAGGAGCTGTTTCATGATGGATGAATAAATAGATATAATTGTGTGAGCTATATGATACATAATATCATCGGTAGCCATTCACCATTTAACAGGGTTTACCTATTAGGATCCTACTAATCTGGTACCTGCTCCTTTTAATGCAGATTAGTTTGGTGAGAACAAAAAGGTTAATAAATGATGATGTAACTTGCGTAAACGGAAGGTTTTGTTTTTGGCTATAAATATCGCAAATTCCTCCTCAATCCCTCATGCCTTTCCCCAGAAAGACTACAGAAATTGCCTAATATTATTCTTTTTTTTCACTACTCACTCGTTGTGCTGCTTAGCCTCCAGAAGGTGAGCCTGTGTTATTAGCCATTACTCCAATCGTACATTGGCAAATCATAACCAAAAAATAGCAACGTGATCACGTTTCCCAACTTTCCTAAAGCTGTTCTTGTACATATTACAGTGTGGCGTCAATAACGATGGTGTGATCCAATACCTCAACGTAACCTACTATTCTGACTGTGGCTGCAACTACAACGACTCTGCGGGAGCTGGCGTAGCCGTGTGTATCCCCAACCTCTACTCCAAGGAGAGCTGGAAGATCACAGGGTACAGCGTGCTCACTGATAAGGCGAGTTCCACCTGGTGTAGAGCTCCTTGTAAGTGGATTGATATCTTATTGATTACTGGCGACCCACTCAGGCTTCGCAGAGACGCAATGCTGATACAAAAATGGCCATTTTCTTATGAATGTTTTAATGCGTATAAACCTTCCTCTTCAATCTATTAAAAAACAGCAACTAAAAAAGTTAAAGATTGAAGTATACGTAAGGCCATAGGGACAGAGAAAGCGACTTTGTTTTATACTAAGTAAGTATGTTTTAACTAACTTTTGCCCGCGACTTTGTCTGCTCGAAATAATTGATTTCCAGCAGAAAAGTAGGCAGAGCCAGGCCTACTTTTCTAATTCCGTAAGCGTTTTACTCCTTGTGTGTCATTAAGTTAACATATTGGTAATATTTTTCGTTCACATGAGCCTTTAGTAACCTACCAATAAAAGAAAATTACTTCAGGACAAAACTTCCGAGTAAATTATTTTGAAATTTTTCGGCAAGTAAACATAATCATTTTCTAAAACTGCTAAACCGGGGAATATGATAGTATAAAGCAAATTAGGGAACTACCTACCATAATATGTAAAGTCGGGTTTTCCCCAGTCTTTGCCCAGTACCTATCCACCAACCACAAACATATTAGAACATGTATTGTATTTCTATGAGAATTGTCGAGCTAGTATACTTAACAATGCTTTCAATTCCACCTTTCTCCACTTTCAGCAACGACGGAAGGCATCGCATTCGCAGAACACATAATGGAGCGAATCTCCCACGTGACAAAAAAAGACCACGTCGAAGTAAGACTGAAAAACCTATCGCCACAACACGACACAGTCAGAGAAATGATCTCATCATTGAAAATGGAGACTAATTTCGACGACAGAAAAGTCGAGATTACAAAATTCAACCAGGAAAACGCTTGGAAGAAACGTGGATTGAAACTGTCTATCATGTCTTACCCTATTGGGTATTCCTGGAACTATCCTGTTACTATATCAGTGTACCACGGTGATGGTACGGTGGATATTTCTCATGGGGGTATTGAAATGGGACAAGGAATCAACACAAAGATAGCCCAAGTGTGTGCATATGCCTTAAAAGTCCCCTTGGAGAAGGTAACTGTTAAAGGGAGTAACAGCTTCGTGTCTCCTAACTCCATGGTATCGAATGGCAGCCTCACCAGCGACTCGGTAGCGTACGCCACGCTAAAAGCCTGCGAGGATCTCAATAAGAGGCTAAAAGCGGCTACAAACGACCTCTTTGAACCAACATGGGAGCAAATTGTAAATCAGGCTTACCAAAAAGGTTGGTAAACAATGAATTGTTTATTTCCTCTATACATAGATAGTAACTTAAGGTATTTTATGAAAACTCACATGCTAAACTGTATGCAAGGGGAAGGGATTGACACAACGCTGTGGTTGTTTCACACCGGTTTTCTGAGAAGCCGTGGTACCTATAACTCTGGTCCGTGCTGAAACTTGACTCTCCTTCACTTATAGGTGTCATCTAATAAGCCTGATATGCTCCATCAGGAATAATTTCTTGCCTAAGACCAGGTGACTGGTGTTCCACAAGTTCCTATTGTTCCAAGGTCACAACTTTTATGTCTGGCTAAAGTGAAAGCCGTATTATTTATTATAAGTATTGAATTCTCTGTTTAATTTTTCTCAAGGTGTAAATCTTCAAGCGACATACATGACATCACCAAACGATGGTCTCATCGGGTACAACGTGTACGGCGTGTGCGCAGCCGAAGTGGAGCTTGACGTGCTGACAGGGAACCATGTGGTACGGCGCCTGGACCTACTCGAGGATACAGGGGTCAGCATGAGCCCTGAGATTGATGTGGGACAGGTGAGTTGGTGATAGACAAGAACACTCTTCGACAGACCATATCTCTTAAATCTTAAACGCACCTCCGGTTAAGATTATGACGAATCCAAGTTTTTTGCGTGATACCACAGCACCCATGGCACAGAAAGATCCTCACAGACCAGACATTACGTACCTATGGTTCGCCATGTGAGTTATATTACCGGAGGCCCAATCCTTCATTTCCTCCCCAAATCCCTTCAAAAATCCTAAATCTCCGAATAGAGATTCGGAGATTCCCCAAAAGACCGGCTACGCACCTGTAACTCCTCTGATGTTGTGGGTGACTATGGGTGGCGCCGATTGCTTAAAATTAGGTATTCTAAGAGCTCGTTTGCCGTGCTGAAAAAAGATCCTAATAGGGACAAGTGTATTGCTTACCATCAGGTAATCCGTGTGCTACTTTGCCGAAGTATCACAAAATTGGAAAGAAATAACAACACAATACAATACACAGATCGAAGGAGCTTTCATCATGGGCTTAGGTCTCTGGACGTCAGAGAGGCTTGTCTTCGAAGAGTCTTCTGGCCGTCTCCTAACTAATAGAACCTGGACCTACAAACCACCTGGAGCTAAGGATATCCCAGTGGACTTCAGGATTATGTTCAGAAGAAACTCCAGTAACCCTGCTGGGGTGCTTAGGTCCAAAGGTAAGGAACAAAAATGCCACAAAAACTTGCATTGGAATAACTTTCTTACTTAAATAATTGGTTCTTTCCTTTTTATACATTAAAAAGTATTAATAGCTTATTAGTATGATTGCAGTCGAAGACAGCACCAATACAACCAGTAAAATTAAATTTTTCCAACACACTTCCTTATAAAGTGGCTCTAATCCCAACCCATCCCACCTATAATCAAACTGTGACTTTTTCATTACTATTATTCACGAGTGAGTAATACAGTTTTTTATTTTATTGGTCAAGTTCTACACTTGCAAAAAAAGAAACATAATTTTTTTGTCTATGGCCGATGCGCGCGCACAAGGAAACTGAATATTTTTTCCCGCCATTACTGAAAATTTTTCACAACTCGTCTCGTTTTCTCTTTTGAAGTTTTTTATTTAACTGTTGATTTATTCAGAGGTGCGTTAAAACTTTTCTATGTATCAGTTATTATGGGATTTGTGACTTCGACAAAACGTAAAGATGATCGTCAAGGCTAATTTTAATCTTACAGGACAGTAGATACTGTCAGAATTACAGTCTCAGTTGATTGTAAAAGTGCAGACGTATAATTACATTTATACTTACTACATATCCTATAAAGCACCAATAAATTCAAATTTTAATTTGCATAAGAAACTCAATCCTGCCTCTGTGGCCAGAATGGTGAACCAAAAGCTCGTTTGCCGCTTCATCCCAATAAAAAACCTCTTATAAATTGTTTAATAAATATGTTACTTACAGCGACTGGCGAACCAGCTCTTACTCTAGCGGTGGTAGTGACACATGTGCTGCATGACGCCATTGTTGAAGCACGCTCCGAGTTCGGATACAATAACAAAGACTGGTTGTTTATTGGTAAGTTTATATTGTACTTACTAGCTTTTGCCCGCGACTCCATTTGCGTGGAATAGTGATTTCCTGTAGAATTTTGGTATGATGTCCTTTCACGAGTTCCAAACTATGTCTGTACCAAATTTCACAAAAAATGGTTCAGTAGTTAAGGCGTGAAGAAAATACAGACAGACAGAGTTACTTTCGCATAAAAAATATTAGTAGGTATAGATAACATCCGATTTTATTTAGGTGTGTATTATATGAGCCTGTTTCACAATGACTTCTATGTGACCAGATATGGAATGTAATTTATATATCACCTGTTTACTACATAGCACGTTTGTCCAGTACTACCTCCTTTGTTCTGTGATAGGATTACCTGATGGTAAGCAATCGGCGCCGCCGCAAAAGTCACCCTCTTTTTACCAAACTTCACAAGAAGGCCCATAATCCAACAGTGAATGTCTGCTCCGAATTTGCTTTACTTACGTCACTACGATCAACAACGATGCTTTAAGATAACTTCAGAGGGTTAAACTCGGTCACTTTTCGACTTTCGTATTGGCTGTTCATAATAGCAATGAATAAAATATTTGTATGTTTGACCTCTACGAAATTAAAAACCAGAAATCCAATTTTCCTTTTTTTATAGTAGTAGTACATTTTTTTAAATAACATCTTACCTACTGACGTTCACAGTAAGACTGCACTGTCATGATTACGTCCCATTGTGACTTAAAACTAGAGCTTTTCTCAGTGATTTTACGGAAGTCGTTATTTCCAAGCAAACCAAACCCCACATCCAACATACCAACAACTGAGTTATTTTTGTTTCAGAGTCACCGTACAACGTTGAAAACATTCTCAAAGCAATATCACATAAAATAGAAAGTTTCAAACTAACGTAACAGGAACGACCGAATCAAACTCTAGCAGTATAAACAACAAGATTGACAGTTGCCATAAGAAAAAACTGGAAAAAACCAACCTGCTAATATGCTTAACATCAGTTCAAAACGCGGCTTGCACATCACCGAAGTTATACCTACCAACAAAAGTAAACTTTATATAAATAAAGACATAAAGTCCAATAATTGTCAACCTGTACATCACACTATCGAAGTAGGCAAAAAATCTTATAATGTTTAACGTTAATTTGATAAGCTCATTATTAAAAAACAAAAATAAATAAGTTTTTGTTGTAACATTTCTCGTACATAAAAAGTATTATTAAATAATTTTTTTCGTGTATTCTTGACTATAAGCACTTAGTTAATGTTTTTTTTTAATAAATTAGAAGGAACGAGCACACGGATCACCTGATGGTAAGTGATCGGCGCCGCCAATGGACACCTGTAACACCAGAAGAGTCTCAGGCGCGTTGCCGTCCTTTTAAAAGGAGTACAGACGTTTCTTGAGGGTTTGAAGGTCCAGGTAGAGAAGGATCACATTCCTCATCTATATACATAGTTCACGAAAAGAGGGAGATAATCTGTGGGGATAATACATGTTTACCAGAAAAGATGATCTTAAAATATTTATTAATGAAACTTCTGTATGAAGTTTAATTGTGTTGTAATTAAATAACTAGATTGTATACAATGATGCGTCATGGTGGCCCGGAGGTTAAGGAGCCCGCTTCTCATGCATTAGGGCGTGGGTTCGAAACCTGGCAAGTACCAATGTGGCTTTTTCCGAGTTATATGTACTTTCTATGATAATGTAGACACCTCTGACATACGGTGAAGGTAAACATCGTGAGGAAACCTGGACTTATAATTTCTAATTATAAGTTTGAAATCGCCAACCCGCATTGAGCAAGCGTGGTGATTAATGCTCAAACCTTCTCTGTGTGAGAAGAGGCCTTTGCTCAGCAGTGGGCACTAATGGGCTGATGATGTGATACAATGCTGTCGTTTTCTCTGGCCCTATGTATGTATATATCTATGCTTAAATCTTTAAAGCTACGCAACGGATTTTGATGCGGTTTTTTTCAATAGATAAAATGATTAAAGATCTGGATGATGTATATTAACATTTGTTAGTGGAGAAATTTAGTTTCAACATTGTACCTGTGCGATCCCGGGACCGGTCGCTAGTATTATAATAGAATCCTACATTCTGAACCAATATTTAAACGATGTTTCTTGTATGAATTATTTCATGTAATTTAAAAACTGTCTCTACCGGCAAGTAATAACAGGGAAAATTGAAAAGTAGACAAATATTTTTTTAAATTCATACCAAACGTCGGACTAACGTAACATACAAAAATACAGTTCAATTTCAACATTATTTAATATTATTTTTATGATACAGTAAACACAAGTTTATCCACTTTAATAATAATTTGCTTCTTCGTCAAAAGAAGGGCAGCACGTTCGTCATTCCATTCCTGGCGGTAACGGTTCCACTGGGTTGGGTGGAGGTACTGGAGCGAGGGTTTGAATGGGTGTGGATGATGGAACCGGCGTCATGGACGGAGGGGGCATTGACATCGGCGCCATGCCCGGGCCCGGGGTAGGGGCCGTTGCATACGCTGGCGCTGGTTCTTGCTGTAAGCAGAAAGAATAGGTTTAGGTTTAAAGAACTTTATTCTCAGAACTTTAATATCAGTTCACTTAAAATGAGATGCATAATATTATAGTTTACATCTAAATGTTTTTTTTGTAATGTTGTGTCTGGGTATCGGTGACGTTATGTTATACATACATGTCTTTTCAGTTTTGCTTTGAATATATTTGTACTGTCACACTATTTTTTTTATGTAATTGGTCGGCAAACGAGCAGACGGATTACCTGATGGTAAGCAATCGGCGCCGCCCATGGACACCCGCAACGGAGGAGTTACGAGTGCGTTCCGACCTTTTAGGGATTAGGGATTGAGGAGGGATTGGGGGCGGGGAAGGATTGGGCCTCCGGTAACCTCACTCACACGGCGAAATACAACGCTGCGGTTGTTTCACGCCGGTTTTCTGTGGGGCCGTGGTATCACTCCGGTCGAGCCGACCCATTCGTGCCGAAGCATGGTTCTCCCATACTTACTTCTTGATATCCTTTGGTAGATTATTATAGTTGTCCGTCCGTCAATATTGTCTTTTTATCGTAATTCGTTGGTATAATCTTTTATATGTACCTATAAAAAAAATGAAACCCGTTTCCCGTTGTCACGTCCATGACATGAAAACAGCTAGACCGATTATCGAGTGTCAACGTCATTCAGCCATGGACTTGGACTATGTTAAAAGAGCATTCTTTGTTGGGAAAAGCGGTTACTTAATTAATTGAATTCTTTTGCACTAATTTATTAACAGGCCGGCAACGCACTGGTTACTTTTGAGTTGCGGGTGTACATGGTCGGCGCTGATTGCTTACCATCAGGTAATCCGTAAGCTCGTTTGTCGACCTATATCATAAAAAATGACCACTTATGTAAATATTATTTTCGAGTGGTGTATCTTTCTTCAGCTCTGATCGCTAGTATTTACCTACATTGACGGATCGAAGTTAAGTGAATGAAGGGTGTGGTTTGGTATTGAGTGTATAATATCTCAATGATTGTGTAGACACCACTTACAAACGGTAAAGGAAAATATTGTAAGTAAATCTGGACATATAATATGTAATTGTAATTTTGAAATTGTCAATCCGCCTTGAGCAATCATGGAGATTGATCAAACCTTTTCCGTTTGAGAAGAGTTTTTTAGCTCAGCAGTGGGCACGTATAGTCTGATGATGTTTTTTTATGTAATAGGTCGGCAAATGAGCAGACGGATTATCTGATGATAAGCAATCAGCGCCGCTCATGGATACTCGTAACGGAAGAGGTTACGAGTGCGTTGCCGATCGTTGAAGGGTTTAGGATTTTGGAGATTTTGGGATTGGGAGGGATCGCGGGAGGGTATTTTTGGGCCTCTGGTAACCTCAGCGGCGAAACACAACGCTGTGTGGGTGTGTTGGTAGTGTAAAGTACGTAGAGACGGGGCCCTATAGAGCTGATGTTCAGCCAGGGTTGCGGCCCAGAGCATGAGAAGGAACAGGGGGTTTTTAGTCAGTAAGAGTCTGACACTCCGTCCCGCCTTGATCTGGGCGGGAGAAGTAATTTGATGATTTCCCTTCACAAGAAAAAAAAAAGTGTAGAGTACCTGTGCCAGCGCGTGCACGTGGTGGGGCAGCGCGGCGCGCGCGGGCGCGGGCAGCGCCAGCAGATGGGCGCGAAGCGCGGCGCGGAGCGCAGGCGCGGCGGCCGCGGCGGCCAGCGCGCGCGGGCACAGCGCCGCCAGCAGCGCGCCGCACGCAGGCACCAGCCGCTCGCAACACTTCACCCAGCCCTCCCACGCCACCTTGTTCAGCCACACCTGACACACACGATTTAACCACATTCAACAATCCACTCTATCTCAACGTAACGTCATAAAGTGCGAATACTGACAAGTGCCAATATGACTTTCTATGATTATTTTTAGACACCACTGGCATACAGTAAAAAAAAACATCGTAAGGAAACCTGAATTATAATTTCTAATTAGAAATCTGAAATCGCTAATCCCCCTTAAGTAAGCTTTGTGATTAATACTCAAACCTTCTCCATGAGAAAAGAAGCCTTTGCTCAACAGTAGACCGTTGACAAATGCTTCTTCTCTCACCTTATCGACCGATGAACAAGCTATAAAATAGTATTAAAATTAGACAAGATTCAACGAACAAAAATCGCAAGAAACCGTCAGATGCAGTTCACTTTCAACCGAACGATTTAACCGATCTCGTCATTCGGCGAGATAATGACATATGTTAAACAGCAAAAATTTTGTAATATATATTATAATAATTATGGAAGAGCAACTCAATACATTATTCACTGTAGATAGGGAACAATTACTTAATCCCATAATCATTTCTTCTACAAGTGAAAAAATATAACTTGCATAGAAGTAAAATGTTAACTCATTTATTTAACACTTAGATATAATCATGTTATATTGAATTATTAGTTACAAAAACCTTACCTCCTTTTCAATAAGCAGCTGCAATATGTTAAGTACGAGCGGCCCAAGCGATGGGTACAATGTGAGAGCTTGTAACACAGTCCTCATCATCAGAACTGGGATCTCCGGTTCTTCGGACAACCTCTGTAATACTGCTGATAACACCTGTAATGTATGACAGTGTTACAGAATATTTTTTATGTTAAGGGTTTTTTCGAACAAGGTGCGATCTGCGGACGGCGAGTAATGGTAGCTCGCCACCCGACTCTTAGTGACTACTAAGTGTCAGACTCTTACTGACTAAAAACCTCTCCGTCATCTCTCGATCGGAATTAAAATTAGTTATATATGATCATTTTTTAGTGTGCAATGCAACATCATTGATAGAAAGTATTATTGACATTATTTATTTATTTATTATTTCTTCTTCACACAAAACAGTCTGAATGGCGGACTTAATGCCTTAAGGCATTCTCTAACAGTCAACCAACAACAGTATTTAGACATTCTGAATTTAGTTTTATTAAGAATTACTTACAAACCTTTTATTCTACTTTCTGAAAAAGTAGGAAATGTAGAAACCTAATAAATATTCCAAACTTAAGGACAAAACAAAAAAAAAACAAAGTTTACAAAGTAATGAGTAATATAATTTTTTTTAGGATTTTACAAATAATCATGATCATGATAACTGAAAAATATAATAAAACAAGACCATATCGAAATACTTACGTCCTGCGTGTAAGTTTGTTTCTCAGCGAAGCACAGCGCGGTCGCCTTGATAATGTACTTGAGGTCTGCCTTGCTCGGGTCTATCAGATGGAGGGTGACCAACAGTTCTGCAGGAGTAACTAAAACAACGTGCACCTAACATCAAACACTATTCAGATGACAGAAGACATATTTTTAAATACCAAATAACCCACAAAAAGGTCGGCAACGCACTCGTAGTAACTCCTATGGAATTACAAGTGACCATGGGAGACGCCGACGGCTTACCATCAGGTAATAAGAACGAGACTTCTGTTAATTTTTCACGAGATGGTCTGTGTGCCTCAATAGGTACTTGTGCTTCATGTAATAAACATATTGAAATGAAATTTACAGGCAAATTTTCTTTTAACCCGTTGAATGTCGGTTTGCAAGACACAATTGAAAATACATTGTGTCTCGCTTGGAATCCACGTTTGAAACATTCGAAAGGTTCAAACACCTTACATTATAGAAAAATGGAATGACCTCAATAGGCGCAAAAAAATAAGCTTTAATATTATAAACGATTTACTTACAAATCATAATGCTATATACTGAAATAAAAGGAAATATTTATCAATTAAACACTTATTTATTCAGCTTATTATAAGAGTTTTCTTTCGTGTTGGATTGATCATTTATTGAGAGGGGTTATAGACCAAAGTAATCTAGCTATGTTTGATAACAGTTAATCGACAGACATAAACAGTAATTTGTAAAGTATGGCTTACCTGGTGAATGCTCATCGTGAGGATTCTGTAGTCCCAATAACTTGTTGAAAACTTCTTTCACAACCATAGGATTCAATTTTATAAGCTTCGGTAGCGCTGCCAGAATCTATGGAGGAAATAAAAAAATATTGCAATTTGTGTGATTGATGATGGACCACTTAATATGAATAAAGTTATTTGTATGTTCGTTTCCGTTCACGGGATCATAGGATCCCGGACCTTTGGAAGAATACGAGGGGCCGAAGCCAACTCGCAGAGGCCCTTTGAACAGTTTTAATCTAAATGTGATGGGACATCAGCCGGCAATTATCCCTATTTGCACTATGAAAGTGCACCCAAGGATAATCCCCGGTTGATGGAGGACTATTGCGAATTGTGGTAATAAACGAAAGGGTTATAAGTATGGGTTGCTATGGACTGGTGGATATGATAACTATGGAAATACTATGGCCCCTGCCCCTGACCAATATTGATACATACGGATAAACAGGCAGGGGGTGACTGCCAAACTCAATTAATGGGCCCCCGGAAACGGCCGCTAGCATGTAGCGACACGGGGGCAACATACGTTGAGCTGCTTGAGGAAGGAGAGGCATCCCAGAAGTACGGTCAAGACCCCTACCAGCACCTTACTGAGATACATCCTTCCCCCGAGTCTCCTTCAACACCTACTCTTGCAAATCTCCACTCAAGCCAGCCAATTAAGGCAAGAATGAGGTAAGAGGGCTTGTTCTTCATCAGTTTTCACTCCAGCTCGTCACGGGGACTAACCGGAGATGAAGAACAAGACACCTCCCGGGAGTCAGGTCCGTGGGGTCGCCACTGCCCAACAGCTCGCCACAAGCTGCCTTGCGGATGAATAAAGTTATTATTATTAATATTCTTTTGGGACGTTTTTTAAAACATCTCGCCCCGCCCAGGAAGTATCAGTCTTTTCTTTGTCCTGCTCCAGGCCGGGGCGGCGGTTATGGCGTTTGACCAACCCCGGCCGATTTCTTTGCTTACGCATTTGTATTTAATAAAAAAGGTGTCACTGGTTTTAAGGGTGAAACTTAGCTTGCTAAACTTGCCTTGATATTACTCTAGCCTAGTCAAACCGGTCTATTTATGCCAAAGTATGACTTTCTCACGTGTCAAAACACTAAGAAACGCAGCCGCATCAAGCCGTCTTCAAATCATGGTTGGCAGTCAACAATTGTGCGATTCACGAGAAACTTTCTGCCTTGCACAGCAAACCTTTGGAATAATCTTCTGGCGACGGCATTCCCGAACCGATACGACCTTCAAACTTACAAGAGACGAGCGGACTCCTTCTTAAAAGGCCGGCAACGCACCTGTGACTCTTCTGGTGGTGCCATGCCATTTATGGGCGGCGCCGATCACTTACCATCAGGTGATCCGTCTGCTTGTTTGCCTCCTAAATCATAAAAAAATATATACTTGGAAGTACATTTTCTAAAACTTACCTCCTTTTTAGACAGTCCAGTGAGTACGGGTATAAGGAAACGAACGTCTGACACTCGCGTCGCATACAGTTCCCGCACTTTTGATACCAGCTCTTGTGACGGGGGTGCTGGGGGTAAAATAAAATAATATTATACTTAGATTGCACATAAATAACAAGACCTTTGAGATGTCATTCCTTTTAAGATGTAAGATGTTAGTGTAAACTATTTACAATCTTTTCTTTACGGTACGTAACAGGGATGTTAGGGGGCTACGTAAACGTAACCGCGACGTAAATATCGAATATCCGATATAAAAAATTTTCGTAACCGAATCCGAAATAAAACTTTCGGACCTTAGGGACGGAGCCTAATGGAGACGCGTTATGTTTGTATTTTACTTATGAAACTCCTTAACATTTTAATGTGTACCTAACCGAAATTATCCGAAACTAACGGATAATCCGCAATACGTGCGTTTACAAACATAAAAATTCACATACACATCACACCCAGACTCGGAACAACAATCTGTGGATCACACATAAAAAGGTTCCGTGCGGGAATCGAAACCGCGACACGTTGCGCGGCAGCCAGTCGCCCAGCCACCGCGCCAACCGTGCAGCCAAAAAGTCGAGCGTGTGTCCGACTGTGTACTGTGATATTAAAGTCAAAGTAACCAAGATCCAATTCATATTACAAATATTAAAAAGCTTACCCTTCTCAGTGAATATATGGACTAGTCTCGTTAGTAAGGTCTCGGCTCCTCGTGGGCACTCGTCGAGCAATGCGACGTAGGCCGGGCTCAGCCGAGTGGCTTGCGCGGCCGCGGCGGCCCTCACGGGGCCCTCGACCGCGCGAAGCACGCAGCGCTTGGCTTCCGAACCCGCCGTACCGTACACACGGGCCACTTCGATTATTAACTCTGTAAACAGAATGTGCAATTAGTAGATTGGTATCTATATAGGTAGGTAAAGAGACGGACCTCTGAATTTGTTTCGGCATTTCTTCTCAGAGTAGCCAGATACGAAATGCCGGATTTATCTAGTTTTATTACATATAATTTTGACGTGAAAAAGTGCCGTTTTACGGCCTATTTGCAAAAATAAATTCATCGTTTCCTTGTACATAGAAAGGTAGGTTTTTGTGATTATGTCACAGGAAAAAGCAGAAACTGCCAATTTATAAAATTACAAAATAATCTTTCGTAGTATTCTAAATGAGAGATAAACTACATTAATTTACGATAACTTATGCTACATTAATGCGATATTTAATTGCACAAAATACCAATTTGCGACGTCTCGTACTAAATATATAAACTAACAGATATTTATCGCCTGTAAGCGCCCAGGTTTGAGCATTAATCACCGCGACTGCTCAAGGCAGATTGGCGATTTCAAACTTACAATTAGAAATTATAAGTTGGTCGTGGTGGCCCGGAGGTTAAGGAACCCGCTTCTCATGCATGAGGGCGTGGGTTCGAAACCTGGCAAGTACCAATATGACTTTTTCCGAGTTATATGTACTTTCTATGATTATTTAGACACCACTGACATACGGTGAAGGTAAACATCGTGAGGAAACCTGGACTTATAATTTCTAATTATAAGTTTGAAATCGCCAACCCGCATTGAGCAAGCGTGGTGATTAATGCTCTAACCTTCTCCGTATGAGAAGAGGCCTTTGCTCAGCACTGGGCACTTATAAGCTGATGATGATGAAGTCCAGGTTTCCTCACGATGTTTTCTTACACCATATTTCTGTGGTGTATAAATAATCGTAGAAAGTACATATAACGCGGAAAAAGTCACATTGGTACTTGCCAAGTTTTGAAACTGCACCCTCATGCATGAAAAGCAAGCCTTAACCTCCAGGCCACCACAACATACTATCTTAAATCTACCAAAACAGAATAAAAAGTTTATCATCCAAAATGGTGTCCTTTACCTTCATTCAATGGTAAGAGTGCCATGATAAGGTTGAGACACATGTGGTACAGTTCATCGGTCCACATCGCTCGTCCAGTGCGCGAGTCGCATAGCTCCTGAGGTGGGTGTGGCATGGAGATGAAGCCCAGATACAAAAGACTGTGCTTCTCTATAACTTTTCGAACTGCGTCTGATGTACGACTGTATACCTTTAACACTGCTTTCAGTGCCGTGTCTCTTATTTCCTCGTTTTCATTTACTGAAAAAAAAGTAGATTATTTGTGAATATAATCTATATCTTCATACCTATCTATACAAAAATGAATGCCACTTTTCATTGTTATGTTATAACTCAACAATGCCTTTACCGATTTGGCTAATTTTGTCTTGAATTATTCGTAGAAGTCCAAAAAAGTTTGTACGTAGAGAAAATAAAAAGAAAAATCTTGAAAAAGCGTTAAATCGACACCCACGCTGATGTAATATAATAAAAGCATAAATATAAAATATTGATAAAAATAAGTATTTATTTTAAATGGAATACAAGCTATGTTTTAAGGAAGATTCTATTGCTTGACGACATGAACATGTCATTGTGATAGAAAGGTGATTTTAGGCACAATTGAAAATCTTACACATTTTTAACTTGTGTAAAGAGAAAGAAAGAAAGAAAAAATATTTGGCACCGACCACCAAAGCACCAAAGGTATTTAGAATGAGGAAAAAATGTGTATGCGCATTCATCATACAGAAGGTGCGAAAAATAAAGACAAGAAAAAGCAAGTACTTAAAAAATGGAAATTAACAAAAAATATCCTTAGCCTCTATATAAAAACCAAAATAAAACACTTACAAACATGACACACCAACGCAGCGATATATTTGTGGGCCCTTGGAGGCCGCATTAAACACAGTTCCTCAAACAACTCCAGAGCCAACAATGCGACCTTCTCTTCAGTAACAAGATGTTTCAAGTAATCTACTGCCTCATCCGTCACAACTGGGCACTCTGAATAGATCTTCCTCAACAACATGTCTCTGGAACCTTCCATAACCGGGTCTCCGCGCTCTGCGATCTGAGTTATCAACGCGCAAAGCAACTGATTGTAGTTCTGATCGTGTTTCTCGTGTACTTTGGGCTGTAACGTTACCGGGTGACGGCTAAAACCCTGCATAAATGCGTACTCCTCGTAAAGCCAAGATAAAGCCAAGTCAATCCTGTTAGCTGGGTCTTCCAGAATATGATTCAACACTAAATCTCGTAATTCTGGTGTGTAACTTGATGCAAATATTGTGATGAACTTCGCACGAATGTGTGCTACTCCCCCGATGGCGCTCTCCGTCTCAGCGTTCAGTATCCTACTCACAGCCTGAGTTATCAACTTTTCTTTTATCTCCTTCGGTATGGGCCTTGTAATCTCCTGCAGTTTCAACAACTTCACTTTTTGTTTTAACTTTGGAACTGTTGGTGTCGGTGGTGCTACTTGTTTCTCTTTTTCCTTCTGTTTCCTTTCCTCTTCCTTCAGATGGTCTTGTCTCGTTTCCTCCATAAGCTTCGATACCGCGGTTTCGATTTGCCTGTCCTTAGTCGTCTCTTGTAACTTTGCTACAGCATTTTTTAGCGTGACTTTTTCCTCGTCGTCCCTAAGTAACGGTATTTTGGATGTGACGTCAGAAAGGGAAGACGTTGCAGTTGTTGCAGTTGGTGCAGTTGTTGCAGTTGGTGGAGTTGGTGCAGTTGGTGCAACTATTTCAGGTTCATCTTTGTTGTTGATCAGCGCTAGTAACATCTTCGCAAGATTCTTCTTCTGTGTTTTAGTGCCAGAGTTAGGAATAGGTTTGTAGACATTCACAAAGTTGTTCGGCATTTCGTTAGGTAGGTGGTTCACTAGAGTGTGCGTGACGAGGTTGACCACATTATCAACACTGTTTATACCTTCAAATAAGGAGTCTTCGGTAGGAACTATGGGTGCTTTTGGAGCGGAGGGAGTCTCCTCATCGAACATGTTGAAGTCGCTCCTGCTGTTGCTGTCACTGCCCTGGCTGTTGCTCTGAGGGGAATCTATCCTCATTCTCTTAGATGGAGCATCGCCATTTTTCAATTCACCTACACGCTTATTCCTTTTCTCTTTAGGCAGCACCTTATTTATTTCCTGTGTCGTCATACCGATGTCCAACAATAGTTGTGTCAACTGAGGCATCATGTCGTTGGAAGATGGATGCTTTATTAAATTTATAAGGAGCATTTTAAGGTGTTTGCGTACTGAATTCACTTGTGACTGTGATAAGGTCGGGGGTAGTGTCGTGTGTAGGTCACCTAGTGCTTGTACAACTCGCGGCATGAACTTTGGTCTGAACTTTGCGAGCAGGCAGAGAGTGGTCATACAAGCCATCAAGTTCACGCTAGATATATGTTGAGAGTTGTGGAATTTTACCAATAATTCGAATATATGCCTGGAACAAAGACAATTCTAGAATTTAGTTCAAGTATGGTTAAAATAGTTCGAAAGTTCGAGTTACTTTGATCCTGGTTCAAATTTCTAATGTGATACCACGGCCTCACAGAAAATCGGTTACCGGAGGCCGGTATCATTCCCCTCCCCCAACCGTAACTCATCTGTTGTTGCGGGTGTCCATGGGCGGCGCTGATTGCTTACCATCTGGTAATCCGTGCTCGTTTGTCGTCCACTTACATAAAAAAACCGATGAAAACCTTATAGACCTTTGCTTGTGGGTTATTATTGGTTAAGTTGGGTTTGGATCAAAATTACCCTGCAGTGTGAAAGTAGCCCGGACCTACCTGGACTAAAGTACTGTTTTTTAGAAAGTTGAAGAGAATAATTCTTTCAAATTTGTGAATGTTTACACCAGTAAAATATTCTTGAGAAATTATCAAAAATTGTTCAATCAAATAATAAAGGTGCAAATCATTTTTGCATTTTTATCATGCCCTACAGGTTTTAATTAACACAATACTCACTCGGATTCTTCTTCTAAGGCCCGTCGGTTGATAAACGTCATGTTAGCGGGTAGAATGTCCAGACTGAACTCATCTCCAGCTCCATCACTTGGAGTCTGCAGCAGAACTACCTCCTCAAGGAACTTGATTGAGTGTGTCCGTATACCTTCATTGTCACTGTCTATCATGTTTAATACTAATAGCTGAGGACAATAAGAATATAGTTAATTTGTATTTTTTATTTATTTTAAAACTTGATTTTTACATTTTTAAATATTTTCATAAAACAAAAAAAAAACACTTAAAAATATAAAAAGCAGTATCCCACCGGTTACGGGAGGGTTCCAAGCAACCGGTGGTCAGGGTTCCAGAGAAAGGAATCTCCGGACAATGCGCGCCGTGTCTAGAAGTACAGCTTTCTGGATCAGATTCTTGACCCAACCATCTAACGTAAGCTTGCTTAGGTGTTTATCAAGGCTTTTAGCCATGAGACCATTGGCAGACACGACTATCGGCACAATGATTGCTGAGTCTACATCCCACATGTCGACAATCTCATGAGCTAAATCAAGATATTTACTTGCTTTATCTTTTTCAGCTTTCACAAGATTCTCGTCATGTGGGATTGTTATATCAATTATCATTGTGCGACGGCTAGATCGATCTATCATCACAATGTCAGGTTTGTTGGCTACAATTGTCCTATCAGTGATGATAGTTCGATCCCAATACAGTGTGACATCTCCATTCTCGAGAACTGGGTCAGGCAGATACTTATAGTACGGCACTTCAGATTCAACAAGTTTGTATTTTAAAGCAAGTTGCTGGTGGATAATCCTGGCCACGAGGTTGTGTCTATTAATTTGTATATTATTAAGACTATTTTAAGTGTGGGAAAGCCAAGCTTCGGCACAAATGGGTCGGCTCGCTCGGAGAGATACCACGGCCTCAAAGAATACTGGCGTGAAATCACCACAGCGTTGTTACGCCGTGCGACTGTGTGAGTGAGGTTACCGGAGGCCCAATCCCTCTCCCACCCCTATCCCTTCCCAATACTTATATCTGCAACCACTCGTAACTCCTCTGGTGTTGTTGGTGATTGCTTACCATTACGTAACCCGTCAGCTCGTTTGCCGACTTACTCCATAAAAAAAGACAGCATTTCTTTTACTTTAATATTGTTTTAAGGTTTTCAAATCTAATTTCCAACAAGGACCTTACCTTCAGTTGTGTGATATTCTCCCATACAAACTGCATCTCAGACATTTCTGCTTTGCCCTGACATATCCACATGAGAGTATTACGGTATATAATGCTGGATGCCTGAATGGCTCTCTTCTGCACAGCGATTACTAAGTCACTGACTAATAGACGCAGTTCTGTGATGACTTTTGGTAAGTATTGCGGATGGAGTTTGCTGTAACACAGTAATTTTATTATCAGTTAGAATGGTATTTGGTAACTTATATTTATCTAGCAATGTATGTATTTGTGTTTGTCAAGTGCAATCTTAGTGTGGGTGAGCCAAGCTTCGGCAAGAATGAAGTGATACCATGGCCTCACAAGAAACCAGCATCAAACAACCACAGCATTGTGTTTTGCTGTGTGAGTGAGGTCTAATCCTTCAATATCCAAAACCCTTATCCCTAAAAGGTTGGCAGCACACTTGTAACTCCTTTGTTTATGTCCATCACTGATTGCTTACCATCAGGTAAAAAAATTGTACTAAGGCTGTTTCACAATGCCTGGATAGCCTGTATTTTAACAAATTTTGAATATGGAACACACACGAGTTTTGTTTTTATATAATTTTAATTAATGTATCACTATGATTAGTGCATTCGAGGAATGCCCGCATTAGTGTCATATTGTGTTTCATATTACCATGGTTTAAAGGTCAAGTTGCATGTCTAGGTCTGAGTTTTATTTTTAAAAATTGTATATTATATGAAGGTGGTCAAACAGGCCCCGGGATTAATCAGTGAATGAATTCATTGAATTGAATCAAATCTATATGGTAAATAGAGTTTAGGTGTAAATCTAGAAAGCTTTGAATGTCTTATATTTCAACTTTTGTTGGCAATAACTGATGAGTCCAAAATTAAAAGATACTTCATGATTGGCTAGTCAATCAATAACAAGTTGGCTGATCACAATTTTTTATTGACAATAGTCACAAGAATCATGACAGGACTCTTAATCATGAGCAGTGTGCCCAATTTCCACATTGGGCGGCTCAAAACTTAATTCGAAAGTAGTATAGCTTTTGTTTATCCGTGTGCTATGTTATGTATGTTATTTACATTAGTCTTTATTATCAATAAACTAGGTAAAGTCCCGTGATAGTTACTACTCACAAATAACTTGTGATTTTTCAAAGGTATGCCTAATTACTAATTACAGAAACTTGAGACCATTCATTCAGTGAAAAAGACTACATACATGATCACCTGCTGACCAAAATAACGTGTGAATAAAATAAAGTTAAACAATAAAAAAGTATAGTTTATTAACAATATGACAACCAACCTCAACTCTTCAATAAATGAGATGACCTGCTTCTTTACATCCGTTGATTTGTCATTTACATAGCTCAGAATGTTATCTATGTACACAGGGAGCACTGAAGAACACTGATGAAGCAACAGTTCCACCACTTTCCTCAGCAAATCCGATCTTCTGCCCCCTTCCGCCATTCCAGCATCGTTTATCCATTGTACAAGCTAAAAACCACCACAATTTTCACATAAATCACGACACCATACCGCCTAATCAGTAAATATTACTTACAAATCAAAAATACACAAGTTATTTTGATAACAAAGGTTCGCGCGTTCACGCTCATACAAACCTGGTTTTGAGCAAGCGTACTACTTTGTTTGCTCGGTAAACTGGCCATATTTTATTTTATTTACTTCATGTGTACTTTCTAAATAATACTTAAGACGAAAGCATTGCTTTTATATCAATAAATAACGAATAAATGTGGAAAAAGTCAGTGAAACAATACTTTTACACTACAACGTTTTACATTATTATGTAAGGAAATTAAAAAGGTATGTCAGAATGAGAAAAGAGATGGCAAAGATTAGCAAATTATCCTATGACAGAAAGAGATATTCGGACACTATACAACTTTGAACGCTTTTTGGTAGTATTAATTTGAGGTTGACATTCCGTGTCCAATGTTGCTAGTGTATATTTATAGAAAAATTACAAGTTTTTTTTTTACAATATTAAAAAAACGTGTTTATTGTTTTTAGTTATTAATTTCATTAGTAAATTCTATCTTTAAATAGGTACTTAACAGTAGAAAATATATAAATATATTTCTTTTTTAGCATAATGCACTGAAATTATTTAGAATTTTAACTTCAGCTATTAATTTCCCCTAAATATTATGACACAAAAAGATATAAGTACCTACTACTTTTTAATAATTTTTAAAACTAATCTTACAATAACCATTTTCTATTGGAAATTACGGCCTTTATAAGGATATATTAAACATTTGTTTTTAGTTTTAATTTTTATTTTTAAAAATAGTTGTCCCACAGTAGGATTTTCCCCTGTGTCGTGGGTGCGGTTACAAACATACAATTTTACATACACATGACACCCAGACCCGGAACAACAATTTGTGGATCACACAAAGAGTTGTTCCGTGCGGGAATGGAACCTGCGACATATGGCAGCCAGCCGACATACTGCAACCGTGCAGTCAAAGTCAAGTTATTGTATCTAATATGTTTTTACTACTAACAAAAGCCATTGAGTGCTAAGTTCCTACATTAAGTACCTAGGTACTTATAGGTACCTCCTTGTACGATAACCACGGTAAAAAGGAAACGCTTATTAATAAAAATATTTTTTGTTTAAGTATTTTTACTAACTATTTTATAGTACAATTTCTATCATTAAGCCATTATCGGTGCTTGCTGTACAGGAACATATGGCTGCAGTTCATAAGCCGGCTGCTTTTCTCTGTCTTCCAGGACGAGGTAATAACTTCTTACAATGATCATAACCACTAGAAGTGTAACTGAAACAAAAATAATTGAAAATATGATTATTATGACGGCATCGTGGGAGAGCCAAGAGCGTCGGCTCGACCGGAGTGACACCACGACCAGCAGTAAACCTGGCTGGCTTGAAACAACCACAGCGTTGTGTTTTGCGGTGTAAGTACCTAAGATTGCCGGAGGCCTAATCCTTCCCCTCCGTTACCTATCTACTAATACAGGCGCCTCTGAATGCTTACCATCAGGTAATCCGTCTGCTGATCTGCTCATTTGACAACCTTACACAAAAATAAACACTGGTAGTGTGGTCGCAACCGTAGCTACCAAGGTTTGATTATGGCTGTAAAATTTGAATTGTCCCCATGTCCCCAACAAAATTGGTGGTTTTTCATCAACTTCGGGAATGACAGCAATTTCAAAGAGTTTGCTTAAGCGTGATGGCAGTGAACTCAATAGCGAATTCGATATGGAAGCCATGCCAAGTGCCAGTAACATTCCTCACACTGAAGAGTTGGACGAAGGACAGCCACATGTGTATGGTAAACGAGATTGGAACGGGGACGGATGACGGATTGTCGTAAATAGACCCTACATTGTTTAAGCTTTTCTATCAAGTAAAATAAATGTGATTCATACAATACTTACAAGACCACTTGAGCATAGGAAGCGTGGCTAAAAATCCCATAAACACGAACGTCACAATTACCAATATAACACTGAGGCAGAACATAAGTAATGTCGCTCTGAAGTAGAACCTCAGATAGTTTGGCTTTTCCTGCAAAAAATAAAACAAAAATATTTAGGACTTGAAATTTTTTATAATGGGGCAAATCCTGGATTGACTCCTTCCAGCCTAAGTGTGGTGGAAGACAATGTCTGACTCTTACTGGCTAAAGACAAACTCGAATGTCTGCCTCGTATAGACTAAAAACAAATGAACAACGGAAAACGCCTGCTGCCAAACACGGTAACGCATTGCGTTTATACCGGACTCGGGGGGAGGGTAGATTGAGCTTATTCAATTTTGAGTTGTATCTAGCTATCGTGAAATAGCTATACCTACAAAATTTAATGCTACTTAAAGCTAGTAGAGCTGTTCTCAGTTAGTTTACGTGAGACGTCGTTATTTTCAATGAAACAGCTTAATCTTCAACTGCTGGTAGTTTTCGTAAGACTAAAGGAAAGTAAGCCTCCAATATAATAATATCTAAATGAGGGGTGTTTTCAATCTCGACGTAAGGCAAGTTTGTTAAACGTCACAGAATTAAGATTTAGGTTCATTTATCACAAGGCACTGCTGTCTGGTCTCTCTCTAAGTAGTGTGTACTCCTTCAACTGGATCTTACTGAATAGTGAGAAATCTATTATATCTTTATATTCATATAAATTGTGGGACATAGGTATACATTAAAGTGTGGGAGGGCTACGCTACGGTACGAATGGGTCGGCTCAACCGAAGCGATACCACAGCCTCACAGAAAACCGACGTGAAACATTCACAGCGTTGTTTCGCCGTGTAAGTGAGGTTACCGGAAGTCCAGTCTTTTCCCTCCCTCTTCCCGCCCCAATCCTTACTCCATCCTAATCCCCTAAACTCTAATCTGAAACCTCAAAAGGCCGGCAATGCACGCGTAACTCCTTTGGTGTTGCGAAAGTCCATTGGCGACGACGATTGCTTGCGCAAAAAAAAAACAATAGAATCTCCCGTTACCACAAATTTAAAGCTAGTTGATTGATTAAAGAAGATTTGTCACATAAATAACCACCTAACTTCACCTACCAACAACACAGTCAAAATAAGATTAGGTACCGAAGCGTAAAGATAACAAAAATAATTCGATCTTATCATTGATTCATTCTTATTACTATACATATGTACAGAGTAGGTTAACCTAACCTAAAATACCTACTTACCTACATATAAATATTTTAGTTAAGTGCCGACAAAGATTGTATACTAAGATCTCATATCATTCTGAATTTGTGACTAATAAATAATTCACAAAAATATTATGATAAAATTTTCCGATTCCGGTGACAATTTTGATTAGCTCATGTTCTATGGTAAGTGACACATGTTGTTGTAGGTAGGTAGGTACCTTGTGATGATGATTTACGAATTCATAATAATCACTACCTATATGATCAGCTGATGACGATGACTTCCATTCCATTGTGTGATGCCATATGATTGTATAGACTAATAGCACGAATCAATGAATCAACTAAGAAAATACCATTTACTGAACTGAGGTTAATATTGAAGGTAAACGAAAGATCGATATAATTTTTTGATCAAGTTGAAATTAGTATTTACTTGTATCTAAAACCTACTTAATAAAATTATCTTATAAAAATAACTTCATTCGATCCTTAGTATTTGCTAATTAATCATTAAATTTCTTTCTCTAGGAAAAGTACCTAATGATTACCTAAGTAAGTAGCTTAATAATAAACTGATGTAATTTGGCAACGGTAGTCTGATAGCTAGAATTAATAAGTAGGCAACTAATAAGTTCTATAAATCGATATAGTTAGGTCCAATAGGTTCGCTTTGTTTTGATCTACGTGCATACTGTTTTACTGAAACTCTTTTCAACAAATCCTAATGTAAAATCGATGATCGAAATCAGTTTTTTTAAGAAACGCCTTTTGTGATTAAGGAATGTTATGTATTGTACTATTTACACCTATATATTATATAGTTACTTACCCTGTGTGCGCCAATAATTAACACGACATTAATCGCAAGATTGAGCAGGAACACCAATAAATAGTAGGCAAAAGACAGATACAGGCCCAAAGCCGCTTTCCTGACTTCACTGGGTGAATGCCCAGGATTTGGTCTATTGTTATTTTCCTCCACGAATTTGGAAACTCTAAAGATCGACCATGAAACTGTAGCTAAGGTCATACAGGACATAAACTGTAAAATAAACATAAATAAAATTAAAACTCCTACTCGATTAATTAAATGTGCACATTCGTAAATCATTGCTATTGAAAGCGAACAGGCGCTATTAAAAACGAAGTCAAATAAAATTGTTTAATTTAAAAATAAAACAAATATTCAGTACTTACTATAGAAAAATATCCGATAAGCAACACGCCGACTTTAAGTGGTATGCAATAACAACATTTATTGTATCTCGGAAGTTCGAACACCATGTTTGTTTATTTATTAACTCAACAAAAATAACAAAACAATATAAGTAACTAACACGACTTCTTTTGTAAATAATATTAACTTAATTCAAACAAAAACTAAGTTTTAATAAAAAAATCACTGAAAACAATCCTTCAACACAAACTATAACGTTGGCTTTGTGTCGGATTATTCTTTAGCCACATTTTATCAGTTATCTATCAGATAGGAAAGGGCGTTGTCGATAACAGTGACCAATGAACCGAAAGTAAATAAACTATTTTGTTACAATCAACGGTAATTATTTAGGTGTGTTTTTAGGTTAGATATTATGAAAATCCATATCTAAGACTTCATAGCGAACTTGCTCTATATAAAAATGTCATGTAAGAATGTATGTACCGTGGTAGATACTTGATTGTTATCAGTGTAATTTCCCACCTACAAAGCAAAGACATTGCAGTTTTTTAATGTATGCACTTCTTAATCTATGGTTCGTTGTACTACCTATGAAAACACACCTAATTATGTACTTACGAAAGAAAAGAAAGTTGTATATTTGATAAGCTAGGTTCTATAGGTTTAAGTAGTAGGTAGGTACGGTATGTCTTTTTTCAACCCACTTACTCCTAAATTGGCTCTAATCCCATGGCAATGAGGCACGTAATGACACCTAATAATCAAACCGTGACCTTTTTTAATACTAACTAAGTATTGCTCACAAGTGAGTAATAGAGTATTTTTTAAATTATTGGTTGAGTTACGCTCACAATTGCGCTAAAATAATATCCACGCAAAGCCCTAGAAAAAAGAAACAGAATTTTTTAGTCTATGGCCGATGCGCGCGCATAGATGTACTGATTATTTTTTCCCGCCATTACAAAACGTCCTCGACTCCTTATGCCCCTCGAAACTTGGCAAGTATTAGTGTGACGTGAAGTTTCTAAGTTATATGCAGTATTAAGACACGATTGATAAACGGGGAAGGAAATATCGTGAGGAACCTGTAGGTACTTGATATTTCTAATTATAACTTTATAATGTGAGTTTGATAATGCTAAAACCTTCTCCGTCTGAGAATTTCTTTTAGTCTGATGATGCGTAATGAACCAATGAGTGAATGTCTCGTAGAAAAGAGTGTACCTACAAAACGAAAACGTGCCGATTCGATCGGAGCGTATTATATATGAGCTCTCATTGTGGCATGGAAGTAGTCGAGAAACTCTCGAAATTTAGGAACGCGAATAAGCAGTACCTAAGTACCTGTTGTTTATTTTTTTCAGATATTTTGGTAACAGATATACATAAAAAAAAACAAATACTTAAACTTTTTAATTCTTTTACTATATATAATAAAAAATAAACATAAACGTTAAAACTTCACAGAATTATCACAGTCACCGGAGATCTCTTTGTCGCTTGGTTGCTATTATGTACTATATGCTTGAACATAACATTTCTTTGTACATTGAGGTATCAGAGTCAGGGCAGACACAGTCCTCATACAGAATAGATACAGATTTACATTTAACTGTGGGTCTTTCCACAACACAGACATTTTCCTCAAACCCCTTTTCTTCAGGTTCTTCTATCAAGTCCATGTAATAACTGTAGACCACGACGAAGTTGTAAAACTCTAAGACTGGAAAGAATATTGGCTTATAGACATTACAAGTGTGAGAGCCATGCTTCGGCACGAATGGGTCGGCTCGACCGGAGTGATACCACGGCCTCACAGAAAACCGGCGTCAAACAATACTTAAGTAGTGTTTCGCCGTATGACTGAGGCTATCCCTCCCCAATCCCCAATCCCCAATCCTCAAATCCCCTATCCGCAAATCCCTAAAAACCTACAAGAGTACTACCTACACTTGCAGTAACTCTTTTCGTATTAGGGGTGTCCATGGGCGGCGCTGATTACCTACTTCTTTACCATCAGGTAATCTGTCTTGTCTTTAAAGTTTCAAGTAAAGTTGAAGCTTTTGGTTGCGATACTAGGGCGTAGTACCAATTTAAGAATTTGACCCATTATATACCTATAACAATCAGACTTGAGAGAAGCCGTTTCATTCCGTTTGTAGTACCTAAGTAAGGAATCGTCATGCTGTGCCCTATCATTCTACCAAATTGATTTTCGACGTTACAACAAAAATTATAAAGTTGTAAATTCATTAAGTGCCTTTAGAAATTAGTAAAAGTTTGCAGACTTACTGATAACCATGAGAAATGCTAAGTACCAGCCGATGAGATGGTGATGACCGAGACAGAGAATGGACAGTAAGGTCGTTTCACTAATCCAACAGAGAAACCTGCATATTAAGTATTGGCCTATATGATACGGCTTGCACTGGAAGAAATATTAAGAAATTAAAAAGCATGTATTTTTTTTTATTTTAAGCTTCATGCACAAGAAACTGTACAGAAGGTGGACTTAATGCTTTGGGCATTCTCTACCAGTCTGACCTTCGGGTGATGCAGAGAAGAATATCAATGGCAGATGCAAGAAGCAAGCATAAAATTGTACAAAATCGTAAACGTAGGTTGGCAAATGATCAGACGGATTATTTGATGGTAAGCATTCGGCGCCACCCATGAGCACACGCAATACTAGAATAGTACGTTGCCGGCCTTTTGGACTCTCGAATTTTGGATATTTAGGGATTAGTGGAAGGATGGAGAAGATGGAGACTCCGGTAACATCACTCACACGGCGAAACACAACGCTATGATTCTTTTACGCCGTTATTCTGTGAGGCCGTGGCCTCTCTCTGGTTGAGTCGACCCATTCGTGCCGGAGCATGGCTCTGCCACTTTTGTTATCTGAACTTGGACTTTGGTTTTTACCTCTTGGGCTAAACTGACTGTCAGGCAACTGGTTTGGAAAAGTTTTTTGACGTCGATAAACTGTTAAACTAAACGAAATGTCAAAAAGAAGCTTTATTATTTATCGAGTGTGCAATGCTGTCTTCAAACTACGATAAAAAGAAATTGTGTTGAAAGGATAGCTAAAGTTTAGTTTGGATAAGTCATGACTCGGGACTTGAGGGCCGGCTCGACATTATTATCCCAAGGCCTTTTAAAGAACAACGTGTAATAACACTTACTTTGTGTTTCGTTGAGTGACAGAAGTTACCAGAGGCCGTAACTCCCTACTTCTTCATGCCGAAAATCCACCAATTCTCAAATATGTACCCTCTCACCTCCAATAGGCCAACAACGTACTTGGAGCTCTTTGATGTTGTGGGTGTCTATGTGAGGCGCCGATTGCTTAACATCACGTGACCCGTGTGTTCGTTTGAAATGTGCTCAACTAATTTCAAGTTACACCGGAACCCAAAAGATTCGTGCGTGGCACGACAACGCGAAGAGTTTACTTAGGTTTAAAGTTAGGGTTTAATTTAATTAATTAGTTATCTAACGACAGTTATAATAAAGAAACTCAATAACAACTTACACAGTACAATCCTGAACCCAAAATTATGGTGAATATGAAGAGGAAGCTCTCAGTTACAACCATCACAAGATGGCCAATGAACACAAAGAAGTTATGTCCATCATCTGGTGACTTTTTAGGTAAGAAGATAATCACCATCGTAATGATGAAGAACAGCAGTACGGAAAAGGATCGCAACTGGAAATTGGGAAAGAAATATACTTATTAAAAATCGGTCGCAGGTTGAATGTAAGTTGGTTTCAATCGGCTGATCTTAATATTTTTGGGGAGACCTATAGGACGATGGATATTGAGTCTATAGTAACTTATATGTATTAGGTGTTTGCTAGTATTCGTATAGTGAATTATTCTTGATTCTTTATGTAAATAGGTCATTGATTCGTCTTATGTTTCGTGAGTGTAATGTCCAGAAGCACCCGCTAATTGAATTGGTTGTAAACTGATTTTCGTGCCTTTTTTTGTCAGGGGAAAATCATCAAATGACTTCTTCCGCCCAGGGTTAGGCGAGAGAGAGTTTCAGACTCTTACTGACTAAAAACCCCCCCATTCCTTATCCTGCTCTGGGCCGAGGCCGCGGTGATTCATTGCCCCGGCTGAACATCAGCCCTCTGAGGCGCGCGCGCGCGGAACTCTACGCGCCGTCAGCTCTGACTTGCGTGCCTGTCTTCAGAACGCAACGGGCCCACTTAAATGGGTGTGGTTCTTTCTTCAAAAGACCACTACAGAATGAACTTGCATGGTTCTTACTCATTATTATTTTTTACATTGTTTGGACTTTAAAAGAGACGGACCTCTGAGTTTGTTTCAGCATTTCTTTTCAGAGTAGTCAGGTAGGAAATGCCGGCTTCCTCTAGTTTTTTTAATGTATAGGTAATTTTGACGTGTAAAAGTCCTGTTTTATGAACTGTTTGTAGAAATATATTAATTGTACCTATAAAAATACCTATACAAATCACTTTTAAAACAAATTGGATATTTAAACGAATTACTAGACAATAAAATGTTGCGAAATTTCTAGCGAATTGCTCGTCTAACACTTTAGTAGAAATTGGTTGGTTTTGGAGAACTGAATAAAATTATATGTAGTTATACAGGTTATACAATTATTATTATTAAAATATTACCAAAGTCCATATTAATATAACAAAGCAGCCGGTTCTCAAAGAATATAAAAGTAGAAAGGATCCCAATGTTGGTAAATTAATATTGAGATCGTTGCACATTTACAAATAAATCAAATAAAAAAACATTTAAAAACTTTGTATACAAACGGATCTTATATTAAATTGTCAAAATTATCTTTGACAGCTTGTCTTTGGCGTTTTATACAAGGTGTCATTTAAAGAATAGAACCTTGCAATAACTTCTATATATAGAAGATAGGTATATCGTATGACAAAAAAAAATTAACAATAAATTTAAGAAATGTATTATTAATTTTTTTAGAAAAATTAAGCATAATTTATTTTTGCAACAATGTTTAAAGATCTTCTTTATGTAATAATGCACGTGAACGTCGAAGGATCATTTTCTATTTTGTCTGGCACCTCTAGCACTGGTTCTTCTACTTCAAGACGTTATAACTTAGGTACTACCTACTGTGATATTTATTTCATATTTTTTTGAACGGCCATTGATGTACTAAAATGCATTTCATCCATTCTTTAGCGGTTTCCACGCCTACTACTAGTGGAGAAGAAACCACAACTTGAAAGAATCCTGGAAAGGAGCCTTTGGTCCATCTTTATTTAATTGTTTAAAAATCAGGCACATGCGACTAACGAATTCTTTGTGTAAAAAACTCAACGTAGGTAACTACCTATTTTTCTGCTACTTATACAAAAAAACAAACAATTGAAGAGAGACGGAAACCCTCTTACAGACACAAATGGACACCCTGTATGTAAGTAGATATGAAACTTTTTTTCGCCAGACGCGCTGTTTATGAAATTTTTCCCTTACAGCCAACCTTGGATAATACTCATTTCTTTTAGTTAACAAGCCACGGGGCATAGATTGTAACTAAAATATATATTTGTGACCAGATACCCCTTTCCTTACTCTCTCGTGGTGTAAGGGTTAACTAAGGGCTAAGGTGAATGAAGACAGTAGAAAAATGGAAATGGATTCCAAATCTTTGAATGGGGCGATGGCCCAGAGCGACAAATTCTGGGGGGTGCCTAGGTCTGACGTTAGGGTCTCTTGCCACTCCTGGTGCAAGCCCTCAGAACTGTGCTCTACGCTCTGTGCACATGCATATTTTTTTAGATGGTTTTTTTGAGGGTTTGCGGTCAAGGATTAATTCTAACGATATCAATACGATCAGCAAAAAACTAACATATCAAATGTTAGTTTTTTAGCCTCCCCTTAAGTGGGCCGCCAATAAAATTAGTTTCGCCCAGGGTCTCAGTGGCCCTTACGCCCGCACTGGATGTCGTCCACTGCTGGACATAGGCCTCTCCAATTGCACGCCACTGAGCTCACAGCTCTTCTCATCCAACCACTGCCAGCCACCCTGCGGATGTCGTCAGTCCACCTAGCAGCTAGCTGGAGGGTGCCCTATACTACGTTTGCCTAGACGTGGTCTCCACTCTAGAACACGTTTACCCCAACGGTCATCGGTTCTTCGACAAAATAAATGTGACATGGTTTATACATATGCCTTCCTATTCAGCTCTGCAATTCCTTTTGCGTATCAGAGAATAAAGAGTGAGAGAGATAATTATTTTTGTAATTTAAAAATAAAATTAGTAAAGTAGATATGCATAAGTACAATGTTCAGCGATCAACTGCAACCTAACCTACTTCAATCTGTATTTTTAATCATTGGATTTTTAACTTCATGTCAATATAATAAAGTTGAAATTTGTCAAAAAGGTGTAGGTTGATCTGCTGTCCAGTATTTTAGTCAGTTCTGTTATCAGATGGACTTTGCAACGCAAAAAGCCCGGAAGGGAGTATATTTTTCTGTGTTATTCCGTCTGGAATTTTATGAATCAACGCAGTTATTTTTAGATAATAATTATAATGACTGTTTGTTTCGCATCCTGTTTACCTACAATAATACTGTTCTTATCAAAGTGTTTATCCGAAAGTACTTGCGTTATTTTAAACTATTGTGTGTTCCAGTTAACAAGATAAGGTAGGAATGATTGATCAATATTTTTGTTGCTTGCCAATCTTAAGCTGATGTATATACGTCTGATGTCGAACTAGACGAACACTAACTTGAAGTCGTTGATAGACCAACAACGCGTATTTTTTTATGGTATAGGTTTGCAAACGAGCAGAAGAATTACCTGATGGTAAGCAAGCAATCAGCACCGCCTATGGACACCTGCAACAAAAAATGAGATACAAATGCGCTGCTGGTCTTTTAGGGATAAGGGTTTTGGATATTTAAGGATTGGGAAGGGATGGAGGGAGGGGAAGGGATTGGGACTCCGGTAGCCTTACTCACTGGCGAAACACAACGCTGTAGTTGTTTCACGACGGTTATCTGTGAGGCCGTGTAGGACTAGTAGACTCGTGCCGAAGCTTGGCCCTCCACTCCACACACTTAAAATGCTTTTGCATCATCATCAGCCCATAAGTGCCCCCTGCTGAGCAAAGGCCTCTTCTCATACGGAGAAGGTTAGAGTATTAATCACCACGCTTGCTCAATGCGAGTTGGCGATTTCAAACATATAATTAGAAATTATAAGTCCAGGTTTCCTCACGATGTTTACCTTCACCGTATGTCAGTGGTGTCTAAATAATCATAGAAACTACATATAACTCTGAAAAAGTCACATTGGTACCTACTTGTCAGGTATGAACCCACACCCTCATGCATGAGAAGCGGGCTGCTTAACCTACGGGCCCCCACGACATCGTTAAGTGTTTTTCTTCAAAGGCCCCAGTTATGATTTCATTTTTCATCTACCTACATATTTTATAATTATCCCCTACACTAGGATATTCCTCCTGTGTCATGGGTGCGTTTACAAACATACAATTTCTTAGGCACATCACACTCAGACCTGGAACAAAAACGGTAAGGTCTTCGTAACACACACATCTCTTCCTTTGGCGTTCAGCTTGAATAGCTTCCTATCCGTGAGAGGAGATCCTTCAGATCCCTCTCCATTTTTTTTTCTATCTCAAACGATTTATATGCTCCCGTATATTTAAATCAAACTTTCGGATTCTTGGTAATACTCACAGCCAAAGTCTCCGTGCATCTGAAAACCTGCTTCTAGAGATCCCTTCCCACCGTACTTGTTTCATCTCAAATTCCTTCGCAGTTAGTGCAATGAAGCCATGGAATAAGCTGCCTAGGCCCAGAGCTGGAGAAGGAACGGGGGCGTTTTTAGTCAGTAAGAGTCTGACACTGTCTCTCGCCTTATCTTTAGGGAGAATTAATTTGATGATTTTCCACTGACAAAAAAAGAGCTATGAAATAAGCACGGTTTCACCCGCTGCTCGGTTCCATTTACCTAATCGTAGCATAATGTTTTATAGTCTATAGCACTCAGGAACATTGTAGGTAACTATTTAGCAGTGAAAGAATTTTGGCAATCAGACCAGCGGTTCGAAAGATTACCTTCTACATACAAACTTACAAACATACAAACGTACAAACTTCAAGTTTTACCTCTTTATACGATTAGTACCTATAGATAGAAAAACGTGCCTCGCTTACTTAAGTACTTACCTAATTAATAAAAAGGGCTTCTTATTAGCTTTAGTACTAAGTACAATACCGCCAATGTATCTTGGCGAGTCTGAAGTTAGCCGTTTGTCTGCGCAATGGATCTTTTAGGAACAAAATTGTGTACTGCGCAGCTAATCGGCGGCCGTACTGTATTAACGCACCCGCCCCTTTTTGCACTAGACATACTTAGATAAATGAATTTCAAGAAACTACAATATTTACTTGCATAACAAAAATATAAACGTAAATATTATTGTTCCACCACCGAAACAAATAAATATGTACAATTTCTATAATAAAAAAAGGTTAATTCAAAACAATAAATGTGGAAGTCCAGATAAATATGGAGTTTCTCAGAATTTTATTAATGCTTAACTATGTTTAAACCGATTACCATATACATCGACCCATTAGTTCAGCAAGGCTGAATGAGTGATTGAACTAAACGAGTAATGTACACATTGCGATTCTTTTAACTCATTACGAAAACACTGGCGTGAGATAGTGATTTCCAGGAGGTCAAATCGTTATCAATATTATCAGCATTAGGTTAGTAAATACTATATACTATTTACCACTTTATTTACAACCTTATCAGATGGGAATAGAGTCGAATTTATGGTCGGGATTGTGTATGGAGTTTCCATCATTATGCAGTTTAGCGGTCGAACTGATTCAGAACACGGCATGTGACATTTTTGACTTGTGTGTTTTTACTGAAAACTTAGTTTTTACCCGACTGCCAAAGAAGGAGGGTAATGTTTTTCGAGTGTATGTAAGTATGTATGTATGTCTTTTCCTTTGTGACCTCCTGTAGCCTAAACGGCTTGATGGATTTTGATGTATGAGGTATCGTTAGATTTGTCTTGATTACGGGAGTGTCATAGGATACATTTTATCCTAAAAGTCCCACGGGATAAAGACATAATAATATTTTTCTAAATTTCCCTTTAAAAAAATATGTATGCGGTATCATTAGATTCATTTCAATCACGGGAGTAATTAATATAGGATACGTTTTTTCTCAAAATTCCCACGGGAACATGTTAATTCTGCGTCAACGCAAAGCAACTCATGCGTTAGCAAGCAGTAAAAAAATTATTATTAAAAAAACAAAATACCCGACTGCACACTAAAAAAAGAGTAAAATAAAAAAAATATTATTAAAAAAACAAAATACCCGACTGCACACTAAAAAAAGAGTAAAATAAAAAAATTATTATTAAAAAAACAAAATACCCGACTGCACACTAAAAAAAGAGTAAAACAAGCCCCACAATACAAATTTACTGAATATAATTTATAAATGTTGATGGAAAGCATCGCAGGCGGGGACCACCTTGACCGCCACCAACGAAAATTCTGCTAAATGGTGCACAACAGAAATGACTATAAATAAGCCTCTGTTGGTCCCCGCCTGCGATGCTTTCCATCAACATTTATAAATTATATTCAGTAAATTTGTATTGTGGGGCTTGTTTTACTCTTTTTTTAGTGTGCAGTCGGGTATTTTGTTTTTTTAATAATAATTTTTTTATCACGAAAAGTATACACCTTTGTAATGTAGGTAGGTAGGTACTGTATGTATGTATGTATTTTTTGTTTAGATGTTACCTACATAGCTATCAGTACGCAGTACGTATCAGCTACTTATAAATATAAGTAACATGAAACGGTCGTCTCAAGCACCCTCCCTTTCATACTTAGGTAGGTAGGTATGTACTTATTTTTTACGTATTAACTTCCGTCCGCAGCTTCGCCCGTGTGGTATGTTAATAAAAAGCCTAGTGTTAATCAACCAATTTGTGTGTCTTGCCGATTTTGTGTGAAAGAATAAAAAACATACCTAGGTACATCCATATATATATTCTCACTAACTTTCTCATTCATAATATAACAAGGATAGCAGATTAGGATATGCTAGGTAAGTAAACTTTGTTAACCTCAATAAATAAAAAACAAAACGAAAGTTGGAAAATATTATTCAAAAATTCTAAGTAATAAAAAGAAATGAAATCACATTGAAACGAAACAAACAAATAAATAATAAATTGCAACGCACTTCGTTGTACAGTTCACCAGCGGGTCAGATGTCCGGCTGTAGGCAGACATGTCCATTAGATAAGTACGCTCTCAAATAGGTTTGAATCATCAGTCCTAACTGGCAGTCGGGACAACGCGCGTGTGCCTAACGCTACGAAAAAAAAGTTTAGTTAAAAAGAAAAAACATATTGTTCTATTTTCAAGAATGTATTGTGATTGGCCAACCTTGGGGCGTTGCTGCTTTTGCATGCCGCTTAGACGAGGGATTCTTACTTTCGGATACATTAATTTGGTAAGTATTCTTTCATTACCTGTTAATTTTTGTTTTCGAGTGTATTTTGTCCTGGGAAATCGTCAAAAGTGGAGTGTTTCTATTACATAGCTGTTGTTGATTTTGGAATAAAATTGAGGTTGGTTTGCGGCCGATTTGTCTCTTGTTCAATAATATAAAGTTTATGAAATGTAAACGTACCTTCCTCGTCCTTATCGTAGATACTCTCTTTCGATCTTTTGTGTAAAATACCCGGTCAGATATTCGCGGATGCTGCTAATTGTGCACAATTTACGCCAACGGTATCTGTTATTTAAGGAATCGTAAAAAACATACCGTATTGCGTCACTTTTACGTAAAAATATTTATATTTTGTGACATTTGGTGATAAGTGATAATATTGAAACGAAATACCTATATTTAAAAAAAGTTAACAATCATTATTTTTTATCAAAATAGGAAATAAACTTTATTTTGTTTCACAATAAACGTTTTAAACTTCAGAGAGTGCATCTGCAGTTTTAGTTCTTTGTCGGATCAATAGATGGCGTTATTGTCAACAAAAATGGTCACTGCTCACTATAAGGTCACGGCCTAAGAAGACCAAACAATGATAAGCATGTCATCTAACTAAATTGCTAGTGTCTTGTTTGTATTGGCTTGGTTCTATGGAGCATAGAGTCCTAGGTTTTATCTCTGATTCGTTTAGAGAGGGTAGTTAGGTAATGTAAACACACCCGCTAGATAATGTATCTATGTAAACAATAGTTAATTACTAGTATTTGCCCGCGACTCCTTTCGCGTGGAACGCAACTTGAAAACTTCAAGCAGATTTTTGGTATAAAAACTATCCTATGTCCTTTCTCGAGTTCCAAACTATGTTCTGTACTAAATTTCACAGAAATCGGTTCAGTAGTTTAGGCGTGAAGAAAAGACAGACAGACAGATAGAGTTACTTTCGCATTTATAATAATGATTTGGATGAGGAGGAAATAATCAAATGACTCTTCTGCCCTGTGAGGCTGTGTAGCTTCTGAGGGAGGATCTTCTTCGAGAGGGAGTGTCAGACTGTTACTGACTAAAAACCACCCCGTTTCTTCTCATACTCCAAACCCGGTGTGAAAAAGAGAACACAGATTAAAAAGAAGAAGATAATACATATTATTATTATAAATGTAGCTAAGCTAGCAGCCAGTATATAAATTGTACCAATTATTATGTACCTAGGTATGTGGGGATACGTTGGTCACTAAGTACCTAGTCACATAATACCTATTTCAATTGACTCATTTAAGAACTACGACATTTCAATTAATGTAAATACGTTATTTAGGATTTATTTGAGACTTAACTCGTGTTTATGTTTAAAGACTAGAACAAAATAGAAGTTCCATAAACATGAGGTCTTCTCGGTCGGTTCGGCCTTTTTTTTTGTGAGGGGAAAATCATCAAATGACTTCTCCCACCCAGGGAGTGCCAGACTCTTACTGACTAAACCCTCCCCCCGTTCTTCTCCTGCTCTGGGCCGGGGCTGCACTGCCTCATTGCGCTTGTCCTGCAACCCCGGCTAAACATCGGCCTTCCAGGGCCCCGTCTATGTTGGTCTATTAGCTTTTGAAGCGCTTGCAGAAAGCTGCGCGCCGTACGCTTGGGTCTGGTCTGGTGGCAAGTTACCCTTGCTCGCCATCCTTAGACCCCCGCTTAGGAGCATTAGAAGAAATGGAATGGTTTTTAGTCAGTAGGACTTCAGTCATGGTCTGGCCCTCGCTTTTGCTCACCCAAGAGAAATTATTGGATCATTGGTTTGGATTTCCCTTCCTACTAAAAGAGAGTCTTTTGTTTTTAAGGGATCTATGATTAATATGATTATGGGCCAAGTTGTCTTTGGAACGTAAATTAATTAAACATTTAAGCTTTTTAGAAGGATAATTTTGGATAATGAATCGACACCATAGCTGTGAGACTAGCTGAGAGCAATGAGGCACCGCGGCCTCAGCCTAGAGCAGGAGAAGGAACGGGGGGGTTTTAGTCAGTAAGAGTCTGACACACTCTCTCGCCTAAACCTGGGCGAGAGAAGTCATAATGATCATGATGATTTTCCCCTCACAAAAAAAAAATGCTGTGAGACTTCATTCTTTCATTTCCTTCTTATATTTTGTAGAGGTCAATGAATTGTTGTTATTGAATGAATGATGTCTATTTCAGTGGTGTAGATATATTTTAAAACAAACTCTTACCTACTGTTAAACAGTTTAACACACGAACCCACTGCACATTAACGCTTATTTCCTCATTATGTCAAATACGGTAACGAAGTGAATTAATTTGTTGTACAATTCGTACAACCTCGACCTTGTTTTGTTATTATTTCAAACATTTTTTTAAACTAAACTCTTCTGTTATGATATTGTGGAAAACCTAACATAATATTTGATAGGTACGGATATAATAAAAATATGGAAAATGTAATATCCCACCCTCATACACAAAGCGGTTCATCTCCAGAGAGCGTTTTTTTCCGTCATCATCAAATCATCAAATGACTTCTCCCGTACAGGGTGGGGCGGGAGGGAGTGTCAGACTCTTACTGACTAAAAACCCCCTTGTTTCTACTCCTGCTCTAGGCCGAGGTCGCGGTGCCTCATTGCGCTTACCCCGCAACCCCGGCTGAACATCAGCCCTGTGGGGCCCCGTCTGTGGTGGTTTATTGGCTCTTTAAGGCGCGCGCGGAACACTATGCGCCGTACGCTCGGGTATCTCCAGAGGGCCCACCATGACGTGTTATACACCTCTTATAGCTCCATCCCTCTTTCTCGCCCGAAAGATTCATGCTTTAACATTTAATGGTAGGCCTACAGTTTTATAATCACAATCGCTAAGGAGTGGATTTCTTCGTCAGAGTCTGTGTTCGCCGAACGGTATAACCTGGGTGTCTTCAAAGCCGTAGTACCTACATAGGTTAGCTTATGGGTAGGCGTGCTCCATATCAGAACCGACTAAATGATGTAACAAAGAAATGTGTGTTGTAAAACTGATTGAAAAAGAGTAACCATGGAGTTTCTTGCTCGTTCTTCTCCATAGGAATCTACACTTTGGACCGAGCAAATAGCTTCACTAGAGGACAGACGGACAGACTGACACGCTTAATTTTAAAGCTCTTGTTATATACTTTTTTCCTTTTTTGCTTGCTTGACGTTCAAAAGTGCCTACTGTGGTCTAATTGAAATAAATGACTTTTGACTTTTTTTTTTTTGACATAGTAGGTCGCATCATCGCTTACCGTGATAGCGGCCTAATGCCTGCCCATCTTCTTATATATAAAAATGGATCGCAAAATGTGTTGGTAAGCGCATAACTCAACAAAGCCTGGACCAATTTCGCTAATTCCTTTTTTGGTGTGTTTGTTATTGTCAGGAATAGTTCTTAGCTAATAAAATATTAGAAAAGTAGAGAAGAAGATTAAAAAAAAAGTGACCCTTTAATAGCGAGATAGATGGACCCGTGCGAAGCGGGGGCGGGCCGCTAGTTACGTAATAAAAACAATGTAATATTAACTTCTTTGTTGAGGTAGGATCAGTATCATTTGATTTCTCCCGCCTTATTTGACAAGAGACTGTCAAACTCTTACTGACATTGTTCACTTGACGATGCGTATTCGAATTCTTATTACAGCTTCTTTCAAAGGTTGTCTAGCATCTTACGATTTCTCGAAAATAAAAGAGTTTATAATTAAAGTTAATTTTTGTTTGCAGATATTCAGTGCGTTTATGGTGGGGGTATACAGTTACTCAGTGCACACAGAATTCGGTTTGTTCGCGATATACCATGGGACGACTGTTGCGGCGACCGTGCCTGAGGGAGTTTGTATTTTCATCTACTGTGTAGAACTAGTCTTCACTGCCATTTTATTATATGGTACACATAAGGTAAGATTTTTTAATATTATTTACCATACGTATATACATATATTGTATATATACTAGCAGACCCAGCCACGCATTGCTGTGGCTAAGGTAAATAATATTGTGACTATAAATTGAGATGTAAGGTATCCTATCTTTTAAGTTGGATCAAAATGCACACGGAGTGCAAATCAAATTTAAAATCGGTTTAGTAGTAGGAGTCCATTGCGGACAAACACGTGAAACGAACATTTTATATATAAAGATGGTTCTGCATCAAAATAAATAAATGCATGGATACATCCATGCATTTACTTCTGTAGTAGTACCTATTATATAATATTTATTTCTGAAATAAATATTATATAATAGGTATTATAATATACCTTAGCGTGATATTTTACATCCTATAGCCGGCCTCAATAGAATAACAAACACAAAAAGAATTAATTATTATGTTTTCGGCTTACTGACGTAATAATTTGACGAGATACTCGACTAGTTAAGAGCTTGCTCTTTTCAAGAGAGATACTAGAGTAGCAGCACGACAGTCGCCGCGTCGCGTGTCGCGAGTTGCGATATGCTGCTCATGAATATGGACCTCTGGCATGGCTTGAAACTACTCGAGTATCTCGTCAAATTATGACGTGAGTAAGCCGACGAAAACGTAGTAATTAATTTATAATGTCTCACGAAAGTTATAATACAAAAAGAATTGTTCAATTTGGACCAGTAGTTCCAGGGATTAGCGCGTTCAAACAAACTCTACTGTAAAGCTTTATTATATTAGTACAGATATATTCTTACCCTTATGATTATATTATATCACATCATCAGCCTATAAATTGCTGAGCAAGTCCCTCTTCTCACATTGAGGCGGTATGAGCATTATTCACCAAGCTTGCTCAAAGCGGATTGGCCATTTCAAATTTATAATTAGAAATTATAACTCCTGGTTTCCTCACTATATTTTCCTTCATCGTCATAGATATAACTCGGAAAAAGTCACATTTTAGTCATACAAGATGGTGCCTTAATCTCCAGGCCACCACAACTTATGCGATTTACATAACCTATGGAATCCGAAGATCCAAGAGGAAAGTCCAACTTAAAAATATGGTTCAGATGGGTCCCAATAGTGCAGATGGATTACGGGGCAAGCGTAATATGGTACTAGGACCTAGGCCCCAGGGCCGGGCAGGAGGGAGTGTCAGACTCTTACTGACTAAAAACCCCCCTGTTCCTTCTCCTGTTCTGTGCCGAGGCCGCGGTGCCTCATTGCGCTTACCCCGCAACCCCGGTTGAACATCAGCCCTTTAGGGCCCCGTCTGTGGTGGCTACGCGATGTACGCTCGGGCCTGGTTCTGGTCGGGCGGCGAGCTGCCCTTACTCGCCGACCGCAGGAGTAGAAAAATAGTGATTTTTAGCCAGTAAGAGTCCTAGGCGATAGAAATTTGACTACTGGCGAGAAAAGCCATTATGATGATTTTTCTCCACAAAAAAGCATATATAGAATTTATGGTTTAAGTATGTGTAAAACGATAACTTTATACATTAGTTGTTGGCAGACCATTCAATAATACAGTTAGATAACAGTATTATGAATATCGTTAGTTCATTATTTATTTATATATATAGGAAGTGATATGTTTAAAGGTTATCGATAACATTATCTTCAATAGTAGGTAGAGGTAGTATATATGTATACTGATGTATATTGAAGACGAAGAGTACACAGTTATTTGCTTAGAAAATAAAGATCAAACGAGCAGACGGATTACCTGATGGTAAGCAATCAGCGCCGCCCATGGACATCAGCAACGGTGGAGTTACGAGTGCGTTGCTGACCTTTTAGGGATTAGGGATTCGGAGATTTAAGGATTGAGCAGGGATTGGGGGCGGGGAAGCATTGGGGTTCCGGTAACCTCACTCACACGGCGAAACACAACGCTGTGGTTCTTTCACGCCGGTCTTCTGTTAGGCCGTGGTATCACTCCGGTCGAGCCGACCCATTCGTGCCGAAGCATGGCTCTCCCACACTTAACAGTCCAGAGAAATTAGCTATTGTTATACAAAATTATCACTATATAGTATAAAGTAAAGTCTTTTTCTCTCTATCTATATCCTATGTATGCTTAAATCTTTAAAAATACTATAATAAAAAATATGTATAATATAGAGCTGTTACACCTATGGAATTATAATAAAGGATTGATAACGTAAGTGGCGCCCTCACTGACGATGTAAATGTGCCAAGTTTATGGGTGATAAGCATGTCTTATTAACATTAATAATATTGTAATTAGATTAGGTACTTATTAACCCTCTCGTTTGAAAACTATTGAGATTTGTTAACTTAATAAAATATAGTAGTACAATTTGTTAATTTTTAACTTAGCAAATTAATAATTACGCTTAAAATATAAATCTCTCTATACGAATAAAGTACTCCACGTTTTAAATCGATGTCTGTGCCAAATTTCATTTATATTCGTTCAGTAGTTTTTGAGAGAAAGAGTAACAAACAGACATGCATACAAAGACTTTTCACTAAAATTTTCGTTTATAATATTATTAATTAGTAAGTACCTATATTATTTATTGAAAATAATGACTTATCTACTTGTATAACTGAACTGATAAATGCTCAACTAGTTTCAAGCGACGACGGGGCTTTTATTCATGAGCAGTGTACGCGTCGCAGTGACGTCGCGCAGCCAACTCTATGTATATTTTATCTATACTAATATTATAGAGGTAAAATTTGTAAGTTTGTATGTAGGGGATAATCTTTGGAACCGCTGGTCGGATTGCCAAAATTCTTTCACTGATAGATAGCTACAATGTTCCTGAGTGCTATAGGCTATAAAACAACACGCTACGATCAAATGGAATTGAGCAGCGGGTGAAACCGCGCGAAAGTAGCTAGTTATGTATATTTTTGTAATTTTCATATACCTATAGATGTCCCATATACTCTGGCCAATTTTATGTAGATCGAGGAAAAACAACATTAAAAATGATCTAGTCCCTCAAGATATGCTTCCAATTATCCATTTATTCAGTTGGTTTCGAGGAATGCCGACAACCAACAGTTTTCCTTACCTGCGTTTATTACACGAGTAGCAGCTATGTCATTTTGCTGGAATGTTTCTGATGATGACTAATGATTCATACAATTTGTATTGAGGAACAAATCCTAATAAATTGATAAAATGTTACCTAGCTTAAAGTTTCTTGTTACTTCCATAAAAGCTCTGGGTTCTCTTTGCTCTCTGACTCGGAGATAAAACCACCACCTTCAGTGGACTCCGGTCCTTAGGTTACGTGACACTAATAATTAAAGAGTCACATTTGTAGCGAGTGACGACTTGAACTTTATACTAGACCAGACGTAGGTTCGACGTGAAGGAGAACATCTTGAGGAAACCTAAACCGTAAATTCTAATTATGAGATTGAAATCGCCAATTTGTCTTGAGCAAGCGTGGTAATGTTCAAACCTTCTACGTGTGAGAAGAGGCTGTTGCTCAGCCGTGGGCTTTAATAGGCTGATGTGGTGTGAAAATGCAATATAGATAATAATATACAAATTGTAAAGAAAATTAGAGTTTAGAAGTCATAAATACATTATCAGTTTATTTTTTGTTCGTAATTTATTTATTTAGCTTTGTCCTAGGTAATTTTTTAAGTGCGGTTTATAGAAATCGAAAGTCATTGTGACGTTACGATCAACAAAACCGATCTTCCCACGTGGTTGCCATGGTTACAGTACAGTGGTTTTCGAGGAAGATACCTAGGGAAATAAAGTAGGTGTAGTCTAGGGTATTCTGACGTCAATTTGTCGTCATCAGTGCAATTTAGCGTTTAAACCCAATTATTTTATCTTCGGCAGAAATATGTATGTTTTTGGCAAGGACATATTATGAGTGGATTAAGGACATATCGTATTAATAGTATATTTCATTTAATACCTATTCAATTAGCCAATGGTATAGATAGAGCTAGTTACCTACAATATTATTTATCTGTACAATTGTCATTTTAAAAGGAATAGACAATAATTGACAGGAATACTGCAATAAAGAGGTCGTAAACACAAGTTTTCCTTTGGCGGAATGATAGTGAGGATATTTATATAAAATATAGGCATTTTATTTGATATGCGCTCTCAGTGATTCACTAAGTCCTTCGATCGTTATTATTTATTTTAAAGTGCATGTATTTATCTGTAATTACTGCGCTATCGGCAATTATTTGCGCTTTTTTATCTGCCGCATATAGCCAAGCTACTAAAAATGGAGTTTAACTTTTGGATGTTTTTTTTTCTACTATTACCTGGCAATATTAACAAATGTTGCCAGCCATTAAAACGAGAAGGCTACCTTTATTACCTAAGCTAGTGGGTATACTAGCTTTTGCCCGCGACTCTAGCAGATTTTTAATTAAAAAACTATATTATGTCCTTTCTCGAAACTATGTCTGTACCACACACAAAAAGGTTCAGTAGTTAGGCGTGAACAAAAGACAGACAGACAGATAGAGTTACTTTCACATTTGTTATATTCACAGAACAGAAAATATTAGTTTGGATTATATTCCAATAAAAAAACATAAGTACTATGTATGTAAACACTAATTTACAAAGTAAAAGTAATACAAATAAATATAATCACTACATAGTCGCTGTCTCTGTCCCTATAACCTTTGTATGCTTAAATCTTTAGAGCTAGGTTTATTATGTATGATAACATCCATTAAATAATGGAGAAATCAATGAGGCACCTTTGCCTCTTAAATATTGGAAAAAAATTATGAGGCCGCCGGGGGAGTATTTAGTCAGTAAAAGTCTGTTTGACACTTCCTCCGGAGAAGTTATTTGATAAACACTGAATCCCTGCGAAGTCAGGGCGCGTTGTTAGATTTACATAATATTATGTATAATTAAGCCCTTGTTTTCTTTGTTACAGAAACTACTGACGTACATTAAGATTTACTACTATTTTGCCGTGACAACGACTGTGGCGTCCTGCCTCGTCCAGATTATAGACTTTGCTGTAACAATCAGATTTGGATTCTACATGGTCTTCGAAGTTCTACCTCTTATGTTTGCTTCCTTATGTAAGTATAACCTTTTGGTATTTTTAACAAGTTACACTAATCCTAAAAGAGCCAATAAACAACCACAGACGGGGCCCTATAGAGCTGATGTCTAGCCGGGGTCGCGGGGCAAGCGTAATGGGGCACCGCGGCCTTGGCCTAGAGCAGGAGAAGAAACGGAAGATTTTTAGTCAGTAAGAATATATGAGGGGAGGCCTTTGTTAAGCCCTGGACTCTTTCCGGCTGATAACGATGAAACATGATGAAGATTATTAGACTTCCTCTCGCCTTACCCTGGGTGGGAGAAGTCATTTGATGATTTTCTCTTGACAAGAAAACAACCCAAACCTTATACGAACGCCGGCGTTCGCACCTATTGTTCTTTTATTCTGTCTCGAATTACTACGATTAAAAGGTTAATTTTATTGTTATTGGCAAACATTACACTGCACTGTTGGTGCAGTCGCTTAGCAACTGGCTTGCTGGTGTCGCAGGTTCGATTCTCGCACTGAACAACACTTTGTCTGAGCAACAAATTGTTGTTTCGGGTCTGAATGGCTTGTGTATGCGAATTTGTATAGTTTATGTTAAACTGATTGTTTAAAAAAGGAACAGGCAATCTTTAAATTTTTCGATTTTATTTTTCAATTAACCTGAATGTGAATCGACCTAGACCCTTTACTTCGCAGTCTCGCTTAGCTCAGTCAACGGCTTACTGCTTTTTTACATAAAAGAACCTTGCCCCACACTAGTACCTATCTAGTTCTCCTGTATCGTGGGTGCGTTAACAAACATACAATTTCACATACATATCACACCCAGACCCGGAACAACTATTTGTGGATCACACAAAGATTTGTTCCGTGCGGGAATCGAACCCGCGACACGTTGCGCGGCAGCCAGTTGTGCGGTGGCTGGCACCGCACCAACCGTGCAGTCATTGTAACTAGGCACTGTATTACACTAGTACAAAATCAAACATAATATATTTCTTATTACAGCCATCCAGATATACCTCATAATCTTAATAAGGAGTCTACTGAAGAAGATGGAACAGTCAAATCCCCATGGCTATGAGAACCAGCTCCAACAGATTGTTTATGAAGGAAAAGTGGAGTCTAATGGAGTCTACGACCCTACTGTGGTACCGGTCGACGTATAACTGACAATGATAGACAGTAGGAAATCAGCCATTAGTTTTTAAGCCCATTAAATACTCTTTGAATGAAAGAAAATGTTGATAAGAGGCTATTATTTATCGATTTCAAAATAATCGAGGTTTTCAGTGACCTCCTTGTATGTAGGTAGGTGTTTGACTGCGACGAACTCGAAAATGGCTGAACTGCTTTTAATGCAGTTTTTTTGAAAGTAAATCGTTTGAATACTTAGTATGAATCTCAACTATTGACCAATATTATAATACGATCTTCAATCTTCCTATAGTTATGACTTTTTGAAGGACGTATTTTTTAAATTAAAATTACCAAGTCTTAAATTGTTTTTGCGATTTATTGAATGAATGTAGTATTTTGAAATGAGTTAACGCCCCCAATCATACATATGCATATTTGTATATTTGTTTGTTTGTTTACATACCGCTGCTAAATCTTGTGTACTTTAAGTAACTAATTAGTAAATTCTGTAACTGATGCTACACTATGTTCTAATCAGTGTGGAAAACCCGTGCTTTGGCAGAAATGGCCTATCTCATGGAACAGAAAAAACAGTTCTTTCTGTTTTCTGTTTCGTGGGCTACCTCGACCGGAGTGATACCACGGCCTCACAGAAAACCGGTGTGAAACAACCATAGCGTTGTTTCGCCGTGTGGGTGTTGTTACCGGAGGCCCAATTCTCCCAATCCAAAGCCAAAAGCTGGTTCAATGGTTTAGAACAAGGCTAAGGAAGGAGTTTAAATCGCCCATTTCTAATGCTCGAGAAAGTTCGAAAACTGAATAGTACAAATGTGAGTTTGCCCGAGCTATAATTATGTACTTTCAAAGTTTATTTAGACTTCGCTGATATAAGATGAAGGTAAACATCGCGAGGGAAACTGTAATTAAAACGTTTGATATTGCCAATCCATCCACTTGAGCAAGCGTGGTGTTTAATGGTCAACGTGTGATGAAAGGCCTTTTTTTAGCAGTTGGCTCTCCAAGTTTTTGGCCTTTGACCTGTCTGTGCTTCCCCTTTTTGTAAACAATGGTTTATTCTTGTTCATTATCTTCTGTTTCTGTGTGTCCATTCTCCTTTATTAGTTTGTAAGTAAAATTATTACATAATTTATAATGTTGTAAATATTTTGTATATAGTTGTAAGATAATGAAAAATGTGATAATAAAATGATTATATTTTTATTGAAATCAGCCGTTTTATTGTATATATCTTGTTTTGTTGGGTGGGTTTTAGTTGCAAACTTATCAGTAATTAATGTGGCATATGCCAAAAAATTACAAATTCAATGATTTCACTTTTTAAAATTACATAAAGTAATGTGTGGCGCAGATACAGTCACTGTTTTTTAAAGTTTGTACCAAAGAGGTACGATTATATTGTTTTTTAAATCGTCATAGATAAAGACACCAAAATATCTTACAGACTAAAAATCATAGCAGAAACAAGCACTATTTTTTTTTGTTTTTTTGTTGTGTTATGGCAATAGAGTCTCCACTATTTAGTAGTTGACTATTCTGCCAGCGTCATGTGGTATGGCAGACGGATAGATATGGTTCTGTCGAACTTTATCGCTTCGAGGTATGTCTGCAATGTTAGTAGCTGAAAGACAGGACACAATTTGGTTAGTAAACATATATAATAAATAACAGTTTATGTATTTGAAAAAAAAAACATTTAACACAAAACACACACATAGCATAAATAATATTTTAAACATTATTGTATTATGTATACATTAGATTTTAATATTATTTTTAGTAATGAATTTAGCCAGAAGGTTAGTGAGTTTAGGGGAGAAATTTGACCGTCAAATGTGAGGACAACCGTTTGTGTAGGTTTCCACTCTGAACCATCAGAGGAAACAACTTTTCGGTTCATTCTCCTTGCCTTGATAACATTGCCACATCCAGAGGGGACCCTGATATTTTCAACAATTTCTTCCTCAGTCCAGTCTACGGGGACATCTCTAACAATACCCATACGTGTAATGTTAAACAGTGGAATGGAAGTTATATAATTATGTTGGGCTACGACTCCATTAATTAAGAAGCTGTTAGCGTCTTGGTGTGACTTAAATTCCACTGAAATTTTATTACGTCCTAATCTTTTGACACCATCCATCCGTACATTGTTTATGTTGTTCTTCATTAAGAACATGCCAAATTTCACGGGGTGTAGGGTTGTGCCTGAGGTTTGCGAATCTCTCAAAGCAACATGAACAATATAAGGTGGGGCATCATTGGGTGTGTAGCACTGCCTTCCGTTAACTTTTGCCACTTTGGGTGGGTTAATCACAGTAACTGGGGGAGATTGTGCCGGTCTTTTTCTATTTGAAATATTTTCCGCATCCATGGCATCATTTCCGGGGTTGGGGATGGTAATAGTCATTACAGGGGTGTACTCAAATAGTTTATCTGGAGGATCGGGAGGTTTTTTAGCCTCCATATTAAAAACAAATAAAATTAAATGCTCTTAGTATTAGGGGAAATTTTACTCACCTTACCAATAGTTTTTTAATACAAATATTGGACAATCACAACACAGAGGTGGTTTCAACTTAGATTTCAATAAAATAATATTTAAGTTGAAAAAAAACCTCGTGGCACTGACAAAAACACCTATGTCCTTCACCACTACCTACGAAGCTCAACAAGCACTATAATATATTATGGTATTTGACACATAGTGTAATTCAAATTATTTTATTGAAATGTCAAAAATGAAACTGTTCTATGAATTTGGTAGGTACGTGGTACGGAAAACAGAAATGTGACGTAATCATATTTTATAATTAAGTCAAACAGCATATAGTTTTTATTATATTATTATTTTCTCAAAATGTAACTAATAAAAATCAAATATTAAGTATATCGTAAACTCCATCAATGAAGTGTGATTATTTTTCAATATTTAATTGTAGGTATTGGAATTTATTTTTGACTGAGGAAAATAACTAATTATAAGAGTGTTGTTGATAGTTTAATTTCACACTGTTTTTTTTTACTATAAACCTACAACATATACTACTAGACTCTACGTTACCTACTATACTTATACCTACTGTTACCAGCTTCAGGCTTGATACTTAATTGCCTCAAGCCGCAGAAGTAATGGCCTTTCCGAAAGAAAACTACTCGGAAGGCATCTACAAGCATCTAAGCTTGTGGTCGTTTTCTCCGCTGTCGTAGTTATGTTTACAAATACGTACTTATGTTACTTACATCACAATTAGATTTGGAAGAATAAATTGCTGGTCTCACAAAATTCCATGCGAAATCGCGCCCGCGAAATTGTATAGCCACGGCGCGGCGTCAATGTTGTTTTAATGATTGCCACTTGCCACATAATCTTTGAAAACGAGCATACCTGATTCTCATTTACAACAAAGTTTTGGTAATAAGTGTTCGAATATTTTTTTATGGTCTACGAGCAGACGGATTACCTGAAGGTAAGCAATCAGCGCCGCCCATGGGCGCCTGCAATACCGAAGGAATGCGTTGCTGGCCTTTTGGGGGAAAGGGTTTCGGATATTTAAAGATTGGGAAGGGATTGGGCCTCCGGTAACCTCACTCACACGACGAAACACAACGCTGTGGTTATTTCACGCCGATTTTCCTTCCGGCACTAACTGATCTGTAGGTATAATAGTCTCACATCATCAGCCGGTAAGCGCTCACTGCTGAGCAAGTGTCTCTTCTCACACGGAGAAGTAAAGAATTGGTCACCATGAATGGCGGTTGTACACTTACAATTATACATTATAAAGTCCACTTTTCCTTGCTATGTTTTTCTTCACCGTATGTTAGTGGTGTCTAAATAATCATATAAAGTACAATGACATATAACTCGGAAAAAGTCACATTGGTACTTGCCCGGTTTCGAACCAACAGCCTTGATGCATGAATGCATGAGAAGCGGGCGCCTTAACCTCCGGGCCACCACGAATTCATGATAATTATACGACCTATGATAGTCTCATGTATGATTTGCAAGAAGATTTTCATTCTTGGGTCTATCCCACAATACAACGCGGAACGCTTAAATTATGCGTTTTACAAATGACATTTGACATTCTGTCGAGTACCAGAACATCGTAGTTTATCTGGCTGTACCAGTAATACATATTAGATATTGTTTTGTTTAGGTAAATTATCTTTATATACCGTTAGGTATTTAAAAACTGATAAAGCGTGAGTTTCTATCTAACAAAGAGCATATAAAACCCTTCCATTACTAGAAACCTGAGTATCTTAGAGACAACGGACACTTACAGGAATTTCTAAATCGCATTCGCAAAAGAAGAGAGAATTTATGACATAATCTTGACCAACGTGAAAGATCAGGAATAGGACGCTGTTTATTCCTATCTAAGTAAGTTAACGCGAAGTAGTACCTATAGTTACACTTGGGTTTGCCATTACTTTCCAGAAGAAAGATTTCGTTTGTTCTAAACACTGTTTATAGATAACAAACTTTCTGTTCCTGCAGTTGAGCCTTCACGACCTTGTATGCTGTATGTATATTATATGTCAGCTGAGGGTGGTTTCTGGTTGTTGGCCAAGTAAGTTTTACATAGCTCGTAAAATCTGCAGGCTAAAGTGGCAATGGGCAGGCCACGTCGCTCGAAAGACGGACGGCTGTCGGGCCCGAATAGTATAAGAGTGGCGACCAAGGACCGGAAAACATGGCGTGGCTGGGCAGGCCCCGCGCTAGGTTTTTTTTTTGTTTGGGCAAAATTATCACACACATTGCGCTTATCCCACAATCCCCGCTAGGTGGACCGACGACATTGTCAGAGTCGTGGGGAGCCAATGGATGCAGGTGGAAACGGGCCGTTCAAAGTGGAGGACTAAGGGGGAAGCCTTTGTCCAGCAGTGGGCGTTTTCTAGCTGATGATGATGGTGAAGTAAATTTAATATACAATATCAAATATCGATTCCTTGACATATAATTACGTCGTCCGTTGCCTAACTACGGCGCCAAACTTAATCCAATTTTGTTGTGATATTTTCTTAACACAGCAAATATTACTTGGAAAAAGGCAAGAAAATAAAACGTACACTAAGCCAGGACACGTAATTAGTAATAAATATAAAACTAGAATACTAACAAAGCATATCATAATATTGTCATTCCCAGAAGAGATAGGTGGAGGTGTTATTTATAATAATAAAATACACCCACTATTTGCGATTTATTTATCAGTCGCACATGGCTTGGGCCTCTGGTAACATCACTCACACGGCGAAACACAACGCTGTGGTTGTTTCAAGCCGGTTTTCTGTGAGGCCGTGGTATCACTCCGGTCGAGCCGAACCATTTTCGGCGAAGCATGGGCTTTCCTACGTGTAACTATAAGTTTATGTACCTACATGTACATATGTATGTAAATGATTGACTGACATTCCTTATCTAATGACTGTTATGTAAATATGTAATAATATACTTAATCAATATGTTTTCCCAGACATAAGGAATTAGATAAACGTGTTCTAATTAGGTTTTTTGTAGTTGTAGATTATAGATTAATATTATTGCTTTGATAAACGTCCATCTCTGGTAAAACCTCGGATTTGTGGATGAGAAAATGTAATAAGGTATCATGTTTTCAATTAACTTTAAGAGCGTTTAGGCCGCACGGGTTTTCAATAACTTTTCGAGTCAAAAATAATGAAAACTACTGAAACGATTTTAATGAAGTTCCATGTTTCAGAGGTTTTGGTTCACTTGTTTTTAGATTTAACAAAAAAATTTGAATAAAGAATTTTCGGAACATCAGCCAGTGTACCTACCACGTAGTGCGACTACCAGATATTTCTTTACTAGATTTCGAACTTTATAATATTGGTAGTATTGTGTCTAAAATCCAATGGCAAAATTAGGAGTTTTAACATTTAACAAGAAAATTTTAATGAAGATTTTCGAATAGCCAGCTAGTGCCTACAACTACGTAGTTGCGACTGGCAGATATTTCTTTATTAGATTTGGAACTTTATAATATTGATAGTATTGTGTAGAAAATCCTATGACAAAAATTGGCAGACAAAGGATGTTTGTTATGTAAGTACATATAGGTATACATATACATGTACCTATGTACCTACGTACTTATAGTTAAACTCATCTTTGCGATAAAAGTCTCGCATGGTCGTTTCAATCATATATACTTACTGCACACAATAATATTGTCACATTTGTCATTGTTAGGTATGCTTTAATTAGCACCTATAATAAATGGATTAAACGAACTTACCTAGTGAAGTTCTATCCATATTATATGAAGAAATTAGTCCGAGGTATATATTATATACCTTATATAATATATACTAGCAGCAGCCGCCTTCTGTTGCTCTTCGACGCGATTTTTTAGATTTAGAAGAAAAATAAAAGCGGCACCTGGCAACACTGCTATGCTTTGTCATTCAGTTTAGAGCAGTGGTACTAGGTACCTACATATGGGAAGAATAATCGAAGATTATTCTTGGGAGGGTGGGATTTTCATACCTCGGACTAATTTCTTCATATAATATGGATAGAACTTCACTAGGTAAGTTCGTTTAATCCATTTATTATATTCGAAATTAGTCCGAGGTATATATTATATACCTTATATAATATATACTAGCAGATGTTTAGAGGTCAGGCATAAATAAACTTTTTTAAGGTGAAAACAAGGCATTTATTAATTAACATCCTTTATGCTTATTTAATAAGATTAAATCCTTATAACTTGGAGATTCTATAACTACCTTTAGTTTGGACTATGATCAGATCTAGCCATCTAGGTACATTAATCTGACTTAAGTAATTAAAATTTATAATATTAACTTAGGTAATAACAATCAAACTTATATTAAAATCAAATTATTTAATAGTAAACATCTGGAGTGACACTCCATATTAAATGTAACAAACCAAAATCCTTAAATTCTTCTTAATTAGACTATTCAATCAGTCTCATATAATCACAGTATTTAAAATCAACTAAACAAGTTCTTACATAATATGATTAATACTAGTTACAGGTACTAATTAGTGCAGTTTAATTATTTAAAACTGCCCTAGCAAAATCATCTTGAATGTCATTTTTATCTTGAAGAGGTCTATTATAATGATTAGCAAATGTGGATGATCTAGAAGACCACCCAACTGCCTGCAGTATAGAGTCTACCGTTAAACCCTGTCTGTGTGCACGTGAGGAAGATGCATGTCTTGTAGAATGTGCAGTGAACTCTGATGTATCAATACCACTTTCGTGCATTGTCTGTTTAAGCCACCTACTAATAGTCTGAGTGGTTGCATGTTTGTGTGGTCTTCGAAAAGTTAAAAATAATTTTGTTAAAGATTTATCTTCCTGTCTGAATATTCTAGTTTTATCTAAATACATTTTGAGAGTCTTGACTGGACATATTTCGGGCTTATTACTTAAGAATGGTAACATTAGTCTGAGGGATCTTCTATTTGGACCGGAAGTTTTGAGAATATCTGTAATCAGTATGACAGCTCCTTCATTATTAATCTTTATATTATTGATATTTATACAGAACAAGGTTTGAACCCGTTGTCCTGTCGTTAACGCTATCAACATAGCTAGCTTTTTTGTGAGATTTTCTAAGTTTAAGCTATCAAGAGGGTACCAAGACCTTAAATGTAATAGTACTTTGCTGGGATCCCAGACACTATTGTATTTTGCTTTAGTAGGGCGTAGTTTGAAAAACCCCTTAAACAAACGTTTAATTCTATCGTCGGAGCCTACACGATTACCTATTATGAGAGAGAGCGCCGATCTGTGACAGTTTAATGATTGATAAGATGACCCCTTATTAAACATGCTTGTGAGATAAGAAATTATTATAGGAATTGAAGCCTGATACATATCTATTTTGAATTCTTTTGTATAGGACCACCATTGTCGCAGACAACTGTTGTATTGTTTCAGTGAATTCTGTGATAATGAAGCTATCATGATGTCCGTTGCTTCTTCTGACATCATTCTCCTCTTGAAAGCTTGCCTGATAATATGCACGCCCCCAGGGTAAGATGAAGTGGATGAGGAGTTCTGAAAGGAGATGTTAGAGTATTGTCTGATGGTCCTATTGTCATAATATCAGACACTAGTAGGGCTTTCAAAACTGGGTACCATGGTTGTGATGGCCATATTGGATAGACAATAATTCCTGTTGCTTTATCTGTTCTTATCTTATGGAGAACTTTAAGCAGCATACTAAAGGGGGGAAACGCATAGAAAAACAAATTGTTCCATTTAATTGTAAAGGCATCTATGTTCCAGGCATAGGGGTCCCTATGCCAAGATACATACTTTGGACACTTGTGATTTAAACGAGATGCAAAAAGATCTATATTTGGTTGGCCAAATTTCTTTACTATAGAATTGAAAATCTTATGTGAAAGTTCCCATTCTGTATCTACATTAAAATTACGTGATTCAAAATCAGCTTCTTTATTTTCTTTCGATTTAATGTAAGAAGCAAAAATCCAAATATTTTTGTTTTCACACCATTGCCAGATTTGTTGAGCAATCCTATTTAGTTTAGGGTATTGTACACCCCCCATGCGATTTATGTACGCTATTGCCGTAGTATTATCAATCCTAAGTAATATCTCACAATTTTCTAATGTACTAGCAAAACTTCGCAAAGCGAAATATGCAGCTAACAATTCTAAATAGTTTATATGTTGTTGCCGTTCCCATTCTGACCAACTACCCCCAGTGCTCTGCCCATCACAATGTGCACCCCAACCACTTAGTGAGGCATCAGAAAAAATTTCTAAAATAAAATTGTATTGTTTGATTTTGTTGTTCCTACTAATGATGTTCTTTTTCCACCAAAACAGTTCTGTTTTTATATCACTATTTAAGTTTAGTCTATGATCATAGTTTCCTTTTGATTCTTCAAGGGCTAAAAATTTTTCTCTTTCCAAAGTTTTAGTGTGTCTAAAACCATATGATATGGCCATACAAACTGATACTAAATTTCCTAATAATGTGGCAAAATCTCTAATTGAACATGATTTTAATTTTAAATATTTATTAATCATAGACAAAATTTTTTCTCTTTTATTTAGAGTAGGGCTTAATGTCATGGTTTTGGAATTGACCAAAAATCCTAAATATTCACAACATTGTAAAGGGACATCTAAACTCTTTTCTTTGTTAATCACAAAGCCTAAATTTTCTAACAACTTTCTTGTAATGTTCGTATTATGAATACATTCCTCATATGTTGACCCCAGGCAAATTATGTCATCTAGGTAAATAACCAGTCTTATACCTTGAGTTCTGAGATACTCTATTACTGGTTTTAACAGTTTGGTGAATACAAAGGGGGCAGTGGATAAACCAAAAGGTAAACAATTGAATTCATACAACTTATTGTTAAATGTGAACCGTAGATATTTCCTATTATCTTCTTTAATTGCTATTAAATAGTATGCATTTTTAAGATCTATTGTGCACATAAAATCTTCCTGTATAACTAATTTACAGAGAGTCCTAATATCTTCTAGTTTAAAATGGTTGGTTATAATGAACTTATTTAGATTTTTAAGATTTAATATAAATCTGTGTGAACCATCACTCTTAGGTATGGAAAATATTGTGGACAAAAATTGATCAGCTGTTGGTTGACAGAGACTGATAGCACCTAGCTTTGAAAGTTTAATTATTTCTTGATTAAGAATCTGCAATTCTGATTTATTGAAAGAATTATTATATGGAATCTTATCTTGCACAGGTTGACAGAAAAAAGGGATAGAGTATCCTCTTACCCACTCTAATATGACAGGATCTTTGGTAAAAGATTCCCAGTATGTATAATAATATTTAAGACGTGCAGCAAAATTTACCTCTAAGGGTACTTGGCTCGGGGTCGGCTGGGCAATGGCTGTTGTCGCTTGGGGTACTTCTGTGGCTGGTGGGGCTGGTACCGTCTGTTGTGTGTTTGTTGTTGGCTTCTCCCTCGATTTGTGTTGATTCCTCTGTTTATTGGAGGTGGGTTGGGTCGTCTCAACTGTTGGTAGTTTTTTGGCATTGCCACAGTATTTCCTGAGAAGTTTTTTGGTTTGAGTATATTGGCCGCTCTCTTCATAGCTGTGGTAGTCTTAACTGTCTCTTCTAGTTTTGAATACAAGAATTCTGTTCGTTTATTATCTTTTAGGTTGAGTTGCAAAGCCTTATCTAGGAACGGTGAGATAAGTCTCTTTCTTATATTAGTGTATTGACAGTGTAGATTGGATAGTAGCCGGGCACTCTCTCCAAGCATCTTTATAATCTTAATCTTGTCATAATCTTTCTTGGTCATGTCATGTATTGTCTGACAAATAGTGCCTATAGCTAGGCCTAAGTCTTGTTGTCTTGCTACCATGAGGGTGTCTCTGGTTCTGGTCGCCTGATTAATAAGTCCAATTATCTCCGTGTTAAGCTTTGGTGCATCAAGTAATTTTGCATTACCTGGTATGAGTGCAGACTTGTTTATGGTCTCCCTCTGTTCCTTTGTCAGCCCCTCCGTTAAAATGTTTTCAATAATCTTCAATATGCTAGGATGTATGTCATCACCATATTCCTTTTGAGTGCCAATCACCTCACCTAAGGCCGAAACTATATCACTGGATAGCTCCATATCCTCTTCTTCATCAATTATAATAGAATCCACCACTGGCTCAACTTCTTGCTCCTCAGCATGAACTTGATCCATTTGTTCGTTGAAAGAATTAGACTCTTCACTTTGTTGCTCTGGTTCTTGTGCTAAAGCAAAAATTATGGAATGGTTATCCAACTGACCACAATGGTACCTAGTAGGTACCTAACCCACCCCAACCGTTCAGAGAAAGTGTTTGTATATATAGTCTATCATAACAGAAATTATTTGCTTGGGTAATCATGTTATACAACTAAAACAACGGTTATGAGTGGGTATTTACACTGTGTATTTGATACTGGTAATTCCTTTCTTTTAGTCAAACTCTATAGAGTTTACTGTAGTATTGTATGTATTTAACTCATTATAGGAAAGGAAATACCCGGGATTACTCTTGAATATTTCACATTCAGCCTCAAGAGATAGGTGTTTAGTGCGAAAAACCCTCTCAACGAGAGGTTGGTAAAATGTAACACAAATTACCCTTGGCTAACGGTCGTGTTGGAAGCCTGTTATTTTAGACAATCCAGAGCATAACCTTCTCAACGAGAAGGAGGCAAATGTAACACATTATGCCGTTATTTTCGTCCTACAGTCCTACCTACAGGACAAGGACATGTGCTCGATCTTGATAGTGATAGGTACTCAAGTATTGAAGGTTTAAAAACCGTAAAAACGGTGTGAGTACTAACTTCTCAACGAGAAGTAGGTAAAATGTAACACATAATACCATAATAGTCTGTAATTGTACAGTTTTTTATTGAAATATACTTACGATCAAGCTCCGCCATCTTGGCTTTGTATTTTTCAATCTTCTTTGCCAATTTCCTTCTTTTCTTATTTTCCTTGTATTCTTTATCTTCCCTGTTACGTTTTGGCATATTTGGTTAAAAATAAACACTTCAAATTAAATAATATGTTATTTTCTATTAACCATTAATTTTTACGATGCGTCTTGCGAGCGCGAAGAAAACGAATGACAAAGCATAGCAGTGTTGCCAGGTGCCGCTTTTATTTTTCTTCTAAATCTAAAAAATCGCGTCGAAGAGCAACAGAAGGCGGCTGCTGCTAGTATATATTATATAAGGTATATAATATATACCTCGGACTAATTTCGAATATAATAATGATGTTTTCCTTTAAATATTATAATACAATGTTGGAATAGGTCTTATTTCTTATTCAATAAATAATTACGAACTGTCGGTCACGTTCAATGAGTCATCTAATGATAAATAAATTTCGACTTTGCAATGAAACAAAATTAAAAATAAAATATATATTTTCATTTTACTTGTATTTTTTTAGCTGATTTTCAAACACATTTGGAATTTGCAAATAATCGTGGACAAGCATACTTACTACAGGTGAAACACAAAACAAAAACCTTCTCCTGAATGTACCAAATAGGTACTTTTGAAAACCGCATCCAAATAGCTTTATCCAAACGTGAGATAATCGCGGACAAACAAACTTTTTTTGAAGTCAAATCACGATAACACTCTATCGTTCTCACACAAATTCACAGAAAACTGTCGACAACGTAACAATTTAAAAGCATTTTTTAATATAATGGTTATTCCTCTCAATAACAAAAAACTTAAGAATAGTTATTGTTGCAAAAGAAAAGATAATATTTGCTACAAAAAACATATCATAATATATCTTCCACTTGTGTTATCGCGAAAACAAATTGAGTTACAATTAGATTTTAATTGGTACAAAACTGTATTTACTTATTTGAGAACAACTAACAGTCAAAATTACTCAGTAGTCTATCTTTTATTTATATTGCTTTATCGCCAAAACTGGAATATAAAGCTACTCATATAGGAATAGGGATCACTCCGATCGAGCTTATCGCACATCGATTTTTTCGCAATAAGTAGAAAGCGTAGCGTTTCTCTTCTTGGTCGCCTGCGTGGGAGCACTAATGGCATTCTGAGAGTATTGTCCGAGCGATGGGATCTGCCCCTTCTAAAGACATGGATGAAGTTGCATGCTAGTGGATCCTCACGTTTTATTGAATGTTTTTTTTATATCTCAATTTTAACCCATTTTCTTTTTTAAATTTATATCAATCTTTGTTTTTAATTTATTTCATTTTTGTTTTGCTATGAATTTTTATTTGTTAATGTCATTTATTATTTGTTTTTAAATCAAATATTATTGTGATATTGTGATTGTAGGTAATTGATAATGGAATCTGTATGTTCTACTAACTCTAGATAAGTAAGAAAATTGTTACTAACCATTTATGAGCTCTAAGCTTGAAATAAAGATTTCTACTTATCTCGCACACTTAACTAAGTCCGCCCTGTAGAAACAGGGATGGAGCTACACATATTTCATAGCTCCATCTCTTTTTCTCGCCCGAAAGCTTCACGCTTTAAATTTATATCAATCTTTGTTTTTAATTTATTTCATTTTTGTTTTGCTATGAATTTTTATTTGTTAATGTCATTTATTATTTGTTTTTAAATCAAATATTATTGTGATATTGTGATTGTAGGTAATTGATAATGGAATCTGTATGTTCTACTAACTCTAGATAAGTAAGAAAATTGTTACTAACCATTTATGAGCTCTAAGCTTGAAATAAAGATTTCTACTTATCTCGCACACTTAACTAAGTCCGCCCTGTAGAAACAGGGATGGAGCTACACATATTTCATAGCTCCATCTCTTTTTCTCGCCCGAAAGCTTCACGCTTTAACACGTCATGGTAGGCCCTCTGGACTTTTTCTCGGCCACCAACGTGATGATTATAGGTAAGGAGGATCATTTAAAAAACTCTGTTCGAAGAGGAATAGAGGATAGTGTAGATAGAAGGATAATCGAAATGAAACTAAGTATAAATTAACACGAATAAGTAACATATATTTAATCTTAAAAAAGTTATTCTAAACTTAAATTAAATGGTGTTTACTTCACAACATAGGTTGTCAATGGCATTAAAAGTATTAATTTTAGGTATCTTAAGTTAGTATTACACAAATTCTAATCACAACCAGAATGTATGTTCGAGCTCAGTGGCGTGCAATGGAGGCCTATGTCCAGCAGTGGACGACAACCGGCTGATGATGATGATGAATCACAACCAGAATATATGCGAAAGTAACTCTGTCTGTGTGCCTTTTCTTCACGCCTAAACTATTGAACCGATTTCTGTGAAATTTGGTACAAACATAGTTTGGAACGGGAGAAAAGACATAGGGTAGGTTTTATACCAAAAATCTGCAGGATCATTATTCCACGAACGGGGAGTCGCTGTCAAAAGCTAGTTACTATAAATAAGGTTAAATTAAAAAATCACTTCTCTAAAGTAACTATAAAATAAACTCACTTTCTCTGTCCTTAAGTATAGCCCGATTTGTATTTTGATGAGTATTATTATTAGATAAAGAGATTATTTTTATTAGACTTAGAGTGATTGAAGAGCAAGGCTTAAACGATAATAACATCTATTAAATAGTGGACAAATTTAGGTTTAGCTAATATATTTATACACCGCTGCAATAAACGTGTATTAATATCTATATTAAGTAAAGCGCTTTATATTTTTTTTTGTATAATTAATGTGTGGTATTTTAGCCTAATTGATAAGTTTTTAAGCTACAGATTTGATCTTCTTTGGTTCATCCTCTATAGTCTTCCAGTCGCCCTCAGTTTGCGTGTCACCTCTCATATTGCACTCGCCCTCAGCCGCATTGTTTACGAAACTGAATCCATATTTCCCTTCAAGTTTTAAGATCTCACTCCTGATTAAAAGTATGAAGTAGAGTTGTATCACTGAAAAAAGAAAATGAGTTTAAACGAAGGAAACTTTGCATCGGCACCAATGAATGAGCTAGCTCGTATAAAACCGGCTTCAAACAATGTTTCAAGTGAAGGAGGGCCATGCTTCGGCACGAATGGGTCGGCTCGACCGGAGTGATAAAACGGCCTCACAGAAAACCTACGTGAAACAACCACAGCGTTGTGTTCCGCCGTGTGAGTGAGGTTACCGGAGGTCCCATCCTTCCCCTCACCCAAGTCCTCCCCAATTCAAAAGGTTGGCAACGCATTCATAACTCCTCTGTTGTGTCTATTGGCGGCGCTGATTGCTTACCATCAGGTAATCCATCGGCTCGTTTGCCAACCTATCACATAAAAAAGTGAGAGTTGAGTTAAAAGTGGCCTAACCGCCTCCCCTATCAAAGACTTATAATTGTTGAAAAAATGCAAAATGCAAAATCATCAAATCGCGAAAGGGAGTGTCAGACTCTTAAGTACTGACTAGAAATCACACCGTTCTTTCTCCTGCTCAAGCCCGAAGCCTACATTATTGTGCTTGACCCACATCTCTTTAATGGTGTGGGTATCCATGTCCATGGATGACGTCAATTGCTCATAAGTACTCAAAATTCAGTACACTAATATCTATTAATTTTTGTGAAGATCTAAAGGTCGGTCGTATTCAGATTAAAGAAAGACAAATATAATACCTATATGTATATAAATATACAGTTACAATATTACGTCAACAATTAGCTATAAGACCAAAGATTGGGGAAGCAAAGGAGGTGTATGTCTTCTATTGTCTCTGAGTAGTTTTTTTTTCATTCGTGCCGAAGCTTGGCTCTCGCACACTTAACTAAGTCCGCCCTGTAGAAAGAGGGATGGAGCTATACACCTTTTATAGCTCTATCCCTCTTTCTCGCCCGAAAGATTCACGTTTTAACACTACATGGTAGGCCGTCTGGACTTTTTCTCGGTCACCATCGTGATTATTATAGGTAAGGAGGATCATTTATAAAACTCTGTTCGAAGAGGAATAGAGGATAGTGTAGAAATGAAACTAAGTAGTTATAATTAAGCACGAATAATATATATTTAATCTTAAAAAAAATATTCTAAACTTAAATAAATGGTGTTTACTTCACAACATAGGTTTTCAATGACATTAAAAGTGTTAATTTTAGGTATCTTAAGTTAGTATTACACATATTCTATTCACAACCAGAATGTATGTTCGAGCTCAGTGGCGTGCAATTGGGGAGGCCTATGTCCAGCAGTGGACGACAACAAGCTGATGATGATGATGAATCACAAACAGAATATAATGCGAAAGTAACTCTGTCTGTCTGTGTCTGTCTGTCTTTTCTTCACGCCTAAACTACTCAACCGATTTCTGTGAAATTTGGTACAGATATAGTTTGGAACTCGAGAAAGGACATAGGATAGTTTTTATACCAAAAATCTGCAGGAAGTCACTATTCCACAAACGGGGAGTCGCTGTCAAAAGCTAGTCACTAAATAAGGTTAAATTAAAAAATCACTGTACAAAGTACTTAACTATGAAATAAAATCACTTTCTCTGTCCCTAAGTATAACCCAATTTGTATTTTGATGCGGTATTATTATTAGATAGAGAGTTTTTTTTTTGTTAGACAGAGTGATTGAAGAGGAAGGTTTATAAGTATAAAAACAGCTATTAAATAGTGGAGAAATTTAGGTTTAGCATTGCACCCGTGTATAATTATATAGAATCTTAAAACCTACTACCTATTTAAGTAAAGCACTTTTTATACAGGGTGTAAAAAGACACTTAACGAAGCCGTTAACTACGCATACTGTAGTTCTAACTAAGTAGCTTTACGCTAAAATTATCACTGGGAAACGACTTTTATTTTTAGGTATCAAAAAAAAATAATTTTATTGCGCGCAATGTAAAGCAAACGGGCTTCGAGTCATTGTGTGCGAAGGTTCACAGCTTAGCATTAAAACGCTGTGATAAGTACGTAGGTCGACGTTTTAAAACAATTCTGTAAAATAAAAATCCTACTGAGATGCACGATGTTTTTTGTGCGGGTCTGCATTTATTTATTACGTACATTACTGTTCGTAACTTCAAATGCGTAATTTATTTAGAAAAATCGAAATTCAGGTAATGTTTGTTTGGAAAAAAGTTTTGTAATAATATTTAGAAATCGACCGCGCAAAAAAAAATAAAAATGCATCTTTGACCTTCAATATCTCGAGAACCCGTGGAGTCCCAGCTATGGTCTTAAAGAAAAAAATGATCCAAATAATGGGTAGAATACGTGGCTTTCGGCTTCGTTAAGTGTCTTTTTACACCCTGTATATATTTTTTTTGCATAAATAATGTGTGTTCTTTTAGCCTAATTGTAATGTTATTAAGCTACACACTTCATCTTCTTTGGTTCATCATCTATAGTCTTCCAGTCGCCCTCAGTTTGCGTGTCACCTCTCATATTGCACTCGCCCTCAGCCGCATTGTTCACGAAACTGAATCCATATTTCCCTTCAAGTTTTAAGATCTCACTCCTAATTAGGAGTATGAAGTAGAGTTGTATCACTGAAAAAAGAAAAATAGTTTAAACGAAGGAAACAACTACAGCGTTGTGTTTCGCCGTGTGAGTGAGGTATCGTTACCGGAGGTCCAATCCTTCCCCTCCGCCAAGTCTTCACCAATCCCTAATCCTCAAAAGGTTGGCAACGCACTCTTAACTCCTCTGTTGTTGCGGAACAACAGAGTTAACAACAGAGGAACGATTGCTTACCATCAGGTAATACATCGGCTCGTATGCCAACCTATCATATAAAAAAGTGTGAGTTAAGTTAAAAGTGGTCCAACAGCCTCCCGTATCAAAGACTTATAATTGTTGAGGGGCAAAATCATCAAATCGCGAAAGGGAGTGTCAGACTCTTAAGTACTGACTAGAAATCACTCCGTTCTTTCTCCTGTTCAAGCCCGAAGCCTACATTATTGTGCTTGACCCACATCTCTTTAATGGTGTGGGTATCCATGTCCATGGATGACGTCAATTCCTTATAAGTACTCAACATTCAGTACACTAATATCTATTTATTTTTGTGAAGATCTAAAGGTCGTATTCAGATTCTTTGAATTGTTAATTTGAAATGATATAAATAAATGTGTCTATTTCCACTTTGCTGTCTTTCAATGTTATTAAAGATAACCCTTTAGCCTTTATATAATATGATTATAAATATACAGTTAAAATATTACGTCTACAGTTAGCTATAAAACCTAAGATTGGGAAAGCAAAGGAGGTATGTCTTCTATTGTCTCTGAGTAGTCTTTCTTTTGTGAGGGGTAAATCATCAAATGACTTCTTCCACCCAGGGTCGGATGGGAGGGAGTGTCAGACTCTTACTGACTAAAACCCCCCGATACTTCTCCTGCTCTGGGCCCAGGACGCCGTATGCTCGGAGTCTGAGTAGTCTAGCTTGACAGTATTGTATGTATATCAAAATCAAAGTCAAAACATTTATTCCAACTAAAACCTTAGTCATTCAAACAGAGAAGTCATTTTGAATTGATTTTCCCCTCAGAAAAGTTCCCTGCAACACCAGAGCAGCCACAAGCGCGTTGCCGACTTTTTAGAAAGGAGTACAATCGTTTCTCGTTATTTCAAGATCTTATCAATGCGGAAATACCGCCACCGAAAGGTTATTCAGAAGTTGAACTGTGGAACGCAAATGTTTTCGCAAAAATTGCCCAGTTGTTGAAAAATGCAGTTTGGAGCTCTTTACTCTAATGGTGATTTTGAAACTTACCGATGCTGAAGAAGAAGTTGGCGCATGTACTGATGTACTCAAAAGTGCGGTAGAGGAAAAACTCAATTGGGAAGACCAGCATCAGTATCGCGATGATCATTAGGAGACTACTGATGGTCAGTATCACTATGTTATAGACGTAAAACACACGCATCAGTTTTACATTTTTCTGAAACAAAAATATCATATTTTTTATTTAACGCCTTTAAATGAGCTGTCATCGTTTTGCATATGTAGGTATCAAATATATTCAATATATTCAAAGGTTCTCGTTACCTTTTCCAAAGATTTCGTTGAAATTTTCGAGGTAGATATTACATAAAGGGTTTTGGAAACGAAAAATCACTGTAGCTACGTTTAATCTTTGAAAAAAGATACTGAGCACAGCTCAGTTATCCAAGTTCTTTGCGAATCGCAATTGCAGTGCCATTTGTGTAGTAGATATAATTGTAAATGAAAACAATAAGATCAATGATTTAGATAGTGAATTTATCGAAAAATTCACATAAATTTACACTAATAAATCCAACGACTGATCTGGAAATTTAGACCATAAGTTTATAGAGTTATGTTCGAATTATTAAGGGAAGATCCGTATTAAATAGTACATTAGTAGATTTGAAAAGAACTTACCATATGCCCTCCGACGATGAACGTGACAGTCAAACTGATTTCTATAAAGAGGACTGTCAGTATAACACTCATGAAGATAATATTGTGCCGCTGTATGGGTAAATGGTACATAGTGTACATGCCCACCATGTGATAAAGGGACACCAGAATGAACATTGAAAATATGGTCACGGTAACCTGGAAACAAAAATAGTTTTAGCACATCAATAAAGATAAATATAGAGTACTGGCTGCGGCACTTTACGGTTGGTGCGGTGGCTGGGCAACTGGCTGCCGTGCAACGTGTCACGGGTTCGATTCCTGCACGGAACAACTCTTTGTGTGATCCACAAATTGTTGTTCTGGGTCTGGGTGTCATGTGTATGTGAAATTGTATGTTTGTAACCGCACCCACGTCACAGGAGAAAATCGTAGTGTGGGCCATGTTTTATCGTAAAAAAAGTGTGGAAGAGCCATGCTTTGCCGCGAATGGGTCTGGACTGGTATTCTGTGGGGCCGTGGTCTCACTCTCGAGCCGACCCAGTTGTGCCGAAACATGGCTCTTCCACAGGTGCACTCTTTGTGGATTCAAGTACAGTTCATTTGCCATTTTTGCCCATGATAATAGTATGTATTTAGGCGCACGTTTTCACCAATACTAATAATTTCTGTGGCAAATATTATTTCAGATTGTTCACATTTTGGGATATGTTGTTTGGAAGGTAAAAGATAATCCAACACATGCATCCCTGATTGCTTAAATTATAATTATTGATATTTCAAAATGCAATTAATCCGCCATAGCCGGAAACTTTACAATATGAATGTTTTCTTTAGTCCAAAACATTAAAAATAAACTAAGAGATATATTTTGCAACTTATCTAAAACAATTTTATAGTGAGATTTACTTCCATTATAAGTGATAGAATGGTCCCCTTATTTATGCCATTTTACTTGAGCAGTTATATAGGTTCAACAGTGGCTCTGAACTGGCTGATACCGATAATACAGCCTTGGTAACCTATTACCCAACTCGTAGGTGTCTACCAAATTGACTATAGCACTCACCAATTTAACGTATGCCCATGTAAGCAAACCATATCGTAGCGGTATGCAGAAACAGCATCTTTTAAACACTGGCAAATCCGCGCGCATTTTTAATAAAAACTTTTTAAACTGTCTTCGAAAAAAAAAAGATCACAACTTGAAAATATTGGCCGGAGAAAAAAAAAGAACAATATTTAGACTGTGGACAAATATGTAGGTTCCCGCCAACTGTTAGCTGCGTACTGGCCGATGTTGTTTGTAAAATGGCCCCAGAGAACATAAAATTTGTAATTAAGCACTGACTTTAACCTTTACTGCTTATTTTGAGATAAAGACGTGGCCTGGAGATAAATAGGAGGACAATTATCTAAACTTTCAATGGTGAGGCAGTACGTTTAAAAAAACCTATTTGATAAGACAAATATTTGTTTGTTTTATTATACAATAGGTCCAATATTAAAACAATATATGTCAGTTGTTATTGTGGTTTTTCGGTTGTTTTGAGATAATTTCCCAGGAATGACACAGAGTCGGGAAATTTGTCCCGTGTTTATTTTTTGCAAATTAATGTTTTGATTTGAGTAAATGATCTCTAGGTATTTAATTACTAACATACAAAGAGAGTGGTTAATGTCATTGCTTACATACATTCACAAGGCCTTTTTTAAGGGGCAAATCATTAAATTACTTCGAGCGAGAGTGTCAGACTCTAACTGACTAAAACCACCCGTTCCTTCTGCTGCTCTGGGCCGTGGTTGCGGTACACTGTTGCGCTCTCACCCACAATCCAGGTTCGGGCACGCTACCATAGCAGCGGTAAGACCCCTCTTTGAGGAGTGGCTTGAGAGACGTCACGGCGCCCTCACCTTCCGTCTGACGCAGGTGCTTACCGGGCACGGCAGCTTCGGTAGGTTCCTGTTTCGGATTCAGCGGGAGGAAACGCCCGAGTGTCGTCATTGTGAGGACCACCTAGAGGATACGGTGGAGCATACGGTAGCGGTATGCCCTGCCTGGGCTGAGCACCGCCGTATCCTCAGGGAAGTGATCGGCGGCGGCGACCTCTCGCGCCCGGCCTTAGTCGAGGCCATGGTGCGGAGTGAGAGGAACTGGGACGCCGTCTCCTCCTTTTGTGAAGCAGTCATGCTCGCAAAGAGAGAGGCGGCCCGCGTGAGGGAGCAATCCTCCTCCTCACGCCCCAGCAGCCGCAACTGGCGACACTACGGGCGTCGGGGATCGAGGGACGATCTCCGGCCACCGTAAGTACGGGCCTGCGGTCGGCGAGTAAGGGCAGCTCGCCGCCCGACCAGAACCAGGCCCGAGCGTACGGCGCGTAGCGTTCCGCGCGCGCCTCAAAGAGCCAATAGACCACCACAGACGGGGCCCTAAAGGGCTGATGTTCAGCCGGGGTTGCGGGGTAAGCGCAATGAGGTACCGCGACCTCGGCACAGAGCAGGAGAAGGAACAGGGGGGTTTTTAGTCAGTAAGAGTCTGACACTCCCTCCTGCCCGGCCCTGGGCGGGAGAAGTCATTTGATGATTTTCCCCTCACAAAAAAAAAAAAAAAAAAAACCCACAATCCAGGTTGAATATAAGGACCTTCTGTGTTGGCTTTTTGAACGTGGAGCTGCTAAACGCGACGCGCCTGACGTTCGAGTCTTATTTTTGTTGGGCGGCGAACCATTATTGCTGGCCGTCAACCGACTCGTGCTTGCAGTGGCCGGAGATCGTCACGAGATATCCGATTAGCGGATGTGTTAAGCGCTCATGCAGAGGCTGTGGTGTGAGGAGGATAGTTCCCTCGCCCGCTCCACGTCTGTCGTTGCGAGCATAACCGCTTCGCAGAAAGAGGAGATCGCTTCCCAGTTCTTCTCCCTCCGCACCGTGGCTCGTGACCGGGTGTGAAAGGTCGCCTCCGCTTTCATCCTCCACAGATCAGTTCTCTACCCTCATGCGGTTCACACCATTTTTATAGGACTTATAAGCATTTTTATTATTATGAAAGAAAGCAAACGAGCTGGAGTGTCACCTGTCTGTTATGCGGTTAAACTGTTATGCAGTTTGGTAGAAAGTACCTAATAACGTTTTTATGTCATTCCATCTTCATAATAGTCGCAGCACCAAAGTGACACTCCATTTTAAAAGTTTGTGAAGTGGAATCATGCATACCTACGAAGCAGATATCTTGATTTGTAAATTTATTCACGTCATACCTACTTGATAAATTGTTCCTAAAATTATTGTTAAAATATTTTTTAAAGTTTTTTCTTTATTTAATACTAGATATAACAATCATAATCATCAGCCTGTGTCCGTCCACTGTTGGACATAAGGCTTTCTAATTGCACGTCACTGGGCTCGACGTTCAGCTTTTCTCAACTTACCACTGCTAGCCACCCCTTCTGACTGGAGGCTGCCCTACGCAATAGCCACCAATAATAAAAACAACTCGATGTTTTGACGTTTATTACAAAATTAAATTAACAACATGGTTAATTGAACTAGCCGTACCCGCCGGATAATACAGACGACGCCGCACGCACGGTCTCGTGGCTATGATGGCTCTCAACCTCAATATTTGGCGACCGTGACAGGATACCTACTACCCAGCAATCTTCGGTGATTATTGGTGGCTCTCATCCTCAACAAAGATATTTTAGAACATTAAGTGTGGAAGAGCCAATCTTAAGGCTCGACCGGAGTGATACCACAGTCCCACAGAAAACCGGCGTGAAACAACCACAGCGGTGTGTTTTGCCGTGTGAGTGAGGTTACCGGGGGCCCAATCCCTCGCCTTCACTCCCTTCCCAATCTTTAAATATCCGAAACCTTTACTTCTAAAAGACCGGCAACGTTCTCTTTACTCCATGAGACGATGCGGGTTGTGGATGGTGGGCGGCGCTATTTGCTTACCATCAGGGTAAGCAAATAGCGCCGCCCGTAATACCGACTTATATCATAAAAAAATCGTGGTCACCAAAAAAGTAGACAATTAAATAGTTTGTAAATCTCCAATTTTGTCTGTATTCTGCTCATACTCGTAACAGGCGTCACAATTTAGTAATAACGATAGAAATGAAAGAAACCAAATCCCTTCCCAATCCCTTATCCCCAAAAGGTCGGCGACGCACTCGTAACTCCACTGTTGTTGCGGGTGTCCATGGGCGGTGCTGATTGTTATTATCAGGTAGCCCGTCTGCTCGTTTGCCGACATATCTAAAGAAAGTCGTGTTAGTTACTCCACTTATAACCCAAGAACGGCTGAAAATTTGTAAGGAGGTAGCTAAGAACTAGACATAGGACATAGGATAGGATAGAGTAGGTAGTGTAGGTTAGGTAGAGTAGGGTAGGTAAAGTAGGGTAGGTAGAGTAGGGTGGGTAGAGTACGGTAGGTAGAGTAGGATAGCTAGAGTATGATAGGTAGTGTAGGTAAGGTGGAGTAGGGTAGGTAGAGCAGGGTAGGTAGAGTAGGGTAGGTAGAATAGGGTAGGTAGGGTTGGGTAGGTAGAGTAGGGTAGGTAGAGTAGGATAGGTAGTGTAGGTAAGGTGGAGTAGGGTAGGTAGAGCAGGGTAGGTAGAGTAGGGTAGGTAGAATAGGGTAGGTAGGGTTGGGTAGGTAGAGTAGGATAGCTAGAGTAGGATAGGTAGTGTAGGTAAGGTGGAGTAGGGTAGGTAGAGTAGGGTAGGTAGAGCAGGGTAGGTAGAATAGGGTAGGTAGGGTTGGGTAGGTAGAGTAGGGTAGGTAGAGTAGGGTAGGTAGAGTATGGTAGGTAGAGTAGGGTAGGTAGTCAAAATAATGCTGGGAGCAACGCTACGGGTAAGAACTAGTCACATAAATAAATTAAATAAATAACAACCTCAACTCAGTGTTCAAGAACAGACAATAAAATCCAAATTGAATTAAAAAATATTTTGCAACTTTATGAACTAAAACTGACAATATACCTACTGCTTTTTACATTAGCTATCTCAATAATCAGTTTATTTTTAGGTTTTTCCACAAGGACAGTAAAATACCGTATTAACACATTCATAAGGTGCTGAAACGTACCAACATTAAATCGAGACACTTTTAAGTCAAACATCAACTCAACTCGACTGCACGGTTGGTGCGGTAGCTGAGCAACTGGCTGCCGTGCAACGTGTCACGGGTTCGATTCCCGCACGGAACAACACTTTGTGTGATCCACAAATTGTTGTTTCGGGTCTAGGAGGGATGTGTATGTGAAATTGAATGTTTGTAAACGCACCCACGACACAGGAGAAAAACCTAGTGTAGGGCAACGTATTTTTTTAAAAAAAGAAGAAAGAACTAGCTTCTGACAGAAATTTTGTAAATAAGTACCTAGGTATAAATCTATATATAAATTTTTTAGTCCTTTTCTGTGTTCTCTCATTTGTTTTTCATTTTAGTTATTGAAGAACATTACCTGTTCCCAGGAGCATTGTTGACTGATGCAGATGGGGCCCAGGGCTGATGTTTAGCCAGGGTTGTGGGGTAAGCGCAATGAGGCACCTTGGCCTCAGCACAGAATAGAAGAAGGAACGAGGGTTTTAGTCAGTAAGTAAGAGTCTGACTCTTCCTCTCACCTCACCGTGGGCGAGAGAAGTCATGTGATGATTTTACCTTGACAATAAAAAAAACGCATTGACAGATTGCGCTACCTTAAAGCCGGGTTTTTTCTCACAGTAAGAGTTGGCTTGGACCGGATGTCTACTCGGATGCTACTCGTATCATGTAACACGTAATCCGAGCGCACTCGGACGCCAAAGTCTAATCCGAGTAGACTCGGACTCTGCTCTTTTTTTCAAGCTCACTCGGATCATTTGAATGTACTCTTTAAACAATATGGCGACAATAAACCACTATCCGTGTACACTCGTACGAAGCTTGTGAAAACCCGGCTTAAAGTAGCTTCTTTTTCATTAAGTTGTCAGAAAGTAGGTGTGGATCAGTGTGTTTCTAGAAAAAACTATGTTCTAGCAATCGTCACGGATCCTGTAGTCTCATTTAACTCTTCTTCTTCTCTGGTTTTCCAGTCTCCCTCTATTTGCGTTTCTCCTCTCATATTGCACTCCGCCTCAACTGCATTGTTCACGAAGCTGAACCCGTAATCACCTTCGAGTTTCGAAATCTCACTCCTTATTAGAAGTATGAAGTATATTTGTGTCACTGGAAAAAGTATAAAAATAAAATCATTTCTTAAAATAAAAGAATCATTTCTTAAAATAAAATTCCCTAATCCCTAAAAGGTCGGCAACGCTCTCGTAATTCCTCTGTCGTTGCAGGTGTCCATGGGCGGCGCTGATGCTTACCATCAGGTAATCCATCTGTTCGTTGCTCGTATATCACAAAACAAAAAAAAAATATTATTTCGAAATATTTCGACCTTTGATAATCTTTTAGATTACATTATTGTATTGTAGAAGACAGGCATTCAGGCCCTATTTACATTGTTTACTAATTTACTCGAATTATCATAATGGACAGCTTTCTATAAATATTATTTGGAATTGCAAGAACATATATATACTTATATGTATAGGTATAGGTAGCTCTTGCTTGCGATTCTCACTTTTGTTCGCGTGGAATAGTGATTTCCTGCAGATTTTTGGTTTAAAAACTATCCTTTGTCCTTTGTAGTTTCAAACTATGTCTGTACCAAATTTCACAGACATGAGTTCAGTAGTTTAGGCGTGAAAAAAATACAGACAGAGTTACTTTCGCATTTATAATATTAGTTTGGATTAGGTAGTTTGATAGAGTTTCAACATCATCATTCTACAAAAGTTGAGTACGTAGGTGAAACTGTTGGACAAGGCTATGTTTAATAGGTATAGGTTCTTACTCAAGATGAAAAAGAAGGTAGCAGTAGTATAGACGAATGCTCTGAAGCTATAGGCAACGAGGATGCGGGATGGATCCAGATCCTTTAGCATTAAGATCGTCAGGATCACCATCAGAATGAAGCTGATTATCCATATCACAATATTATAGATGTAAAATACACGAACGATTTTTTTATTTTTCTGAAAACAAAAAGAGACTAATAAGTATATAACAGAGAAAAAAAAGAGCCAAGCACTCTTTTTTTCCCTAGGTAGTATTTCTTTTGCTATCATAATACTATTTTTTTTTTAATAAAATGTTGCCACACGCCATCATTTTCTTCTATGTCATGGGTACGTTTACAGACATACAATTTCACATACACATTCCACCCAGACCCGGAACAACAATTTGGAAATTACCCAAAGAGTTGTTCCGTGCGGGAATCGAACACGTTGCGTGGCAGCCAGTTGCCCAGCCACCGAACCAACCGTGCAGTCACAGGCAGGATTGACACGTAAAAACACATAATTAATGTTTGGCTAAGTCAAATAGCTATGGTTAGTAGATACACAGAGATCTTACCATGTGCCCTCCAACGATGAACGCTAGCGTGAAACAGAATTCAATGACTAAGGCCCCCAACAGCAAGCAACAGATGACAATGCTGTACAGATCTAGTCGTAACGAGTACTTAATATAGAAATCAATTTCATGGTACAGGCAGATCGAAAGAAAGAGTGACAGAATGACTTGCATAACCTGAAAACAAGAATAATAGGTAACTATAAATTGTCAATCTTGATTGCTTCCCAAAGAATGGAGTACCTAAACTCCGCACTTCTCATAAAAAACAGATTTAAAAAATACCTTAAAACCCTGTGCATGACTACAAAAGCACTCTGGAGTGCACATGCAAATATGTACTTCTTTTACTTAACTATAAGTGTGGGAGAACCAAGCTTCTGCACGAATGGGTCGGTTTCACCGGAATGATACCACGGCCTCACAGACAACCACAGCTCTGAGATTTGCCATGTGAGTTAGTTCCAATCTTTCTCCTTCCCCAATCCCTAATTCCCAACGGTCGTCAACGCACTCAGTATTCCTCCGTTGTTGCTGGTGTCCATGGGTGGATTGCTTACCATCAGGTAATCCGTTGGCTCGTTTGCCATCGTGTCTAGAAAACTTAGTTGAGTTTGAAGAATTAATTTAACTAGTTAACTCACCAATTTTACGTACCCCCATGTAATCAAACCATATCGTAATGGTACACAAAAACAGCACCTTCTAAAAGATGGAACCTCGGTGCGCATTTCAAATAAGAAATTATACAATCTCGTTACAAAAAAAAAAAAAAAAAACAAGTAAAAAATTTAATAAAAAAAACTACGTTTAAAAAAACCGACTTCAAAAACAAAAAAGTGTCAAATAAGTAATTAAAATTGATATTCTAATAGCACTCTTACGTACGCGAAGCTAATACTTTTAATATTAATAATAAAACACTATCAATTCTATGTGCTACCTATTCATAGGTTTGAAGTCGGTGCCAAGCCATACACAATATAATAAGCATGATTACATGAGTACCTACACTCGCCGGGCGCGTGTGAATTTATTTGTTAGGATTTAAGAAATGTAGTACCGATTTTCTAACTTGATGGCGTAAGCGTAGAATCAGAAGTCTATATGGTTGCGTTACCGGCGAAACTGTAATAGCTCAGAAAGATATTTGGATGAATTATGAAAGTTTTCTCGTACTTGGTTGTTAAAAGTAGTAGTAGATGGCTGCGTTGTTAGCTGTGGAAATTTCGTCTTTCAGCAATTAAACAGTCTTAATTCTCATTTAGTTTTATTCTGTTTAGGGCTTGGCACCGACTTCAAATCTATGAATAGGTAGCACATAGAATTGATAGTGTTTTATTATTAATATTAAAAGTATTAGCTTCGCGTACGTAAGAGTGCTATTAGAATATCAATTTTAATTACTTATTTGACACTTTTTTGTTTTTGAAGTCGGTTTATTTAAACGTAGTTTTTTTTATTTTTTACTTTTTAGTATCTGTTACAAGTTCTTCTGTAAACTACAGTAACATTTTAAATATAAATTAACATATTGAATAGTATATACTTTTTAAGTAGCTTTGTGTACCTAGGCCAACGAAAGGAGCCGCTCGTTAAAAAAAATAGATCTCAAGAAATGGGAAAGTTCTCATCATCATCATCATCATTATCAGCCATTTTAATGTTCCCACTACTGGAACACAGGCCATCTCTCCAGGAAAGTTCTTAACAATATAAATTAAGTCCAAACACGAGGTAGCTACTGTAAACCGTTGAGGAGTTCCCTAGACTGTCCTTCGTCTTCATCATCAGATCCCTGATGACAGTCACAATCCATCTAGATGTAAAGTTCTTATCAAAACGAATTAATTAAGCTCAAACACAAGGAAGCTGCTATGAATCGTTGAGGAGTTCTCTCGACTGTCTCTCGGTTCCATCCGGAATTCCCTCGTCGGTCAATGGTCTCCATCATCAGGTAAACTGCAAACCTTCAGTTGTTATAATACATACAGGTACAAAGTTTTCATCAATATAAATGAATTAAGTTCAAATACGAAGTAGTTACTGTAAACCGTTCAGGAGTTCCTTGAGCTGTCCTTCGTTCTCATCATTAGACCCTTAATGACAGTTACAACCAAGCCTGCTGCAAAGTGCTCGTCAATACGAATCATTCAAGCCCAAACACAAGGCAACTACTTCAAATAGTCAAGGAGATCCCTCGACTGTCTTCCAGCTCCAACATCTGGTCGACTTCGACCTTCGTCAAGTTGTAGTGTTGATAAAGGCCTACTTAAACATCATACAAAAACACTACTCGCCCCTACAATTTTCGAAAGTTCCCCTCGGTTTCTCCAGGATTCCATCATCAGATCCTAACCTCATGACAATGGGACCAAATGGCAAGTATACCCTATCGAATAAAAAAAGAATTTTGCAAATCGGTCCAGGCGTCTTCGAGTAATCGGTGAACAAACATAAAAAAAAAAAAAAAAATTCGCGTCGAATTGAGAACCTCCTCCTTTTTTGAAGTCGGTTAAAAAAGAATATTATTTTACACTATGCGCACTTTATTTCCCGCCAACTGCAGCTGTCAAACTGTGCTTAGGTACGTATGATGTTCCCAGTGTGAAGTAAATAAAAATATATAAGTATTTACTTATTATTTTCTAATTAAGCATTCACCTTTACCCCTTACTCGAAGATAAAGAAGTAGACTAACTGGAGATAATTTAAGGAAAATGAAAGCATCAATGTTGTGTTTTAATTTGTTTTTAAGAAGAGCAAACAAATTACTCGATGTTCGTTTTTAAAGCAGCCATAGACATCTACCAACAAAACACAGTGGCAGAGTCCAAATAAAAATGAAAAATCAAAGTCAAATTGAAATAGTATTTATTTCATTTAAGTAAGTTTCGTTTAAGTATTACAATGTATATTTGAAATTAAAAAAAAGTACCTAAAATCAGTTTTTATTAAATTGAAAACCCCATAATCCTATTCATGTGCCCACGGACTACACAGAAGTGCCCATAAGTTGACCACAATACTATGTAGTCTATAAATTTTATATGAAAAACTAGCTACTCTCGTGCGGTTTCACCCGCTGCTCGGCTCCATGTAAGCGTAGCGTGATGTTTTATAGCCTATAGCACTCAGGAACATTCTAGCTATCTATCAGTGAAAGAATTTTGGCAATCCGACCAGCGGTTCCAAAGATTACCCCCTAAATACAAACTTACAAACATACAAACTTTATAATATTAGTATAGATATGATTTAAATAAATTGAAGACATTTAAAAAGTAACTTTAATTAACTAAGTGATTGGGTATGAAGTTGCTTCTCGGATTGCATTTTTATTTACGTATTTCGTAAAAAAATTGTGTTGGTACATTTAGTTTATTCTTATCTAAAATTTGTGTCTGTGGACTAGAAGTCTTTTTGTCTTCAGCTATTGGATTTGAGGGCTCTTTGTATGTTATTCCAACGATGCCATTGCCACCGGCCTCAACCTCTCCCGAATTGTTCGGGAATTGTAACTCACGACTCAAGTTTTCAAGTTTAAAGATTTCACTTCTCAGTAGAAGTATGAAGTAGCATTGTATTGCTGAAAAAAAGTAAAATAATGCGTTACATTTGTACGTATGTACGAGTAAATTGTTGTTTCGGATCTTGGTTTCATGTGTTGTGAAATGGTATTATGTTTGTACACGCATCCATGACACAGGAGAAAATGCTATAGGTAGGTACTGAGTTTTCTTTTGTCAGGGGAAAATTATCATATGACTTCTCCCGCCCAGGGCAAGGCGACGAAGGAAGTCAGACTTTAGAGAAGTAGTGTCAGACTCTTACTGACTAAAAACCCCCTCGTTCCTTCCCCTTCTTCAGGACGAGGCTGTGGTGTCTCATTACATTACGCAACTGTGGTGGTCTATTGACTCTTCGAAGCGCGCGGGGAACGCGGGGTAATATAAAGAGGTGGATACTTACTAACATTACAAAAGAACTTGGATACAGATAACAGGGCTGTCTGCGAGTAGAACGGAGGAGTTATCAAGGTCAAGACGACCATCATCAGTACGCCATTAATGACCAGCATAACAATACAATAGCAATAGTAAATACGCATGAGTCTCACATTTTTCTGAAACAAATAATACCTACATAAGTATTTTACAATTAGTAATAGGTAAACATGCATTTAAAAACTATAAGTCACCAATTAGGTCTGACAGAACACCGTCGCGAAAGAACCACCGCATTGTTTCACCGTGAGATTATGATGTTTTTCGGAGGCCCAATCCTTTTCTTCCTGTCATCCCTCCCTAATCCATAAATCTCCAAAATCCTTTATCTCCAAAAGGGTGGTAACGCACTTGCAACTCCTTTGCTGTTGCGAGCAGCGCCGATTGCTTACCATCAGGTAATCCGTCTACTTAGGCGTTTCGTTCGCCGTCGTATAAGATAAAAATAAAAAAGGTGAATGTGCCTATGTAGGAAATACTTTCTTAGTTTAAAGATCAGCAGAGATCTTACCTTATGCCCCGCGATAGCAAACATAAAAGTCAAACAAAACTCGGCAATCAAGAGTCCCAGTAAGACGCGTATGTACCAAGCCTCATTGTTGCTGGTCGTTTCCTTGAGTACGTTCACAATCAGAGCTGTTAAAATTGCAATGGTGATCTGGAAATAAATAATATTTCAAGAAAAAATCCATCACAGGAGACAAAGTTAGGTAAGTATTTTGTTATCGGAGGCAAGAAAAGCAATTGTAGTTTAAGTACGTGAATCAGATTTCTAAAACACATTCAACGCACAAATATAACTTAAAATCTCTGAAGTCAGTAAGTGGAGGAGAGCCATGATTCGGCACGAATCGGTCGGGTCGACCGGAGTGATAGCACGGCCTCAACAACCAAAATATATGTATATAAAATAAACCCTTATCAAAAATATCAAAGTTTTGGCAAACTTTCGTAAGGGATTTCCCACGTGTAAGAAGTGACAGAGAAAATATATATAGGGAGGAATATATGAATAATACATTATACATTTCATTATAATTAGGTAGCTAGCTATATAAAAGGTAGGTAACAAAGAAACGCATTGTGAAACTAACTGAAAAAAGTACCCATGGAGTTTCTTGCTCGTTCTTCTCCATAGGAATCTGCTCTCTTTGGAACGAGCAAATAGCTTCACTAGAGGACAGACGGACAGACTGACACGCATAAAGTTAAACCAATTGATATTTTTTTTGCTTGATGTTCAAGTTCCTTTTGTGGTCTACTTGAAATAAATGATTTGGTTTGATATAAGCACTTAAACACCTAGCTGGCAAATTGACAATAACACTCACCAACTTCAGGTATGCCCATGTAAGCAATCCATAGCGTAGTGGAATACAAAAACAGCATTTTGAAAACACTAAAAAATCCTTATAACTCATCTTAATAAAACATTAAATCAGGATACAATAAAGTTTAAATAAAAAAAAATACAATTTTACACTATGCACATCTCCCGCCAAAATTGCGGCCGACATGCTGCATCTTCAATACCACAATGCTTTGAAAATTGGCATCATGCAGTATTTAAGACGTTGTCAAGAATATATAGGTATATTGGCTGTAAGCCAATGTAGGTAGCTACATGCTATAGATGGTTTTTCAGTCTTGATAAAGTGTCGTTGCCAGTAACATTTCCATTTCTTAATCGAATGATTATGTCAAAAAATATGCAGGAAAGTCCGTAAACACTCGATTTACCCAGATGACAAAAATCCGAAAAGGAAAGTGTGTAGGAATATTTTCTGTGGAACAGTTTTCAGTGTGGGAGACCAATGCTTCTGCGCGAATGGACCGGCTCGACCAGTGATACCACGGCCTCACAGAAAAGCGGCCTGAAATAATCACAGCGTTGTGTTTCGCCGTGTAAGTGCTTACTGGCCTAACCCTTCCCCCATCCCTTCTTAATCTTTAAATCTCTATAATCCTTATCCCCAAAACGCCGGTCACGCAGTCGTACCTCCGCTGGTGTTAAGGGTGTACAAGCCGCCCGGCTTTGATTGCTTACCGTCAGGTAATATGCATGTTCGTTTGCCGACCTATCAAATAAAAATAAAAAAAAACGGAAGTCCTTTCTCGGGCTCTTTGTGGAAATTTAGGTACCTATTTCTTAGAGGATATAGGTGACAAATATTCGACACCTCCGACGTATGGACCCGCAATTCCTAAAGGCCAAAGCACTCATAACTCCTCTATGTTATGGTGTCCATGAAAGGCTATAACTTACCATGATTCGTCTGTTCGTTTGCTGATCTTTCCCATAACAAAGACATGTATGATATTGGCCTTCGAGGGAAATCAGACCTCAAATTCACTTACACGACAAAACCCAATGCAAGTATTGTTTGACCCCGATTTTCGGTCCGTTTCTAGATACGCTCGAGCCGGTCCGTTCCCGCCAACTCAGGTAACTACTTCGTAATTACGTAAGTATTAAAACAAAATTTACATTCAGTAAACATATTGACTATGCACTTTATTGGATATAAAAATAGTTTATAAAAAAAAATATATTTACACATTTTGCCATCTAAGACTGAAGCAGCAACATACCAAATATAATAAGGCACATTCATAGGTGGGTAAGTGTACAAAACATTAGTTTTTTAAGAGGAAACATCTTCCAATGGCTTGCCCTGGGTGGGGCAAGAGGAGGTGTCACTATGTCAGTGATTTTAAACCACCTCCTACCTTCTTCTGATGCGGGCCATGGCCGCAGTGTGTAGTGTTATTGCATTTCCACACGAGACATTAGGAGCATAATGACATTTTCTGGATTACCTGTTACAGTGACTACTTTTTTTCGTTATAACGTTGCCCCACATTCGATTTTTTTCTTGTGTCGTGAATGCGTTTACAAACATACAATGTCATATACACATCACACCCCGACTCGGAATAACAATTTGGATCACACAAAGAGTTGTTCCGTGCGGGAAACGAATTCGCGACACGTTGCGCGGCAGTCGGTTGCCCAGCCAGCGCGCCAACTGTACAGTCGTCAACAAATGCCAGCTAGAATTTTCTAAATCCACCAGATGTCGCTACTGTAGTATAAGGACGGTTTATCCAATATCTAGGTAGCAGTCAAAAATTACAACATGCCCAATGATAGTTAATACCTTATATAGTTAATGATATATTAGACATACAGCCCTTTTGCTACATTCGCGCCATCTGGTATGCAAAAATGGTATTTTAAGGATACATTTAAATTGATATACTTAATATTTTTATGCTCAATAATTGACAAATATGAATAAAAAATATAAAGATATATGTGTCTTCAGTAGACACAGTGCCTATAACTACAAAGGCACTTATAAAGCATTAAAATTACACAAAATTACACATTTTATTACGTACAGACGCCAGCGAGCCAACCTATTTCAATCTGCCAAATTTTATATTCTAATACGAAGAAGTAAAGTTTATAATCCAACAAAATGTCTGTGCTTAATATGCTGGTCTGTAATCAGTCTGTAGACAATTTATGGCACTTAAAAAATAAATTAAACAGTCAAAATTCTTACTTAAAATAAGTTAAAGTAAATCACAACTCTGTAAATAAGAAAATAAAAGGTATTATCTACTTAAACACACAACAGTACAAAATTCATAGAAAACCCATCGTTTTGGCACTCGCCATTTGAAAGTCCATTTTTTTTAATTTGATTGTCAACAATTATAATTATTTTTTATTTACTTTAAACAAAATATAACATTAAAATAAATTTATAAGATTAGCATTTACGGCCGTGTAAACTAAACATTTCTACAAAATTCCAGCCCAATAGGTCAAAAAACCTAGGCAATGGAAAAGTTTGCATCAGGTATACCTGCTGCAAAATGTAGAATCCACCTGACAAACATGCATACATTGCAAATTAAATAAAACCTTCTAACATACATAAATACATGTGATATTAAAATAAAATTTGTAGTATAAATCTTACAATTATAACTAATAAACATCTTATATTTAGCTCATACCTCAAAACAAACATTGCAACATACAACATCTATAAAAATATATTAATCATCGAGCTACATTATTCGCAGACATAAGCAAAATAAGGCACAATTACTTAAGTCACGTACACTCAATCATATTAGGTTATAAATATACCCCAAAATCATATGGGATTATAGATACCTCTCTCAAATCTCTCTCTCTCTGTCTCTCTCTCTCCCACTCTCCATCTCGCTCTCTCTCTCTCGGCGTTCGTGAAAGGGCGCCGTCAGTTGGGACTGGTCAGCTCCGGACTGTCTCTTGTCCTTAAGGTTATTTTATTTTTATATTTCTCTGAATTAATATTAGTGGTACACTGTTCTCACATAATTGAACCAACTGTTTGTATAAGGAATCTGTATGTCAAACTGTTTTAGAAAGAGTAACCATGGAGTTTCTTGCTCGTTCTTCTCCATCGGAATCTACACTTTGTAACGAGCAAATCGCTTCACTAAGAGGATAGACCGAGAGACAGACTTTAAATCTTTAAAATTTTAACGTTCAAAAGTGCCTATAAGGTCCTATTTGAAATAAATTATTTTTGACTTGACTTTTTTGACAAAAGGAGGTTGTTTATCAGTGGATGTTGTCTCTTAAGAGTTGGCAATCGGGACGCCACAATAATTCAAATAATGCAAATTGGTCTTACTGCCTACAATAAATATATAAAATAGCTCTTCTTTTGTTGATTGGATTTCTTACTAGTTGACCTATACCTTTAGCTGTTTTATCACCATGTTAAACAAAAATGTACCCATGCCCTTGATAACAAGGTTTAAATTCGTGTGAAGAAGTGAATTACTTCATGTAGATACAATCTCAGCACTGACGGGAGTGCTGTAAATGGTCATGAGCCCTGGTAAAGTTTTGAAACTAATCGAGCACCTACAGTTTCGTGATTTTACTCAATTATCTAATATATCAAACATTTCAATCGTGACAGCGGTACTCAAAAATGAGTTTTTACACTTAATTCCTAGGTCATAAATTTCATTAAAATATATTTTTGTTGTGTATAGGTTCTGTACTATTAGTTGAGGTAATATCTTGGTTTTGGTTGACGGGAGTGATGGTTCCTTCAGGCTCATTGTCGTCCTTAACGAACCTGTACGGACAGTTACTTCGAAGCTTGATTATTTCACTCCTCAGAGCCAGTAGCAGGAAGGTCTGGATGGCTGAAATAATAAATTAATTAACTGTACATTTACCATTTGAATCGTGGCAATATGATACACAACGCGTTCGTTTTAATAAACTAATAAACACGAATTTTCTTGGGTCTTTGTATCACACCTGAACAAATGTACCAATTTCCCCAACAAACATTAACATTTATTGCATTTGTAATACATTTTCTGGAATTAATATCGAAAGAAAAAAAAATGGTTTTTAGTTTTTTTGCTTGGGTCATCATCATTATTTATTTAGATATTTATTCACCAAAAAAAAACTAGTTCCTACATGTATAAATAGTGGCGGGCTTTTCATAAAACAAATGAATGACATCGGGGAAGTTGGAAACAAAATTTTCTAAGTATGATGTCAATGGGAATCTGCTCTTAAGAACGATCAAGAACGATCAAATAATAGCTTCACTAGAGGATAGAAGGACAGACAAACATAAAGTTGAGCCTTTTGATATTTATTTATTTTTTCGTTTGACGTTCGAAAGTGTCTGTTGTGGTCTACCCAAAATAAATGATTTTACTTTTTGACTTTTGACTTTGAAAATTGGATAAGTATTTAAAATAAATTGTTTTAGTAGTAAAATTGTAATAACTTACCAATAGAAAATGTAAATCCTATAACGTTCAATGCGAAAACTAGGATTTCAAGGAAAGAATCTTTTCTGAAGAATAAACTGACCGAAAGTAGTCCAGTGGCGATAACTGCGGCCATCATAGTCACCGCCCACATGAAGAGGGCGTAGTAGAAGTAAAGTCTTAATATCTTTACATTTTTCTAAAAAAAAAGTAAAAACTTAATAAAGGTCGCGTCATAGCAACTTTAAAAAAAAAAACAATTAAAAAAATATCTACACTGCATTTTATTAAATATGTTTGAAAAAAATTATTAAAGTACCAAAAAGATTAGAAAAAACAACAGTTTATTTCATTGAATTTTCGATATTTTAAGCTTATTGTCATGAAATAATTAATATTCATGAAATATTACTAGGTAATTTAAAAAAATAACGTTAAAACAAACCATTCCGAAGAAAATTCATAGATAGGTACTGTCGATTTTTCTTTTTTTGGTCAAGAGTAGCCATTTTTGTGGGGATTAAAACCCATAACACGTTACGCAGCAGTCAGATAACCAGACTCTGCACCAATCCTTAAATAAGTTCAGTCCAAAAAAAAGTTAAGACAAAGATGTAACTATATATGAATTAAAGTTACCTTGTGTGCACCAACAATGAATGAGCAGTGGATTACAACCTCAGTCATTAATACCACGACTATCATTATAACAATGTTTAGATCTCGCCTGTGGTTTACAGGTATTTGAGACAGCAGAATAAGGAATATGATCAGAATTATCAGTGCTATGCCCTGCGAAAGAAAAAAAACACTTCGTAAGAAATTCTGGTATATAGGTACATACGCATACATATAACTAACAACAATATAGCGCAATTGGGTAGTTTCCTAGGTCAAAAATAAATTAGTTCGACGTTTCAATACAATATAATATTGAAAAATAATTAGGTATACTTTCATTCATCAATCGATCGATACACAAAATTTTTGATACTTTTTAGCAAATTTTTAAGAAACAAGTAAGCTATTTGACTTAAAATTACTATGTCGTCATAACTCAGTATTATTTCATATAAATTTCATAGAAAAGTTGCGTTTTTGACATTTGGATAAAAGTATTGAATTTGACTAGTTGGCAACTACCGTATTATGTCTGTTTGAAAATAATTAATTGAGTACTTCCTTATAAAATGATTTTACTCAACTCAAAATCTTTTAGTAAGAACGTGACATTTCACAGTACACAATAAAATACGGGTTTTATGACTAAGTGAAGTATTCACTCCTAGCTTGTTGTTTCATTTTATTGATCCTAAATTATGTGTAAGGACGTCACAAGTTGGGGGCTTAAAGGTAAGCAACTCGCAATGCAAGTAAAGTTTGCGTGCATATAATATGACAATCTTCTGGATAGGGAATTCCAACGAAGACTGTTGGGCAGTAGCCCGCCCGTACGATGTGGTTCGCTTCTTCCCGAATTCCGATCTTATAAAAAGAGCGAGCATCTCATTAACTAAAAACCACCCCGTTTTTTTCCCCGTTTCCAAGGCCACGGTAGTTTCCAACTAGTCAAATTCTTCACTTTTACGTAAAGTATTTGTTATTGGTCTTCAGTGTGTTGCCAGGGCCAAAATTCGTCAGGGGTGGTAGCGGTTGTCGGGGATTTATTTACAAGTATAGTATACTTGTACATATATTTATTTATTTATGACCTAGGAAACTACCCGATTATTGCGTATAGCGCTTGTCCACCAACATCAGCCTTGTTGGGCTCAATATATATGGTGGTCCATTGGTAAAGCGCACACGGAACGCTAAGCACCATGCGCTCGGGTAATTATATTCAATATAACATTGTATGCACAATTGACTAAATGGTTTTTTTAAAGCTTTTCCATAATCATTAATTTATTATAAGGAGAACAACACAATATGAACAAATCCATGATATGTAGGTATTGTTTAAAAAAAATAGATTGTCTATTGTTTTTTCCTATTATTATTTTATTTTAATTACGTAGGTATGCTCAAGAAAACATAGTATTAAATTGAATATCCTCATTATTGTTATTATTTAAGAACTTATATGGGTGCTAAGTTGTGTCATTGAGTTGGCCTGGAGGTCAATGCACTGCAAATCCAGGATGGTCAAAACCCAGCAAGTACCTACCAATGTGAAATTTACCGATAAATACTTAATAAGTACCTACTTTTTAATATTATTAAGATATTTTTTCTTTTACAACAGCAGATCTTAGGAGGTGAGACACAATGTGTTTTTTTTAATCAGATTTTATACGTATTTTGGATTAGGCAAGTGGTTAAGCAAGCGCACCAGTGACTGCATTTGAATTGACACTGACTGTTGTCTGTAGAGAAATCCATCAGGTCTTTATGTAATATATGCTTCATAATAAATACATATGGGACTTTCATTAGACTTTAGAGAAGCTTGTTCTTTAAAAAATTGCTTTAAAAACTTATTTTTTTTTAATTTTTGTGTACATTACATTGTTAATACAAAATATTTTATAAACAAACAACAAATTACAATAAGAACAAAATACTTATTTTTTACATTACATATTGTAAGAAGGGATTAATTTAAAATAATTATAGTCAAATACTCACCAGTTTCAGATACCCCCAGGTCAGCAAGCCATACCGTAAAGGTATACAAAAACAACATTTTTTAAACACTGGCAGCTCAGCCATTTTATCTGCAATCGGTTTCCAAATACAACCTCCTTTACAATTAGCAAAGAGTTTGAATCACTGGTTTGATGGAAAGGGCACACCCTTCAACTGGACAAAAAGTAGTCTTCAAAAAAGTAGGTTAGGTTGCAATCTGTATTTTATTATACGCAGCTATTTGGACCAAACGATGACTTTATAATGACATAGCTATGTAGAACTACAGCTATAATTAGAAACCGACCAACAGCGGGAAGTCGCACGCAGCACTTTATCGTTTTGCAATGTTCACCTAATTAAACATTATCCTTAATGTTTTGCACAAGCTTGTTTTTTGGTAAACCTGATACCCGTCAGTATGCGTCACACTTCTTCATTTTGTATACATAAAACTATATAAAATGTACACGTTTTTATTAAATGAGGTCATGACACCGGTTTTTAAACTGCGATCTTGTACACGTCTGTCGTTCCTTATTCATTATAACGCGTTACTGTGTTCAAATGTCATAAATTACACTTCTAAAGTTGTTTATAGTGTGTCGTAACATGTTTATTTCTCATTAAACAAATTATTGCAACTTCGCTATGCACGTAAAATGTAATCAAAACAAAAACATCAAAATATACTTTGACATCAGATGTATCTGTCATTGTCAAAAGACAACTGACGTCAAAAGTGCGTTTTATTCGCGTTTGGTTCAAAAAAGTTAATTGAATCGATTTATTAGCCACTGTAATAGGTAAAAATATTTTTTTAAAACAAGACCACCAGCAAGATTAGTTGTGACTTTAGAGTTTTACATAAACTTTGATATATTTATATCCATAGTGTATTTTCTTTCTAATTGTGGTTTGAAGATTAACTTGAATTACCTTCATTAGTCGATAGTAAACCTATGATACGGATCCTCGTTTACTTGCAAGTTTACTCTGTACCCAGCAGTTTAACTAATTCTATAATAAGTATAATGGTGGACTACACGGTATTGGGATGAATGGAGTTTCTTGCTCGATCTTCTCCATTCGAAACTACAATTTGGAACGAGCACCTAGCTTCACTGACGAACAGACTGACAGACTACTATTCTATTTTGACGTTTCAAAAGTACCTATTTATGGTTTAGTTGAAATTTGATTTGATTTGATTTGGGTAATTTTGGTAGGTACTCATGTAAAAAAGAGTCACGTGAAGAAAATGTAGGTAAGCAAATTAAATCTTTAATCAATCACAATCTGTAACTTCAAACATCTTCTGATTCTACTGAGTCCGTGTCGTTTCCCGCCATGGAATCGTTCCGTTTTCGCTTTGCTAAAGTTGTGTCGTCTTCAAGCTGGACATCGCGACCGTAATTCAATTTGATAATCTCACTCTTTAGTAGAAGTAAGAAGTAAGTTTGAACAACTGTAAAAATCGAATCAATTATTTTATTGTGTACTTTTGTATAAAAATAAATGATCTGCGTCATTAAGATTTAAAGTTTTTATGTTCTCCAGATGTCGCGAATAAAGCATAAGGTCCGGACCAAAACGTCCAATCACTGTAGCTGTCAATAATTTGCTGTTCAATAGTTTGACAATAGGAAATTACGTGAGCAGAAAAACGAAAGCAAGCAACTTACGGGACTATACATAGTTTTAGCCAAGAATAAGGTCGATTTATATCTCACCAATGATCACGAAGTAACCAAAATAGTTCAGTATATGGACTACATAGATCCTCATCATCAGGTACCTGGCTAACCAGCTCTCTATTGAGAAGCTGATGGCCAAGACGGCCACCAATATGCTAAGCACCCACACAGCTACACTATAGTAGTAGAAAAATCGTATCAACTTTATGTTTTTCTGTAAAATAAAAAGTTATTTTAAATGTATTTCTAGAACGTCAACTTTTTATAACAGTAGGCTCGAAGTTTAGGTAGAATTAATCTTATTTAATTACCAATAGCCGTCTATAACAATGCTAGTCAATCGCAGCGCAACCCTTCGGAGGTGGGCATCGCATGCAGACACTTACAAACCTCTTTTAGTAAAAAACAAAACTTTACAGGAATAAGAAACAATCTCACCTTGTAGCCTCCGATGATAAAGACAATGTTGACAAAAAAATCCATTACAAAAAAAGTTAGGGCCACACTAGTTAAAGCGACATCTCTGTGGAAACGTGTTCTCATCTCCTCAGTTCCAAACAACCTGAACATCATACAGAGGCTTAGCAAAGCATACGATGTCGTCGTTATAAAAAACGCTGCTACTGACTGAAACAAAAACAAATGACTAGAGCACAGGCTGGTTGACCGGGTATTGCAGAATGAGGTTTTTTATGGAATAGGCATAGGGTGGTAAATGAGCCTATGGTTCTTTTGGCGCCACCAATTGAACAGTATAGACGCCGGAGGAGTTATAAGAGAGTTACTGACTTTTTGGGGGGTTAAATAATTGAAGACTGGGGATTTTGGGGGGAAATTGGGCCTCCGGTTACTTAGTTAAGGGGTGATTCTTCACATCAATTAAAAAAAATTTAATGATGTCATTATCCTCTACCGAAAATTAACGAGTCTGCTGATTAAAACACAGATAATTATTTTATTAAATTAAATCTCACCACTGCTTACAAGCAACCGATTAAAAATATTGTATAAAATAAATTACTAAGATGCTTAAAAACCTGGGAGGATAATGACTTGTTAAATAAAAGTTAAGGTTTTTTGGAGAATCACCCTAAGACGGTTTTCGGCCCACGCGTAAAACAAGGCTCTTCCTCATTTATAAAAAAAATATTGCGGTTTAGATCTGGGCGCTGTTTGTGTGTCTTTGGACAGTGAAAATCCTTGCGTAATTGCCCGTTGTTGCTACCAGGAGTCCCAGGTGATTACTGGTTCATTAAGAACTGAGAAAACTCTCGGTTTATAGAACTGCCTTGTTTTTTTATGGTACCCTATTGCTGGATTTAAGTGTTTGCTTCAATCTACCTAGTACTGGACAGGTAGATATTGAGTTTTGTTTTTCGAATTAATACTAGACAATACTAATGAAGTCAATAGGTAGGTACTCACGATTTTTAAATTCCCCCACACTAACAAGCCATATCGCAGCGGGAAGCAGAAACAACATTTATTAAAACTTGGCTCTTCCTTGTTCATCTTGACTAGATTCTTATTTTATTTAAATACCTATCTATCTGTAAATATATATGACATAAATTATGTATTGTGATATCAACTATTTATTAAAAATAATTATTTAATATAAGAAGCAGCGTGGTTAGGACTCCAGAGACAGAAACCTCTACACGATACGTTCCGTTCCAAGGAGGACTGTCTTCTGTGTGAGGCCCTTGATCCACCCGCGTCAGCCTCTAACGTCAGCCTCTAAGGTGGTTGTCGAGGCTTTTGGGTACTAACCCATTGGCCGACACCACTATCGGCACAATTATAGCCGAGTCCACACTCCACATGTCGACAACCTTGTGAGCCAAGTCAATTTAATTTTATTTTTTTATCTTTCTTAGCTTTCACGAGGTTCTCGTCATTAGGAATGGCAACATTGATTGTTATCGTGCGACGCGCTATTCGGTTCATCACCACTATGTACTTATAAGCATAAAAAAGTAAAAGTAAAAGGTTGAAATTCTCTTTCCCCAACCGTCAAATAAAAATCTGTTAAAATGCAATGAAGAAATTACCGGGTCAAAAACTAAAATAACCAACAAATTGATATTATTATCAAGAATTCTCATCATAATAATATATATATTCACTTCAATGTGAACAAAATTCAACATTAAAATGTACCTACATTTTATAATGAACATCACACTTCTAAACTATTGATGCTTGATAATATCAAAAATCTTGATTCACATCACTCAATTCAACTCGGAGCACTAGAAGCAAAGTTAGTTTGTAACTTAAGATAGCAACCGCTATTGAACTGACGATAACACAAACTGGTATTTACGCTCCCAACCATATAACACAAATACATAATGTATATACATAAAATGATTCTTTATTATCTGCATAAGTTTCAAGTGACGTTGATGAGATAATAAATTGTGGGAAATTTTAGCCATTTAAGAAGACGGACTGATCAAGTGAATCTTTTTAAGTCATCGAATTGAGGCGTCGGCGGATTACCTGATGGTAAGCAATCGGCAAATGCATTGCCGGCCTTTTGGAATTTAGGGATTGGAGAAGGAAGGGGAAGGATATCAACGGTCCAACTGACACATTCGTGCCAAAGCTTGTCTTTTTTTGTGTCGGATTGGAAAATCCTCATGGAGACCCACCGCTTTCGGTGAAGGGCGAAAGCACGCGGTCGCGGCAATCACCACAATGGTGGAACTGAGACATCGGCTCCCGGCCTATGCGACACAAGTACTCCTCGAAACACCCGTGTTCGGTCAGCACCTGCGTCAGCCGGAAGCTGAGGGTCCCGTGGCTTCTATTGAGCCACTCCTCTAGAACGGGCCTTACTGCCGAACGGGCCGTTGCGCTAAGCGTGTCGCTTAGCGCAACTCCCGTCGTGCCAACGCCGTGCCACTCCGTCACTAAAACCTGGCGGAGCTCTGCCCTGCGTGTCTCAACCTGTCGAGGTATCAGGCGCTCGCCCCGCTCGACCGTCTCAGCTCGCCACTAATAGAACGATGCGAGGAGCTGTGCGTCGAGGTCCCAGGGCGGGGTGCCGAATTTTGTCTCTCCAACCCTCTGTGTCTTATGAGGGCCCTCTGTTCTTTTCGAGGGTTCTATATACTTTATAAGTTTATTAAGATACCATTGATAAACGATGAAGGAAAATATCGTGAAAAACACTTAATTCTAAATTACGAAACAAATTATTTTATTATGAATTTAAAATCAACAACCCACTTCGAATTGTCGTAAGTATTGATTGGCGTATGCTTAAATCTTTTGGGTACATTGTCTCAATGATGATGCGATGTGATTTGTGTTGCTTGGTATACCATAAGTTATCTATACAGATTTATGTATTAGTTGTAGCCAAGCCTTTACTTTTATCCCCTACAGGAGGTTTGACGATTTACAGATTGGCTAAGAAGCAAAGAGAGGTGGAAGGTGTAGGCCTCCGGTAAACTCAGTCACATGACAAAAAACAATACTGTTGTAAGTTCTTGTAGGCCTGTAGTGGCATAGTTAAGATGTGAACGAGTAAGGGCTTCAGCACGTCGATTCTATAAAATTTGTTTCATTTTGAATCGTGTTCGAGTGTGAAGTGAGCGTCGAAGTGACGAGGAAATTAAATTTTAGAATGCCACTTTTAACGTCGTCTCATACTTTATCCTTTATCTATCAAAATGTTGCTGTCAATTTCGTTCAACTCGCAAGTGTAGCGCTAGTGTACTACTACTCACAGCGGATATAGATTCAAAATTTAGAATGAAGTCTTACAGAATCACACTGCGGATAAGCTGGATGGATGGCTACAACAAAGAAAAAACTGTTGATCTTCTATCTATCTATATAAAAATGGATCGCAAAATGTGTTGGTAAACGCATAACTCAACAATGCCTGGACCAATTTTGCTAATTCTTTTTTTAGTTATGTTTGTTATTATCTGGAGAAGGTTCTTATCATTAAATCAAGAAAATATTAGAAATGTAGAGGGGAAAATTGGGAAAAAGTGACCCTTTGATAGCGAGATAGTTGGACCCGTGCGGGCCGCTAGTTGATAATAAAGACTCACGAGAATTAACTGAGTCGCTGACTGAGAAGCTCTACTAGTTTCAAGTTACGACGGGACTCTTATTTATGAGCAGCGCGCGCGTCACAACGACGCCAATGTCGCGCAGCCCTGATGTATTACACATGAGTAAGTCGTCATTTTCAATAAATTTAGTGTCTCTCACCATAGTATAGACATTAAAAAAATCAGTTGACTTCTAGAATAATTTTAAACCTAAGTGCCGGACAGAGTATGGAGATAGAATAGCAATAATATAAAAAATATTTCCTAGAACTATTTAATATAAACATATTATAAGTTTAGTGGGATTATCTATGAGGGTCAGAATATACCTACATGTTGATAGTGTACTGAGTTGCAGGGAGTAACGGAATTTATAGGTAATCTGTCAAAGTCAAAATCATTTATTTCAATTAGACGCGTACAGACAATTTTGAAGGTCAAACAAAATGTTTAAGTCATAATAGTCTGTCGGTAGTGAAGCTATTTGCTCGTTCCAAAGTGTAGATTCCGATGGAGAAGAAAGAGGAAGCAACTCCATGGTTACTCTTGTTAAATCATCTGTAAATCCCATACCATCAAAATGTAGCCCATCAAAGCCGATGTCCAGCCAGAGTTGTAGGTGCTAGTGTAATGATGTACCGTGGCCTGGCTTGGAGTCGGAAAAGAAGCAGGGTGGCTTTTAGTCAGTAAGAGGTTGACACTTCCTCTCGCTCCAACTAAAGCAAGATAGTAAGTACGATTTCCTTACTATTCAAAATAGCAATATCATTAAATATTTATAATATGACAGATGAAGAAATTTAGTTTTCTATTCAAAATATCTGATGCCAAGCAGTTATAAAGTAAGTGTGAGAGAGCCATACTTTGTCATAAATGAGCCGACTCGCACAGAACACCGCCGTGTAAATGAGGTTACCGAGGCTTAATCCAGTCTTACTCACTTAATCCAATTGAGGATGGAGGGGCAACTCCATCCTCAATCCTCAAGTCCCCTTTCCTTCCAGTGTTGTGGGTTAAGCGCAATGATTTACCGCGGCCTCGGCCCAGAGCAGGAGAAGGAACGGGGTGTTTAAGTCGGTAAGAGTCTGACACTCTCTCTCGCCTAACACTGAGCAGGAGAAGTCATTAAATTTGATGATTTTGCCCTGACAAAAAAATCCTCTTTCCTTAAATCCAGGGCACTTGTTGAATTGAACTGCTTTGGTATTACGAGTGTCAATGGACGACTCTGATTGCTTACCACCAGGTTATCCATCTGCTCGTTTGCCAACCCATGACATAACAAAAAAGATTGAAGCATCAGTTGAATCATAGTAAAGAATAAACAAGACTCTATGACTCATCAACGCCATCTAGCGATCGCAAAAATTTGTACCTTGTGTGTGGATGTCGCTCATAAAATGTTAGTGTTAATTTAAAATGTAATTAAACTCATTAACTGCGACATACAATATCATCAGTACAGTTCACTCATATGTATTTTTGTTTCTTATCATTAATGTGTTTTATCGTTTCGCAGAGTAACACAAACATACATCCTACATTTTATTGATAATAGCGGTTCCCGGGTGGCTGACTAATAAATAACATATTATTCGAAATTCGAACTGTGTAAAAATAAAGATAAATTAATTTGACATTTACAATATAACGTATTTATTTTAAAACTTTTGGATTTTATCAAAGTTAGTGGCGCGTGGTGGTGTATTGAACGCAGTATTTTTTTTTTAGTGTAGAAAATAAATAAATAGTCATGAAAGCTGAACTGCCAGTGTGTACAAGATGCTGTTTTTGTTTGCCCTTACGAAGAGGTTTATTAGTGTGGGGATACATTAAACTGGTGAGTCAATTTTATTTTGTACACAGCCAATATCAACAACGAACAAGATGTATAGAATTATTTATTACATAATTTTATAGGGTCAAAGTCGGTTGTCACACAAATATCTATGACAGACATATTCTTTAGATACGGTTAGTCAGAGTTAGAAAAATCTGACAGCAGGTCTAATAAATGGACTGTCGATTGCAGATCGTTAATATTATAATCAGCCTATAAGTGCCCACAGCTGAGTGAAGGCCTCTTCTAACACGGAGAAGCTTTGGTCATTAATCACCACGCTTGTTCAAGGCGATGGTGATTTCAAACTTATAGTTGTAATGATGTATGTTTTTTTATCATATGTATATCGTTAATGGACGTTTTGGTCAAAAACCAATAATAACTCACGTTAATCGGAGCGGCAACACCAAACAATTATTTGGAGAAAAAAAAAGTGCTGTGGCTGTGACACAGGGCTATCCTAGATCAATCATCTAAATGTATAAGATCTAACTTATAACAATTGGTGTCAGTTTATTGGCTAAAAATATTATGGGTTTATTCAGCGTCAAATACAAGGTGTCGAGTTTATTTTCGACATCATTCAGATATTTATGGCAAAAGCTTTGAACCCATATTATTATATAATTGTATAAGTATAATTACCCACCTAGTTACAGGAGATCGTCAATTTCCAATCGAATCGGATAGAGGCGAAAATACTTCAGAATTGCATTAGGTACCTACTGATCCTAATTATTATAATTATACTAGCTTTTGCCCGCGACTCCATTCGCGAGGAATAGTGACTTTCTGCAGATTTTTGGTACAAAAACTATCCCATGTCCTTTCTCGAGTTCCAAACTATGTCTGTACCAAACTTCACAGAAATCGGTTCAGTAGTTTAGGCGTGAAGAAAAGACAGACAGACAGACAGAGTTACTTACGCATTTATAATATTAGTTTGGATAAGTAGTTCACTAGCACCGGTAATTATATATCTTATTTTTTGTTACAGCTGGCTGATTTGTACATTCTCGTAATATTATCCTACATAATGTTCATATTTATTGCTTTCCATTTTTATGGACTAGAATTTGCTGGCCTGGTTATTGCTATTACTGTATTTTTGGTTGATGTTGGTCTGACCGTGGTTTTCATCGTTGGTGCACATAAGGTAATTAATAAACTACCTAAAACTATTTAAACAAGCTATTTTTTATGTGATAAGACGGCTAAGGAACATACGAATTACCTGATGGTAAGCAATCGGCGCCGCCCGAAGACACCCCCACACCAAATGATTTACCTACGAGTGTTTTGCCGTCATTTTTCGGGTTAGAGTTTCGGAGAGGGAGGGAGTTGGGGAATGGGAGGAGGGATTGGGCCTTTCAGTAACTTCACTGACTCTTACTTCTTAGTTTTTTTTTCTAAACTTGTAAGGTTGCACGTGAGACACTCTCCAAGTTGGTGTAGTCCGACTCCCAAAAATGTCTATAGAAATTCCAGTAAAAAATTGGATTGAACTAGATCTCATCATCATCAGCCCATAAGTGCGCACTGCTGAGGAAAGTCCTCTTCTAACGAGGAGAAGTTTTGAGAATTAATCACCACGCTTGCTCAATGCGGGTTGGCGATTTCTAACGTTGAATTAGAAATGATAAGTCCAGGTTTTCTCACGATTTTTAGCTTCACCGTATATCGGTGGCGTCTAAATAATCATAGAAAGTACATATAACTCGGAAAAGGTCACATTGGTACTTGCCAGGTTTCGAACCCTCACGCATGAAAAGCGGGCTCCTTAACCTCCGGGCCACCACAACCGTGGAACTATATCTATGCAGTCTTATTTTAAATACGCCATTGATCGTATTTTTTACTTTCTCATCTACTATATGGATTTATTCATTTCCCAGTCCGAAACGTATAGCACATTAATTGGCCAGTTTAATCAACTTGTATTTATTAACATTGAACTTTTAAACATTACAGAAGAAAGTGAAATATATGAGATTGTTCTACTTCTTAAGTATAGGAATATTAGCAGTGACAGGACTATTGCTAATTGCGCAAACCTGTTTAATGGGACATCCCTCGTTTAAGTTCAAAGCTGATCTATTGGAATATTACATCAAGATCTACACCAGTTACTTTATAGTTATAGGTAAGTGCTTCAAATCAAATTATATTATTTTTATGGACGAGCGATTGTGAGCATCACTGCCAAGCAAGGGCTAAACTACCACAGATGGTTTTTTTTGTATGGGTCGGCAAACGAGCAGCCTGATTACCTGATGGCAAGCAATCAGCACAGCCCATGGACAACCGCAACGCCAAAAGAGTTATAAGTGCATTATTGGCCTTTTAGGGAATAAGGCTTCAGATATTTAAGGATTGGAAAGGGATGGGGGAGGGAGATAGATTGGGCCTCCTGTAACCTCACTCACGCGGCGAAACACAAAGCTGTGGTGCTTTAACGCCAGTTTTCTGTGTCAGTCATCATTATCGGTAGCAATCTTTTACTTTTAATATGACATAATACATTTTATGAGAGAAAGACAGCCATTGTGTTGGGGGGATTATAAAAGCAGTAATTAATTACTGATAGACACTGAATATATACTCTGAAATAATGTTCAAAATACATACCTCCTTAGTGTTACTATTGCATACTTATCTTTACTAAAGACTAGAAGAAATAGCTTAAAACCGTATGTCTCTCTCTTTTCAGTTGTCCAGGCCTATTTCATACTGTTACTGAGAAGCGAGATTATTAAGCTGAAGAACAGCTGTAAGTTCAGATTCGTGAACAATGCTGCCGAGGCTCTATGTTCCTTGGAGTGTGAGGTACCAGCACCAGCTGCTCCGGAGCCAGCTGAAGGTGACCAGTGATGATTGTGCAGTATTTACAGATTTATGTGTGCGTGTGTGCGAAGAATGAAAATGTATTTCTATGATTGTTATTTATTTTGTAATTAAATAACATTTTTCTGTATGTTTTCTTTTCTTTTCTTCGTTTTCTGTTTCACGTACAATTTAATAGTTGGTAAACTGTATTAGCTTACTTTATCGGCAAATTATATTAAGACCGGTTTGTTAATAGACCATATTCTATATACAGAATAAAAAAATCATAAACTTTATTTATCAAATCAAATCGAATTAATTTAAAAAGCCAAACTACATTTTTAAACCACTACTTCGGGGAATAACAGCTGTGATACATACTACTATGAGTCTGTACATAGTTAAGATTTTCTTGGTAAATGTACATGAAAAATGAGGGGAGACTTTTTTATGTGATAGCATGGCAAACGAGAAGACCTGATGGTAAGCAGTCGACACCAACCATGGACGTGGTCGAGCCGAAACATGCCCCTCCCAGACTTAAAAATAATATAAAGTAAAGCCCGAGGCCTGATTCTATACTATACTTACTTCTATTACTTAATTAAAGAAACTAATTATCATTAACAAACTAAACTTTATTTTGAATAACACAAGAATGATTTTCGCATGAACGCCTAACTATAATAATATCACAAAATGGAGGTTTTAGTTATTAAAGACTTAACTATTTGTATTATTGCCTTCCTTCTTCATCATTGTCACCGATTTCAGTACATTTGAGTGTACATTCTCCTTCAGCAGCAAGATTTACAAATCTGAATTCACAATTACTCCTTAGTTTTATAATCTCGCTTCGTACTAGTAGCAGGAAATATATTTGAATCACTGAAAACAAAGAAAACAATAAAATTAGGATTTTTTTCATCTATTTCAACATTGGCGTGTTATTTGTTAGAGCGTCGATTACACCACTCGAAAATTGTCTTAATGTGCCAATAGACCTTCACAGAGAGGCACCTATTAGGGCTGATGTTCAGCTGGGGTTGTAAGGCAAGCGCAATTAGCCAACGCCTCGGCCCAGAGCAGGAGAAGGAACGGGAGTGTTTTTAGTCAGTAAGAGTCTGACACTCCCTCCCGTCACATCCTTGACATGAGAAATCCTCTAACGATGTTCCCCTCATATTAAAAAGGTTACGATGTCCATAGGTGGCGTCGATTGCTTACCAGCAGGTTCTGTTTGCCTTCCTATCCCATAAAAACTATATTATGATTATTGGTTGTGTGAAAACTAGAATAAGGATCATAGTCATCAAATGGTCTTATAGTCGCTCTACACTCAGAATTAGTTAATGGTCACTTAGGTAACTCACACTTTGAAACAAGATCATTAATGAGGAGTATTAAAGTTTTAATGATCAGCAAATATATCTAAGAAACGGTAATTATTAAATATTTTACATTGTACACATATTTAACATTGTACACATATTAAAGTGTGGGAGAGCCATGCTACGGCACGAATGGGCTGACTCGACCGGGGTGACACCACGGCCTCACAGAAAACCGGCGTGAAACAACAACAGCGTTGTGTTTCGCCGTATGAGTGAGGTTAGCGGAGGCCCAATCTTACCCCTCCCCCGATCCCTAAATCTCCAAAACCCTAATCCCTAAAAGGTCGGCAACGCACTCGTAGCTCCTTCGTTGCGGGTGTCCGTGGGCGGCGCTGATTGCTTACCATCAGGTAATCCGTCCGCTCGTTTGCCGACATTATGATATAAAAAAATAATTTATAACTAAGATTATTCCAATAATATTTAACACTTTTCTTCAAAATTTGCGCTTTACTAAATAGGTTTCTGGCCAAGCGCAAAAGCAGCCTATGTGGGAATGTAGCATATTACCTATCTTCATAAATACCAAATTTCCCTGAAATCTCTCAATATTTAACATTTATATTAATAGCTTAGTGGGATTTGCAGTTATTGTGACCTTAATAATTTTTTCATTACTTCAGAATATCTTTTTATAATAAAACCAATGGTACTTACAAACTTGGGCGAAAAAACTTCCCGTGTCTGCTAATATGACCCAGAAGAAGAACGAGAAGTCAACGGAGCTGATCCTGAATAACATCAGGGTGTGGATGGTGGAGGTGGTCCCCAGGAGTACCGTCAGCACGCACAGCACTATACTGTACACATAGTACGATCTTAGGAGCTTAACGTCTTTCTGAAAATTGGAAACATAATTGTCATAATAAATCATAAAGCACTTGTGTGAAGAAGTGTGGGAGAGCCATGATTGGGCACGAATGGGCCGGCTCGAAAGACCATAGCGTTCTATTTCGCCGTGTGAGTGAGGTTACCGGAGGCCCAATCATTCTCCTCCCCCAATCCCTAAATCCCTAACATCAAAAAGGTCGACAACGCACTCGTAACTGCTCTGTTGTTACGAGTATTCATGGGCAGCGCTGATTGCTTACCATCAGCTAACCCGTTTGCTCGTTTGCCGACCTACCACATAAAAAAGACTTAGATCGGAGTTGCAAAAATATACCGCGGCTTGGGGCTGGATAATGAACCCGGTGTTTTTAGTCTGTAAGAGTCTGACAATCCCTTTCCTCCCACTTAGAGAGAAGTTGAGAGGGAAATCATGACGCGCACGCTGCTCATGAATAAGAGTCCCGTTGTGACTTGAACCCGTATGACTTTGACCCGTTCTTTCTCCCATCCACAAAATTCCGGGGCTCATGTATCGCGGTTCGGGTCGGAGCAAGATATCCAATGGAGTGGTATTTAGTCAGTAAGTGTCTGACAAACCCTCTTTCTCCACTGAAGACAGGACGAGACAGAAAAGATCCAAGTCTTAGTGGAATAAAGTATTTTTGAGAGAAATTATGGAGTTTTTACGTGTGCATTTTACATTTGTATAAGCTTGGCATTGTTGGAACCTATTACTTTAATGGCGCTTGAAAGAAAAAGCATCCAGAGTCAGAATGGGGTCCGTCGTTTTTATAAAAGACCACTCGTATGGTGTTGTTGATAAAGTCGGGAAAATCTGCAGACTCTAACTTAAGGACCAGTGTATTCATCACAATTTACTTAAATAGCTTGTATGTTTGCTTGTTATTAACTAATGAAATGAATGATGAGAAAAAAGTTTTATCATCTACAAGCACATTAGACGTTTACACAAGTAAGAAGTAACTGCTTTGACCTCCTGATAACTCGGTTTACTTGAATCAGTGTTATCATTAAGCTTACCCACTTTATTTATGTATTTACGTTGATTTTACAAATGGCTGCTTAGTTTGTCTGATAGCTGCAATTGCTACTATTATTATAAGGGTTAAACCCGACTTCCAGGTTGCTAAAGTATTTCAGCCGGGGTTGCGGGTTAAGCGCAATGAGACACCGCGGCTTCGGCCTAAAAAAGGAGAAGGAACGGGAGCGTTTTAAGTAATTAAGAGTCTGATACTCTCTCTCGCATTAGTCTGGGAGAAGACATTTGATGACTTTCCCCTGACCCAAAAAAGGTTGCCAAAGTATTAAAGCTTTGCTTCCAATTTTCTACTCTTCCTGGCTAAAACCGACCACATTCCTTCTCCTGCTCCAGCCAAAGCCATGGTTCATTATTGGGCATAACTCGAAACCCCAGCCGATCCTTTAAAATATATGAAGTTATATTTGTTGTAAAACTGTTATAAAACTCACCTTATGACCTCCTAAGATGAACAAAAAATTAAGTACGAAATCGGTAAGGGTGCTCAATAATAGAATCCCTAAAATTATTATTGTTCCCATTTCTCTGTATTTATCTTCTGCTGTTAATACGCCAACGAATCCAATTGTGAGTCCGACAAGGAAAAGTAATGAAATTACCTGAAAATTAAAAAAAAAGTATGTTTATAAACTTGAATTTGAAGCATTGTCATTCGACATGGTGATGCTGCCAGTCTATTATATAAAATATTGCAGTCTTAGGATTTCTTTAAAAAAAAAGAAAGAAAAAGAAACTTACGAGTCGGATATATCCCCATGCTATTAAGCCATAGCGCAAAGGCACGCAGAAACAACATCTTCTACACGTCGGAACTTCACTATACATTTTGTAAAACTAAAAATCTATACGAAAATTAATATCTTAACTAAGCACCGATCTCCGAAACTGCTGCAACGGATCCGAAGAAATTACTCTACACGGAATTTTGCACTTTCACTTTTAAAACTAAGCAGTTAAGATTGATTTTTAAATACACGCAGCACAAACTTTTTAAGTTCGCAGTTGACAAGACACTGGCGTCTTGAGCGTGTCACAAGTTGCTATGTACTGAGATAGCTGATAGATAGTGATTTATAAATATATACAAACCGTATCAATTATCATTAAAACAACTAAATAAAGGACGGGTTTTTAACTAATTAAATTTCCAGTACAGGAGATAATTCTGTGTAATTGGGAAGAAGACTTATTTTTAGTATAATAACAACAACAACAAAGATTATACTAATGTAGAATACAAAATGGCGTCGTGTTTTTTAAGTAAAACATTGCCCCACACTAGGATTTTCTCCTGTATCGTGGGTGCGTTTACAAACATACAATTCCACATGCACATCACGCCCAGACCCGGAACAACAATCTTTGGATCACACAAAGAGTTGTTCCGTGCGGGAATCGAAGCCGCGACACGTTGCGCGGCAGCCAGTTGCCCAGCCACCGCGCCATGTTTATCCATTATTTATTTTTAAAAGGAAATTACAAATTTTGCTGTGAAAAATAAATCTCTGACAGACTGTTTTTTTTATTATGCTTTTATTTATTCGATTCTATCGAGGAGTTTTAGGGATTTAAGGAATGGGACGGATCCGTCGGGTAAATCTAACCTGTGATACGAGCGCAGATCTACGCGACACACAATATGGTTTTCTATTATTAGTAATAAACCTAGCGGCAGACAAGACATTAATCATCTAGCAAAACAAACCTAAAAAACCTTTCACGTCGGTTTTCTACGAGGTCGTAGTTTTACTAGTCATCGAATAGGTACACTTTATATAATTTTATAACCAAATAGATATCCTTAATGTTAACTATCAATATTAACACAATAACAAACGCTAGTCATCAAAAATGAAAAGAAACCTCAAGTGTGGAAAATTATAATTACAATAATAAACTTTGAAATTATTTTATCGATTCAACATAGAATTTTCAATAATGACATGCATTTGGTATAGGTACATTGTAGAACTGGGGTGTGATTCTGTAAGACTTCATTCTAAACTTCGAATCTGAATCCGCCGTGAGTAGTAGTACACTAGCGCTACACTTGCGAGTTGAACTAAATTGACAGCAACATTTTGATAGATAAAGTTTAGTATGAGATGACGTAAAAAGTGGCATTTAAAATTTAATTACCCCGTCACTTCGACACTCACTTCGCACTCGACCAAGATTCAAAATCAAACAAATTTTATAGAATCGACGTGCTGACGTGCGACGTCAAACCAAAATAATGTTGTATAAGCTTAACAAATAAACAATGATATGATTTAAGGGCTGATTTTTCAAAAGTCAAATAAATGTCTAAATATCTGAGAAATAAATTTGTTGCTGCCACGGTTTATACAAAAATTCTGACGCGACAGCATCATAATTATTCTCTAGATAACTTTTATCTAACCATTAAAAAATCAGCCCTAAGTGTACAAATATTATAATTTGTAGGTTTGTATGTAGGTAATCTTTGGAACCGCTGGTCGGATTTCCAAAATTCTTTCACTGATAGATAGCTACAATGTCCCTGAGTGCTATAAATTATAATTGATTTGCGTATTTTAGTCGAGCTATCGCTTTAAAAGCTGCTGTTTTAAAAATCCCTTGATACATTACTTTTAAAGCCGCCGGCGAAAGCAAGAATTTTATAAAAATCACAGTTGTTGTATAAAATTTGCCTGGATAATCTTCTAGAACTTGTGTATTTCTTGAGTTTCTTCCTCTTGCGCGCTAGTAACGCCATCTTGTGCCCAGTTCATCCTACATTCAGACTCGGCTGCGTTGTTTACAAACTGGAATTCACTATTGTTCTCCAGCTTAATTATTTCACTTCTTAAGAGTAACAGGAAGTATCCTTGTACCACTGAAAAGGAAAAATAAATTTGCATGTCATCATACACCGGAGTCAGATGGCAGATATATTGAAATTACTATTGAATACGTAACAAGGTTTCTGATCGAATTCGAGTTATTTGTTTTGAGCTTATAAATCAATTTTATTCAATGTGGGATAGTCATGCTTGGAAACAAATGGGCCGGTTCGGCCGGAGTGATACCACGGCCTCACAGAAAACTGGCGTGAAACAACCACAGCGTTGTGTTACGTCGTGTGAGTGAGGTTACCGGCAGCCCAAACCTTCCCCTCCCCCAATCCTAATATCTCCAAATCCCTAATTCCCAAAAGGTCGGCAAAGCACTCGTAACTTTTTTGTTGCTGTTGGTCATGGGTGGCTGTTTGCTTACCACCAGGTAATCCTCCTGCTCCGTATGTAAGTAGGTATATTTATTACTTACATGTTTGAGAAAGGTAAGTGAAAACGTCAGTGAGGATGAAGAAGATATGGTCGAGGAACGACATGTTGTACTCGTACATCAGGTACGCGGAGTAAATTGATACGGAGACTCCCAAGATGATTAGCAGCACCCACAGCACCAAGTTGTATATGTAGCACGTTTTTAGCAGTTTCACGTTTTTCTGTAATTAGACATAACAAGATATCAGTAGGTTCATAATAAAATTACATTAGTTACGACACCTTTCCCCCAAATCCCTAAATTTCCGAAACTCTTATCCCCTTGGTGTTATTCCCATTAGCGGCGCCGATTGCTTACCATCAGGTAAACAGTTTGCTCGTTGCCACGGGGGAACCATCATGGGTAATCATCGAACTCCGTGCGACTGCTAGTTACCTACATATAAAATGACAATCAATTCTTTCCAGGGTTACGTGTCAAGCGTATTGATATACCGCGGCCCCAGCTCAGAGCAGGAGAAGGAGCTGGTGGTTTTCAGTAAGCCTGGCTCCCTTTCGCTGCACCCTGGACGAGTCAATTCATTTAAATGTTTAAAAAACCCTATTCTACCTATGGATAGCCGCAATACTAGAGAAATATTGACGGTCTGTGAGTGAGGATAACGGAGGCCCAATCCCTCACCCTCCCCCATCCCTTCCCAATCCTTAAATATCTAAAACCTTTATTCTCGACAGGACGACAACTTACTCGTAACTCCTTTCGTGTGACGGGTATCCATGGGCGGCGCTGACTGCTTACCTTCAGGTAATCCGTTTGCTCCTATGTCGACCTATACCATAAAAAAAAATGTTTTGTAGTAAGGAGCAATGTGTATATTATTTTCTCACCTTTTGCCCCCCAATAACGAACACAAGAGTCAGGATAAAGTCTGCGATACCCAGCACTATGATAAGGCTGATGATGACCAGGTTGCCTACATGGTAGGACCGAGTCTGAACCATCCGCAGCATTTCTATGAAGCTGGATATCAGAGCCACTACCAGGATCAAGTCTAGAATCTGAAATGGAAGACAATTATACAAATCAATTGAATCATCACAATGAGTAAATATAAGTATATTTATATACATATATACTACATACTATTTATTTATATTAGTGTTCTATATTTATTTATACATAATTTGTATGTATTATTCGTTTATGTTAGATTATGTTGTTATTGTATTTGTTTAAACTTATACATTATTATTTTGAGTCTTTGTTTTGTCTTTAATCTTTGAAAGTTTTGCTGCTTGCGCTCACCGTTTTTACTCATCTCTGCATCACCCAAAGGTCAGACTGGTAGATAATGCCTACGGCATTAAGTCCGCCTATGTTCAGAAGTTTGTGTGCATTAAGCTTAATAAATAAATAAATAAATCAGTGTCTAAATTGCTACAGAACTCCTTAGATTATTTTAGTATTAAAAACGCGAAGAAGTGGAAACCTTTGCCGGAGTCAGTGTTCCCCGAAGAATACCTTTGCTGTGCCCGGCAGGGTCTCAGTGATTCAGCTATATTTTTATTTATAACACCTAATGTACATACATTATGGAACGCAATAAAGTATTGATATAATCTAAGTATCTTAAAGGCCCGAGTGAATAGGTTGCTTATGGGTGGACATGCTCCATCGTAGGTCGCATCATCGTTTACCACCAGGCGTGATAGCGGCCAAACGCCTGCCCATTACTATAAAACGGATAAGTCGTTCTCGAGTCTTGGGCTGTTTCATTGCAATAAGAAACTTATGAATACACTCATAATGCACATTTTTGTTAATTGTTATTATAATCAGATAGGTACGTGGTCAATACTTTTTTTCGAATTTTGTTTGTGTAGTCAGGTTGTTTTTATATGAAAAAAATATACATATATTTAAAAATACTTATTTCTTTAATATTAGCGAGAAAAATACGATAATCAAGTAAGTACCGTAAGTCAAAGTAAAGTGAGATTATTGCAAAATAATTTATTGACTGAAATCAAGTACCTAATTATCAAATTGTTAAACATAATAATATGACTAATTTTGAAGTTTCGTTCTAACAGTTCTAACATGTTTACACAAACATTACCGTTGCTTTTGGGGGCGTTGCTTAGGTAACTAGTAGTATGTACTGGCGCCAACCTAACAACAAGTTAAAAAAAACAATACCAAGTATACGTAAATGAAAAAATAAACTTACCAGTCGAATATATCCCCATCCAATGAGCCCATACCGTAGGGGAATGCACAAACAACATCTTTTAAACATTGGCAGTTCACAACACATCGTAAAAAAACCTTTGTGCTTAATTTAAAAAAAGATTACACTAGCAAAATAGAAAAATGCATTAACAAAGCATTTTTATAAAGACACAAAACAAAAACAAATATCAATTTAATATAATTATGAAGAAAAACCGATAATAAATAACATTAATTTAGCAGGAATCGTAAAAAAAACAACAGTTTTTACATAAACATTCTTATCACACGAGCACTTCTTAAAAAGCCACTAAGCATTTGTTTGTTAATACAAAAATATTATGAACACTGAAAAAACAATAATATTGTTACTGCAAAACAAATACAGAACGCCCACTTTTCGATTGCATTATATTACGTCTAAACGAAATAAAACAGAGACTAAAAACACTGCATCTGTTGAACTATCGCAAAAATAATTTAAAACATATATCTTTGTACTATGAACTACATCTATATTGAACGCCCTCTCCTATATGTCCGTGTATGTCAATTTTATATGTGTAAATGGTACGCAGACGGGCTGAGTGGCCCCTAATCTCAAGCAAGCGCCATTCTGTTAGTCCTTGTTAGTCATCGTCGAATAAAACCATTTAGCTGGAAGAATTTCAGGAAGAAACTTATTAGGAGACCTAGTCTGATGTAAACTCAGGAAAATATTCTCTGTTCTCTTAGGGGAGTTTTACCAGGATAATCTCTTCAATCAATGAGTCAGTATCTTATGAAACTAATCTGTAAATAGATTTTTTATGTGATATGGTTAAGCAAACGGATGTATCCCGCAAGGATTGGAGGTTTTTGGGAGGGATGTGGAGGGAAAGGATAAGATGAGAAAGATTGCGAAAAACAAAACTGTGTTTCACGCCGGATTTCTGTGAGGCCGTGTTTGTGCCAAAGTATTAAATGAGTCTTCATTTCACTGTAGCATTCCCAAAGCACAAAAAGTAACAGCTGAGTATTTATTAAAAAACTAGCTACTCTCGCGCGGTTTCACCCGCTGCTCAGCTCCATTTAATCGTAGCGTGATGTTTTATAGTCTATAGCACTCAGGAACATTGTAATTATCAGTGAAAGAATTTTGGCAATCCGACCAGCGGTTCCAAAAATTACCCCCTACTTACAAACTTACAAATGTTACCTCTTTATAATATTAGTTTAGATAAAAAAATCACTATATAAATTTCCTTAATTACAATTAAACATGTATACGAAAACGATTCAACAAAATTAAAAAAAACACACTCATTTAGAAAAAAACATAACAGTATTTATTTTATCATACAAAAATTACTTTTATACAACAGTAGCATAAAAAAAGAAATATTATTCAAAATCATTCTTTGGTACAAGCTTAGCACAGTAATAACATTCTATAATCAACTTTATCTCTTTGAAATTAAGTTGATTTTCTTTTGGCCAGAAAGGGGTAGCTTGATATGCTGGCGTGTATGGTATAGATGTTATATTGTATTGGGTTATTTCTCTTCTTCACTGGTTTCATCAATATCTGGAATATCCTCATCAGCAAACATGGAACATTCGCATTCAGCAGCATTATTAATGAATCGGATTTCAAATCCTTTTTTAATTTTTATCATCACGCTTCTTACAAGGACTATTATGTAGATTTGTATTACTGAAATATTAAAACAATATTATAATTAAATTCACATATATTTTTCCATCCGCCCGTGGTGGCCCAGAGGTTAAGGCGCCCGCTTTTCATGCATGACGATGCGGGCTCGAAACCTGGCAAGTACCAATGTAACTTTTTCCAAGTTATATGTACTTTCTATGATTATTCAGACACCACTGACATACGGTGAATGAAAACATCGTGAGGAAACATGAAAGTTTTAAGTCGCCAATCCACATTAAGCAAGCGTGGTGAGAAATGCTCAAACCTTCTCCGTGTGAAAAGAGGCCTTTGCTCATAGAAAGTACATATCTTGGAAAAAGTCACATTGGTACTTGCCAGGATTCAAACCCACACCCTCTTGCATGATAAGCGGGCTCCTTGACCTCCGGGCCACCACGACATGTAATACAACGTGACAAGTAATAAAATAAGACAACGTGGCCTAGGCCTAGAGCAGGGGAAGGAACAGGGAGAGGTTTAGTTAGTAAGAGTCTGACTCTCCCTCCCGTCCCGCACTGAGCGGGAGAAGCCAATTGATGATTTTCCCCTCAAATACAAAAAAAATGGCTAGTCCATTGACTGTATACCTAATTTATCTATTGACTGTGACATGCATGCATGCATAAAATATACAAGTACATCATCATGATCATCATCATATCAGCCACAGGACGTCCACTGCTGAACATAGGCCTCCCCCATTGACTTCCAGATAGGCCGGTTGGAAGCGACCTGCATCCAGCGGCTTCCTGCGACCTTAATCAGGTCGTATGTCCACCTTACGGGTGGACGTCCTACGCTGTTAGTCCGTCCTAAGTACATGCATGACATATATTGACAAACTTACAGATCTGTGCAATGTAAACTGTAATCGCTACGGGTAGTATCCATATTTGTTCTTCAGTGTCTTCGAGTTCAGTGAACCAGTATATCATGTAGATCACCAACCCCAGACCTACCAGCGCTGTGGTGATCCATAGAATAATACTGTACACGTAATACGTCTTTAAAAGTTTCAGGATTTTCTGAAAGAAAACAAGTAGAAGTAACGCTCTTTCTGTGTTTATAAAAATGTGAATGAGAATAGTGACTTCCTGTAGATTTTTGGCTTAAAACTATCCTATGTCCTTTCTCGAGTTCCAAACTATGTTTGTACTACACACAAATAGGTTCAGTAGTTTAGGTGTGAAAAACAGACAGACAGACAGACAGGCCGAGTTACTTTTGCATTTATAATATTAGTTTGGATTAACAATATCCCTCGGTCGTGGTCTCACGCATGAACGAATGTATTTGAAAGATATGGAAAAAGCTTTAAATATTATTAATATAGAATTTGCACTGCAATTACGATACGACTGGTATTTTTTTTTTAAACTTTGCCCCACACTAGGATTTTCTCCTGTGTCGTGGGTGCGGTTACAAACATACAATTTCACATGCACATGACACCCAGTCCCGGAAAAACAATTTGTGGATCACACAAAGAGTTGTTCCGTGCGGAAATCGAACCCGCGACACGTTGCATGACAGCCAGTTGCCCAGCCACCGCACCAACCGTGCAGTCAAGTGGTAAAAAGTAAATTAAACTTTACATACTTACATACATAAAAGAAATTAAACTTAATTTTCCTACCCTATTGAGATTGTGACAAGTATATATTTTATTTTACTAGGAAAACATAGAATACATTGTACTAATACAGAGAAGAAACAGATAAGTATGAAAAACTGAGCAACATTTACATGTTTCCGCATACAAAAAAAGGTTACGAGTAATGCAATACTTCGAAATTTTAACACCAAAGATCTGGTCTTTAATCCTCCACTTCCAATTAAGATTAGAGAGACCCATGCTTCAGTACGATGGGTCGGCTCGACCACTTAAGCCTGCATTGTCATGTGAGTGAGTTTACTGGAGGCCCAATCCTTCCTCTAACCCCATTTAAAACCCAAATGAAAAAACAACCACAGCGTTGCTTTTCGCCGTGTGAGTGAGGTTACCGGAGCACAGTCCTTCCCCACCCCCAATCCCTAAATCTCCAAACATCTAATCCCCAAAAGGTGGACAACGTACTCGTAACTCCTCTGTTGTTGTGGGTGTCCATGCGCGGCGCTGATTGCTTGCCATCAGGTAATCTATCTGCTCGTTTGACGACCTTTCCCATAATAATGATGACGATGATGTTGATGTTAAAGATACAAACTTACCCTGTGACCACCAATAACGAAGACAATATTCATTAAGATGTCAGCTAGAATGAATATTAGGAGTACTCCTAGAAGAACTGTGTAAATGGTGTACTTTACACCATCTTCTGTCTTCGCTTGTGATAACATTGAAGAAAAACATTGTTCAACAGCAACTATTGTCAGTGCGGATAGGACCTGCAAGAAGGAGGATGTAATTCTACCTTCAGAATGTCCTGATATTTTGGAAATTAGACCGTAGGAGTACGTAGTACGGTTGAGTTTACCAATTACGAAATTTAGTGGTACCAAAGAGGATACAACCACCAACGACAGTGGTTATATCATCATAGTAAGGTGCTTTGTATGTTTTACTATAGACCAAAACATAGTGCATTGAATTTATGTACATAATGTATAAGATCTCAATTTTTTTGTTACCTATGTTTTACAAATAGTTCATTCTTATTATTATTATGATCGTGATTTTCTCATTTCGACACAATAAAGGACACATTACATTAGTTGTTGTTACTTAGACTCCCCAAAATAATTATTTTTCTAAATTCATCAAACCCCAAGCGGACGCCGGCGTTCGCACACCTTTCGTTCTTCTATTGTGTCTCAAAATTTTCACGATTGCAAGGTTAAACAGATTTTGACAACAGACAGACACTTTACATACTGAAAAGGAATACTCACCAGTCTAAGATATCCCCATACAATCAGACCATGCCGCAATGGTAAACAAAAACAAAACCTTTTAAACACAGGCACTTCCAAATGCATTTTATCAAACAGTTTTCGACACAGTCTAGAACGAATAAAATACAGCCTCCTTTTACGTAATAATATTCATAAATTGTACGATTTTAGTTAAAAGGAGTTTTTATGAAGAAATCTAACATAAAATACCTCTATGGTCGACGTTAGACAGCGGCAAAGTGCTAGACAAAGAAGCTAAGTCCCGCACATTTTAATACGACTAAATAAAGATGACGACAATCAGATCCTACGGAAACTGGGCAGACAAAACAATAAAAATATGTGTGTTCTTAATTCAAAATTCTTGCTACATATTTTTTTTAAGAAGTAACTGCACTATGTATACGGAAGTACCTATAACTCCGCATTCTAGATTCAAATTTTAAATTCGATTTTATTGATATTAGATTCGATATGGTTGTACAGGTCAGGTATACTTACAAATAAGTATACTTACATATACTATTATACCTATTTGAAATAATAATTTTTATCGAGCAAATTTTACCCCATTTTTAATAAACTATTATTTTTTGTAACAAAATTTTATACTCAATTTCAATTTATGAAGTCATAGACAAGATTGAATATTTATATAAGTTTCTTAAATTACATATTTTTTTAATCCTCAGAGTTGTAAAACAACGGGTCTTTTTGGTACATTTAGTTGTATTCTCCCACTATAAGTACAAGAAAAAAATAAAAATCTTAACGAAGTAAATCCGTTCATAATCCGGTTATACATTGAGTGTACAGACAAACAAACCAAATATATTAGATGATGAGGACTAACATCCATTACCTCCGTAATGGCTGGTCATATCCGTGTTCTTAAGAAGCTACAATGACATGCGCAGGCGTTCAGTGTGTCATGGCAGGGTTCCTGACTATCCTGGAACTAATAGTGTACGGCACAACTTTTAAGTATGTGTATCTACGCCAATTTCTTCATTATTTCTTGTTATTTAAGCGCTCGAAACGATCGCCTTAAGTTGTACTTGACATTATTCAAGACTGTTTCTATTCTATTATTTACTACTAGCTACTCTAGCGCGGTTTGACCCGCTGCACAGCTCTTTTTTTAATCGTAGCCTGATGGTTTATAGCCTATAACACACAGGAACATTGTAGCTATCTATCAATGAAAGAATTTTGGCAATCCGATCAGCGGTTCCGAAGATTACCCCCTACATAGAAACTTAAAATCTTACAAATTTTACCTCTTTATAAAATTAGTATAGATGATTTGATATTGATCACGATTGGATAATCCTTTTTACAAAGAAAATTAGTCATCGGAAGCAGTTTCCACTTGAGTCTACAGCTGTAGGTACCTAATAGTTGTTAGTATTGAGTGCATTTAAAAAACGGAAAAAATGGTGATAAATTGAGATAATTGATAACGAAAAATAAAACGTTGATGAATTCCGTATCAGATTCTTCTACAGTTAAACTCCATCTAAAGGTTGTCTGGAAAAAATTGCTTTTAAGTGATAGGACCGCTAATTGTACTATTTTTCCTTCCTTTCACGGGACCACAGGGTCCCGGACCTTTGGAGGCATACGAGGAGCCGAAGCCAACTCCTAGAGGCTTGTTGAACAATTTTAATCTAAATTTGATGGGACATCAGCCGGCAATTATCCCTGTATGCACTATAAAACTGCACCCAAGGACAATCTCCGGTTGATGCAGGACTATTGTAAAAGGTGGTAAAAATTGACTTGGGTATGGGTTGCTATGCAATAATGGATGAAAACTATGGAAATACTATGCCCCTGCCCTTGACCAATATTGATACATACGGGGACTATTTTTTATTATTATGGTGTGAAATAAAGTATATTAATTCATTCATTCAGTAATTAAATTCCTCTTTTTATCATGATTTAAAGTGATTTCTCAAAGACAAAGATCATTTTCTCGAGTCCTGATGACGAGTAGCACCAATGATCGTGACGATCACATTTCTAAGAATAGCTCTACTACGTGTAGGAATGGACGAAGGAAATACCTATTAAATGGTCCAGATACGATCACAGCTGACACATTTTGCCGTTCGTGTGGGCAATTTGTGGTGGGCATCTTAAACTTCCATATTTAAATTGATTTTATGGCTTCGTCCCGACTTAACTGTTTGACGAAATAACCCGAACAGTTTCAAGCGTGCGCGGGGCTCAGGGTAATGAGTGATGAGCTGCATTGCACGATTTTGTTTAAGTGTAGGAGAGCCATGCTTCGGCACGACCGTAGTCATACAACGGCCTCACAGAAAACTGGCGTGAAACAACCACAGCGTTATGTCTCTCCGTTTGAGTGAGGTTACCGGTGACCCAATCCTTCCCCTCCCCTATCCCTAAATCTCCAAATCCCTAATCCCCAAAAGGCCGGCAACACACTCGTAACTCCTGTGTTGCGGGTATCCATGGCGGCGTTGATTGCTTACCATCAGGTAATTCGTCTGCTCGTTTGCCGATCTACATATTATATACAAAAAACTATGATGTTTAGTTTAGTTGTGTTGTAATTGAGTTGTGTGCTGCAAAAGTATTGCATCTCTTAATCTTCACACCTCGATTATCTGTTCTAAGAATATGGTTGTGATTATAATAATATTGTTCCTAAAACGCTGGAAAACACTTGGGTTTAGCCGCGAAAACATTAGTCCACGGCTCTGTGATATTGTGATAAACAAAAATGACCTTTTTAATTAGGTAATAAATATAACGCTAGCAGTTCCCGCTACAAGCCGAGAAGTATAAACAAATTGATAACACTCCTAGCACTAGTGATTATCACCCGACTTTACTCTTTAAAATTTAATCTTATATATAAAAATGGATCGCAAAATGTGTTGGTAAGCGCATAACTCAACAACGCCTTGGCCAATTTTGCTAATTCTTTTTTTGTTGTGTTTGTTATTGTCAGGTGAAGGATCTTATCAAAGATAATATTAGAAAAGTAGAGAGGAAGATTAGGAAAAAAGTGACCCTTTGATAGCGAGATAGTTCGACCCGTGCGAAGCGGGGGTGGGCCGCTAGTGTCTGTATAAAAACAAGTCGGGTTTTCTTTCCCGACGCTATAACTACAGAACGCACGAACCGATTTTTACGGATTTGCATTCATTGGAAAGGTCTAGGGCTCCGTGAGGTTTATTGCAAGGAAAAATTTTAGCAGAAAAGCGGGAAAATGTTTTTTTTTCGTAAATCGACAACTTTTTGAATTAGGTACCTACATATATTTGGTTGAGAAACGGTCGTCGTTTTCATTAAATTTTGAATAGTCACGACCACTTACTAGTCAATAAGATTGTTATTAGCCACCTATCACCTTTCATTATCTATACTTCTATACTAATATTATAAAGAAGTTTTGTAAGTTTGTATGTAGGGAGTAATCTTTGGAACTGTTGGTCGAATTTACTTCACTGATTCAGCTACAGTGTATATGAGTGCTATAGGCTATATCTTTGATTTATTTTAATCGAGCTATCGCTTTAAATATAATATTTCGAGAAAATTGCACAGTTGTTTGACACTGCCAACCATCTATATGATGGGGATGAAAATTTTTTCGCATGGGTCGATGACAAAAAGATGCGGCGGCGATAAAACCGAATAATTCCTCGGAGCACTCCTCGTGATATATGCGATAGAGAACACATAGCGAGGCTACATCCCTACGCAGGGCCAAGAGTCTAGTCGGACAGAGACATCCAGAGAAGATATAATCATTACGAGTGTGTTAATGGTTGCCAGTTATCAACCACGGAGATGTCTTTACAAGCCTTTGTTTGTTAAGCTTTTTGAAGTTCTTTTCAATCTGAACTACTGAACGTATCCAAATAAATTATGGGTCAAAAATAAATTGATTAATAGCAAGGCGATATATACAATGAAACATTTTTGCAAACAGTCCATAAAACAGCTATTTCATGTCAAAATTACATAAACATAAAAAAAGAAAAACCGGTATTTCCTATCTGACTATTCTGAGAAGAAATGCTGAAACTCAGAGGTCCATCTTTTAAAGTCCAGATAATGTAAAAAAAGTTAATTCTGTAGTTCTCTTTTGCGAACAGAACCACACCACTTTAAGTGGACCCGTTCTGAAGACAGGCACGGAGCCATCAGTTTTTAACCAGTTCAACTAACGTGTGTTACTGAGTTGTCCAAGGAACAAAACCAATCAAAAGAAGTTTTGGATTGGTCACGCAAATTCTCAAGCTATCAGTAGAAAAGCGTTGCAAAGTCTCACACAGTGCTAACACTAACAAAAATAATTGCAAAAATACTGAAAATATCAGACTGTGCGAGAGGGAGTGTCAGAGTCTGCGTAAAACCACACTGTTCTTTCTTTAGCTCAAGGCCGAAGCCCCGCTACCTTATTCAGCTTGCCTGGCAAGTTCCATTGCCGACCCATTCGGCACGAATGGGTCGGCTCGACCGGAGTGATACAACGACCTCACAGAAAAACCAGCGTGAAGCAACCACATTGTTTCGTCGTGTAAGTGAGGTTACCGAGGCCCAATCCTTTCCCTAGGTACCCCAATCTCTAAATCTCCAAATACCTAATCCCCAAAAAGTCGGCAACGCACTCGTAACTCCTCCATAGGTGGCGCTGATTGCTTACCATCAGGTAATACGTCAGCTCGTTCGCCGACCTATTACAAAAAAAACCAAGGTTTTTATCACCTCTTTTGGAGAACCCACAAAAATACAAATATTTATTTAAAAAGTTTTAATTAAACTTAAGTTTACAGATAAACAATATCTATCAGTGTATAAGTATGTAGACATATAGGTACATACGTAAGTGACATGAAATTATATAAATATAAACCTCTGGGTCAATTAAATATTATACAGTAGTGTTAAAAACAGTACGAGATACGGACGTACCTAATCAAGTCAAGGCACATAATTATTGAAGCCAACTTTCAAATTATTTGAGGTATGTTCTGCTAAAAAACTTTTTAATCGTTTTTTGTAGAGATTTTTTTTATTAAGAGTTTTGCTTTAATTCTAATATAATTTAGTCTTTAGCTAAGTTTTAAATTTATAATATTAAAGTGAGATTAATCGAAAGTTAATCAGATTATAATTGTGTCTAATAATTTTAGTCTTAAACTATAATTATGTATGTCATAATAACATCTTATCCCGGGATAGGCATAAGCATTGCTTTCTCAATTAAGTGTTATGTGACATGACCGCTCAAACGAGCTGCCTCGTTATCTGATGTTAAGCAATCGGGGCCGCCCACGTGTTGCCGGGCTCTTCGAGATTTCGGAGATAAGGGAAGGGCAAAAAAATTGGGCCACTGGATAACCTCACTCACACGCCGAAACACAACTCTGTGGTTGTTTCACGCTGATTTTCTGTGAGGCTGTGCTTTCAATCTGGTTGAGCCGAACCATTCCTACCGAAGTAGGTATGGCTCGTCCACACTTAAAAATGTTGTTGTTGTGTTATTTGAATAAAACTCATAATAATATGACTGTAAAGTATTATTCCTAATTAAAAATATATATTTCAGTGAATCCGTGTCATCATAGTGATAAATTAAACCTTCACAATGTACTCCCCGAAGCTGAGACCTCCAATGTCAATTTCCAATAAAGCCGGAGACCAGGACGGCACATTGCTAAGCACTAGACGTTGTTTATTAACCTGGGCATTCGTCAGACTGGTAAGATAAGAATAATATTATATCAATATTGTTTAGGGGCTAGGGCTATAGTATCTATTTCCATAGTTTACTAGTCCATACCCAGAACCGTATCAATTTTTACATTTCGCAATATTCCTGCATCAGCCAGTGATTTTCCTTGGGTGCACTTCCATAGCGCATTTAAGGATAATTACCGGCAGAAGTCCCATCACATTTAGATTGAAACCGTTCAACGGGTCTCGTATGCCTTCAAAGAACTTACATAATAAAAAGGGACTGAACTTTGTTCGGCTTATTTTTCAAACATTTTCTGAGCATGAATTATAGCTAGATAGTTTATCGATTATTGGTGAGATGAGAGCGAGTGTCAGACTCTTACTGACTAAGGAATACCCCTTTTCCTGATCTACGCCTAAGCTGCAGTACATTACTACCCTCAACCCCGAGTTAGTCGATCAAGGGACGATCTCCGGCTATCGCAAGCGCGGGTCTGCGGTCGGCGAGTAACGGTAGCTCGCCGCCCGACCAGAACCAGGCCCGAGCGTACGGCGCGTAGCGTTCCGCACGCGGCTCAAAGAGCCAATAGACATAGACCACCACAGACGGGGCCCTATAGGGCTGATGTTCAGCCGGGGTTGCGGGGTAAGCGCAATGAGGCACTGCGACCTCGGCCCAGAGCAGGGGAACGAACAGGAGGTTTTTAGTCAGCAAGACTCTGACACTCCCTCCCGCCCGGCCCTGGGCGGGAGAAGTCATTTGATGATTTTTCCCTCGCCCTCACAAAAAAAACCCCGAGTTAGTCACTCCATAGAAGTGTTTTTTAATAACAGTTGTTTCTAATATTGTTTTAATTATATTTCAGATCGTGTCCTTGCTATGGACTGGTATGGTCGTGTTAGTTACAGTGGTAACAATAATCCACTACAACGATGAAGATAATTTGAATGACAAGGATCGCTTGCTGTTTGAAGTTCCAGCTATAGCAGTACAAATGGTCGAAATAGGAATGCTTATCACATTCATCGTGGCTGGGTTTAAGGTAAATATTAAAAAGAATACTTAAATATTATAAGCAGCTATAAATATACTTAAAACGTAGGTAGGTACTAGGTACTGATAGATTGCTATCGTTTTTAGAATCGCTTGTTTAGAACTCATCGTAATACTTAGAACCCATCGTTCATAACACTTCTCTGCATCACCCTCGGGGTTGACTGGTAGAAAATGTCTTTCAACATTAAGTCTGCCTTTATATGTACCACATAAAGTGCTACCTTTCTCCCCCATCCTTTATCCCCAAATCCCCTACCCTTAAGTCTCTAACAGCCCACTAGATACTGTCAACGCACTTTGGCATTACTCCATACATTACTCCTTTGGTGTTACGAGGTCTACGCCTACTACGATGGGCTACGCCGATTGCTTAACATCAGGTAATCAGTCTTCTCGCCGACCTTTAGCATATACTAAAAAAAATCGATTACCAAAAGGATTACTTACTGATGAAATTCTGTCTCATCTGTCCACCAGTGCCTTTCGTTTTATGCAAAATATTAAACAAAATATTTCGACCCAAAAATTTTGAATTTATTAAGGGTAGCCAAAAAACAGAAGATCTTTGTACAGACAATTACAAACGCGTCAAAACGCAATAATAATAATTATTATTACATACAATCGCTTAATTGGTGTAAATTTCCTGTCACTTAAACACATTACACGTGGACTGATAATAGGTGTATATAGGTTAAAATTGTCACACTCTCTCCATGAGAGCAATTCATTTTGTTAAATTCAAGGTAACTCATGGCAATCATTCACTAGCTGTTTACTAAAATTTGACTGCACGGCTCAGTGGCTGGTCAACTGGCTTCTGTGCAACGTGTCATGGGTTAAATTCCCGCAGGGAACAACACTGTGTGATCCACATATTGTTGTTTCGGGTCTGGGTGTCATGTGTCTGTGAATTTGTATGTTTGTAAACGCACCCACAACACAGGAGAAAATCCTAATGTGGGAAAACATTTTTAAATGTAAAGAAGAAAAAGAAAATAATTATGCCATCACTGTCATCAGCTTGAATGAAAAAGACGTGAAGAGCCCGATGATCGGCTTCATCAGAGTTTCTTGTCCACACACTAACCGGGCAGCTGAAACTCGCTATATGGCCAGTAAAAATTAAAATAACTCTGATGGCCGATTTTATATGATGGGAGCCACTTCTAGCCCTTAATAAATAGCCAGTTTTACCACGTCAATTAGGAACCCACTATTTCCTGCTCGGAACTCGCGCTAAATTTTAACACAATTGTATAAGTTGAGAAAATTTGGTAAAAAATTGTTGCAGTATTTTCTTGCTCGTTTTTCTTCATCGGAACCTTCACTAAGATGACTAAGCGACAGACTGAAACTTCATATCTATTTTAAATTTTGTTTGACTTCAAAAGTGCCTGTAAGGATCTAATTGAAATAACATTATTATTATTATTATACTTGAACACACTAGCAACTTAGAAAGCTGATGCATATGCATAATTGACTTTTTTTGCGTAACACGTTTGTAAAACCAGAAGTTTGCAATTTATCGGATATTAAATGGTAATCATAATCCTTAAGCCTTTTGGCACTTCTAAACCAATGCTGCCTGCAGCTTAGGTGAGACATCGACAAAAACCATTCCCGTATTCGAATAAAATATAGCCATATAGAGGAACATTGACTTTGCTTTTGACTTTGACTTTAAGTAAGTATACCTATATGAGTATGTGTATTGAGTTAACGTCATTTCTTTCTTGTATTTCAGAAAAGTGCGAAGCTGTACGATGTTTACTACCGCTACTGCATCCTGACGCTGGTGCTGTACGTCGGAGCAGTGACCATCAGCTTCTTCGTAGAATATAGAAACTGTCATTATCTGCTAGAAAACTACATCACCTACCATTTCGTTGATGTCGTTGACGTTTTTGGAATGGCCGAGGCATTATTATTTGGAACGATAGCTGTGATTGATATTTGTAAGTATACCTATAGTTCATGCTTTTAATGAAATAGGACGACAAACGAGTCTTTTATTATGTGATGGTAAGCAATCAGCGCCTTCCATGGACATACGAAACAACGTAAGAGTTACCAGTGCGTTGCGGAACTTTTGGGGATTAGGGTTTTGGGGATTTTGGGATTGGGCGACGGGAAGGATTGGGGCTCCGGTTTTTCATACGGCGAAACAGGGCCTCACAGAAAACCAGCGTCAAAAAAAAAAGCGTCGACTCCTTTCAAGCCGATTCAAACGTGCCGAAGTATAGCTCTCACATACTTTTAATATATCCTTCTATATCCCAAATCGCCCAATCTTTTCAATGGTCTTCTCAGGCAGCCGTGATTGATTTTGTTACCATAAGGTATTCCAAATGCTCGTTTGCCGATCAATACTAAAATATCTCTAATATTTTTCTCTCTCTTTTTCTCTTCACAGGTTTAGAAATTCTTCTGCTATGTTTAATCAAGAAATTAATTCTGAAATACAGTCACAATGAAGACCCAAAGACAACGTCCGTATAAGTTATTAACAAGTGTTCATATATTAATAACTACTTAATTATTATAAGGATATGTTATATTTTTGTATGTAGGTATATAATTTTATAGCTTTACATAAGGTTAATTTTACATTATTAAAACAGTTTTATTTGTCAAAAATAAATGTACACACAAGAACTCTTTTTCTTTCAAATACCTGGTAGACACTGAATACACTGAACATCCTATCCTATAGTTGTCTGTAAAAAAACGCATTTAGCGATAAGATTTTACACTATATCTCAAGTTTATCTTTATATATTTAATGGTGTCTTTATTATAATAAAGTGTAAATAAATAAATAAACACTTGAGTTTCTTGTTCATGTAAGTATACGAACAAGTACGTTCACCTGATTATTTCACATCTAAAAATATATTTTATCTTCCGTGTAAATGTTATCTATAGGTACTAATATTGTAAAGAGCAATAGACTTGATTTGCGTACTAAATTAAACGCTGCTGTTCTAAAATCCTGGGTGTTGGGATTGTTATATTCTAAAATACATTACTTTTTTTTCGTATCGTTTTGCAGCATTCCCTTCTCGCCTGTTAATAAATGCACATGGTACTAGTTTAGAATAGATATCCGAAAAACAAAGCCTGATTCGATTATGTACACTTTAGTTTATTTAGTTCATTCACACCAGATTTAAGACGTATCACTATAGACAGAAAAACATCTAAAATATAGTACCTACTACAAATTTTTGGAAGTTTAGGAATAAAAGAGTTAGCACTATCTATCTATAAGTTTATTCTATCTAAAGATCAGTTCTCCATTGTCGCCGGAGTGGGGGGTCTATGAAGACCTCAGCGACGTGGTTGATGTAGCTGGATGTGCCTTCCTGGTACCGGTCCTTCTTCAGCTCGCTTCGCACGAGCAGTACTAGGTATACCTGTAACACTGTTCAACGGTTTTTAGGTTAGGTGACTGCCTTTCTCGAGTCAGGTAAATAATGCATAAGGATATTTTTTTTTATATTGTGACAATAAATAGCCAAATTCGTTAGAATTCCGACTAGTCAGTTTTTTGTAGTCAGGAGAAAATCATCAAATTACTTCTCTCGGCCAGGTTGCGGCGAGAGGGATTGTCAGACTCTTACTGGCTAAAAACCGTTCATTCCCGTTCCTTCTCCTGCTCAGGCTGATACCTTTATTAACAATTAACATATCATGATACGTCACTAGTTTTCACAAATATTACTAGTGTCTATACGTCGGAGGAGAGAATGGAATAATTTTAATGATGCACGTGGATTATCTTCGGACGTTGTGAGTTCGTTACGGGGCTGTCTGACCAAATTTTGTCTGCCAAGTTGTCGCCCATCAGTTGGCTGCCATGATCGAAAAAAAACAGTGCCAACCAAACCGAACTAAAGTGTTGCCGGCCTAGTAGCGGCCTCACACAAGATAACCGCTTAACTTTCCGTACTAAGAAAAATATTTGATAACTGTTTAAAGTCTCTAATCATCACACAGACAGTGCCATTCTTTACGGTCCGACATATACATATGTATGTGTATGTATACCTATATGCTAATAAATAAAGAAAAACTCACCGAATCCAGTAAAAGCCAGACAGAATTCTGTGAGGATGAAGTTCCACCGCGGGTACCTGTCGAAGTCTATATAGGTGATCAGCACCACAACGAAGGTAGCCACCATCGTCGTCAGCTCATAGTAGTAGTAGATGCGTAGAAGACGACGTCTCTTCTGGAAATAGTATATATGTCCCATTTATTTATTAGAACCCTTGGCAGATCTTAAGTACGAAGTTACGAATCATACGATTATGTTGTATAATTAGACCCTTTATATATAATTATAATTCTGCTGTATAAGTACGTGTGTAAGTCATTGAACTCCTCCTAAACGACTTGAGCGATGTCAATGAGTTTTTCTGTATGCGTTTGAGCAGCGCCTTGGGTGGTTTAAATTCACAAATCAGCCCGACAGATGGGGCTAATTGCTTGAAAAGCATGTGATCTCGCTTCGCTGTAATTTTATATGTAGGGGTTTTTGGGTAGGCCCAGCTTGTCTTTAGTTGAAACTTTAAAAACCATTTTTAAGGTGTGATTCCCTTGTTACTGCAGGCGGGTCGGCGCCGATCAGTTATCATCAGGTGATCCGTATGCACGTTGGCCTCCTATACCATAAAAAAACAACCTCCCCCCATTCGCAGATGCTATACTAATGCTATTTAGTATAGCATCGTTCGTCGGATAACTCAGCAGCACTAGCTATACTGGTTGCAAACTGACACTTGCGTGCCTGTCTTCAGAACGGGTCCACTTAAACTGGTGTGGTTCTTTCATCAAAAGACAACTACAGAATGAACTTGCACGGTTCTCTCACATTATGTTATTTTACATTGTCTGGACTTTAAAAGAGATTGACCTCTGAGTTGGTTTCCGCATTTCTTCTCAGAGTAGTCAGATAGAAAATGCCGGCTTCATCTAGTTTTTCACATAATTATAATTTGACGTGTAATAGTGCCGTTTTATGGCCTATTTGCAAAAATAAATTCATTGTTTCATTGTATATTTATTCACTATTTAATGAATTTTATCATACATGTAAACCTTTCTCATCTATCACTCTATCTATTACAAAAAACACACCAAAATCCGCTGCGTACTTTTAAAGTTTCAAAGATTTCAGCATAAGGTGGAGGGACAGAGAAAGTGACTTTGTTAATGTGATAATGTTGTTCACCAGAATTTTCTGAATAGTTTTTTAATTACTTAGGTACATCCCTTTTGTGCTTGAAGAAGTTTATAATTTTTCCCAATAGATGGAACAGTTTGTTAGTATCAAGCCTTAGACTTGGGCCGTCACACTTAGTGGGTCTGACTAGGTCTATTATTTTTTTATTATATTTATGGTAAGGGAAATGGATTAAGGATGGATGGGCCCATCTACCCTCCATAAGTAGCCTCCTACAATGGTGAAAGCTTTATCTGTTCGACAAATACTATCTCGCGCTATAAAAGCGCCATCTGTTGGGAACAACAACGATAATACATACTGGCAATGATTATGGCGATGAGTTCGACCTCTGTCTACTAAAATAATATTTCGGTTCGCTTTCGTGGACACTAGATGGCGTTAATGAAGATCAGTGTTAGAAATGCAGCCCATGTGCATATATACATACTTTGACAGTACCGTACATTTTTTATGGGATTGCTTAGAAAACGAGCAAACGGATCACCTGAAACGAATGCCTTCAAATGATCCGTCTGCTGACTGCCAGTTAGGCATATGCGAAATCAAAGGAGTTAGAAGTAAGCGTCCAGCTTTTTGTGGGTTGTTAGGGATTTAAGGATTGTAGATCAATCACCAAGATTTGGCATGGGGGACGGGGAGGATTAGGCATCTGGCTGACTCCGCTCGAGCCGACTTAAAACATCAGATTATAACAAAATTATACAAACCATATGAGCACCAACTATGAGGACGATATGGAACACTACGTCCAGAGAATACAGTATAACGACGATGCAAAGCTGCACTTCCATGATCACCCCTCGATACAAGGCCGCAGTGGTCGCGAACGAACTCTTCATATTGTGGTAGAAAATACATAGTATTATCTGCAGGGTCCCAAACAATATTGTCAGGAACTGAAAACAGAAAAAGAAACTACTTTACAAGACTCATTGGGCAGTACACGAACAGGTCATTTCAAGCGTAATGATACAAAAGCAAATCAATACAATAAGCATAAGGTTATATGTTGTAACAATGTTAAATATGTCCCAAACACCTACATAGTCTTCTAGGTATTCTTAAGCATACTAAAATATTTTGGTCTAACAATAATAAGCCTTGTGACAAATGCAAATGGTACAATAAAATAAAAACATTAAGGATATCCTGTAGTCTAGGTGGAAGAAGATACCGAGGCGCGTGATCCTACAATTGCTAACACTGCTCTTCTACTTTGAGCTATTTTGAATTTCAAACTTCTTTATAAAACTGTCTACTCTAGTATACTTAAACACTCGTATATGATTTTATTTTCTACTCGTATATCATCAAATATAAAACTTTCCCTAAGAAGTTTGAATTCGATGTAAAATATGTGGTTTGGTGGTTCCAAAATCTCAGCACAAATCTTACGACAGCGGATGACTAAAAATGATTTATTCAACTCTATTATTAATCTAAACATACTGCAAAGTCTTTCCATCTTTCTGGGTATTAAAGAAAACCATTCACAATAAGAAACAAAAATCATTAAAAACGATAAACATTTTGCTCTTTTTAGAGATTGGGACGATGATCGATGATGGACAAAGCAAAGGTAAGGTAGGAACAATAGAAGTGTCTGAAGGTAAGAGAGGTCACAAGTATCCAGAGAAGTACTAACCAGACTTATGTATCCAAATATAAGGATGCCTCGTCGCAAAGGCAGGCAACAGCAGCATCGCCTTAGCTCCGGTATTTCTATCAACATTGTCACGATATACTCACAAACACATATAAATAAACATGGTACTTTTTTAATATAATATTGCTGGTCCTAAATGCAACGTTGTGGACCACCGCGCAGAATGACGACTGAATTAGCTGGACTGATAGCAGGGTTGGCAATCTTCATCTATTGATTTTTTGATTTTTGTGTTGTGATTTTAAAATTTTTTTTAATATTATTGAAATACGAACCTATGTCGTCCACAGGAGTATTTCATCATTCAGCCTTATAGGTACTACAGCTACAATTGAATGTTACAAAAGTAAATAAAAATTGAATATCAAAAAATTCTTGGTAAGTATATGACAAAAGTTTCATGTCAACCTTAAAACAATTTTCTGATTTTTATTCAGTTAGCTGATCTTGACCCCATAGCACTAACGTCGATCCTTACATGATATAAATCTTTATGATATTCAGAAATTGTTGTTCCGGATTAAGTTATAATTTGTATGCATTTTTATTTTTCGAAAAGCAACCACAAAACTGGAAATCTTCAAAAAAATATTCCCTAATACTTGTATAAATCTAAACACCCATATAAAATTAGTTTTATGTGATTGGTCGGCAAACGAGCAGACGGATGATACGCAATCAGCGCCGCCCATGGACACCCGCTACAATAGAGGAGTAACGAGTGCGTTGCCGACCTTTTGGGGATGTGGCGATTAAGGGATTGGTGATCTGGTAACCTCACTCACACGGCGAAACACAACCTCACTTGTTTCACGCCGGTTTTCTGTGAGGCCGTGGTATCAGTCCGGTCGAACCGACCAATTTGTACCGAAGCATGTCTCTCCCACCCTTTATTTTTTGTTTTTAAATAACAACTAATGTATATACTGCCAGCCCTAAGGCATCATTATCTTGTTTAGGCGTCTCGATGTGGAAGCGAGCCGTGTCACGGCACTGCTAGCTTGATCGACTCTTCCTTCGCTGACATCCCTGTATTAATCTAATCCCTCAATTTCATATTATAGTATTTAAGACTTAGGTATTACACAAAATACAATATATGCATTCCACTAATGCCATTTATAATTTTCTGGAAAATAAATTAAGCAGTTAATTTTATTTTAGTATACGCATGTTCGAATATACTCGACACTTTACAAGTTACAAACAGTATAGGTCCTGTTTGTAACTTGTCAAGTGTCGAGTATATTCGAACACGCGTATACTACAATAATCACGACAACGAGCCCCCTCAAACCAACACAATTCGTCTTATTTTCAAGAGATACTGTCATAGTTTTGTTTTCTTTCATGTATATTTATCATTAAATTACAACTCAAGCAAAAATACATATTCATTTTAAAGTCCGCACAAAAATGTCATAGCTCCGAAAAATAATTTTATAGGTACGTTGGCTTATGCACTGCAATACGAGATAAATGTACAAATAAATGAAAACCAAGGAATCTATTCAAAACTCTATACCAAGAAACATAAAAACAACGATACGTTCATAAAGATTAATTTAAAAGTATCCATTGAAGGCTATAAAAATAATGCACAAACACACGTTGAACATGAAGCAGCAATGGATAACTAGAAAATGCTTTGCCAAGTGACAATGAATATATCTTTAAGTAGCGGAAATATCTTATAAAGGATTGTTAAGAGGATGCAATTTTGGATAAGACTCGCTTGGATCCAGTCAGAAGTATGTTTTGATATGAAATGTTTGTAAAGTGTAGACAAAAATGAAGAAATTGTGCGATTTTAAGTGTCCTAAGATACCTGTAGTAAGAAAATGCTGTTTTTGTATACCTACCTATGTGGGAATAGCCGTTTTTGGATATGCTGATCTTGTAAGTGACTTAGTTCCACGTTTAAATGTTTTTGATCCAACTATCCTGAATGAAGTTACAAACGTTAAAGGAGGTACCTATTTGTTTGTAAACTTTTTAGCTTAAAGAAATTAATACACATAGGATTTAAAGCGGGGAAAGCTAGTTTATGACACAATAACAACACAAACAAGTGTAGAGAAATACGATGAAAACTGTAGTGGAACGCAATTAAGAAAAAACTATGAATCTGAAAATCTTTAATTTAAGACGTTGAACTTTGTTCAAACATGTGCGTAAATTAGTAAACCCCTGTTAAATGACGTAATTTAAACTCTATTGATATTTAAAGCTAAGCGATTAGATGTAGACAGAAAGAACTTACCTTACAAATCAACATTTTTTTTACCCGAATTCATTCAACATTTTTTTCTAGAAATGCTTGTTTCTCTCAAATCACTTGCTATTAGGTAACTTATTTTGAACGCTTAAGTAGATCATTATAATTAGATCTAAGACTGTATAGTAACACAGTTATTGTTTCATTGCTAATTAGTATTTCGCATTTGTTAATTCATACGGTTCTCGAGAAAGCTGCGATTTCTTCGAAGATTTCTTCATATGGGAAACTATGAAGTAAATTTACTTGAATTACTTATATATAGCATAGAATTGTAACGATTTTTTATTATTTTGAGAGAAATGTAACAATACATGTATCTGAATATCTGAGAAAGCGACTTTAAATTACAACACCTTATCATACCAATTTCATTTGCAGATCATCATCATAACCAAGTCATCGTCATCATTCATGACATCATTGACAGATCTTTTCGAATATTTTCCACATCCAACCACCCTCGATGACCCTTGTAAGTTTATCAGTTAACTACAATTAGATACAGTTCTTAATTTTCAGAACTCATAAAATGTGCCATTTGTAGGACCACAATAAAATTAAAAGCTACGAAAAAGTTTATTCCAAGAAGTTGTAAAATAGTAACATGTACTAAAAATATATATAAATCCAGATTAAATGTGTGCATGATGAACATGAAAATGAAAACGTGATATGTAATAATATGTTAATTCATCACCATCAGCCGGAAAACGTCCACTGCTGGACAAAGGCCTCTCCCTTACAATATATTAATTAATGTATTGATATTTGTATTCCAGACTCTAGCCCTTGTGGCTTTTCCAATGCTCATGTATGAGATGGTGGATGAGCTGACGAGTGACAAGCCTCGAGGAGAGATGCGGTACAGCGACCCTGCAGTGCATCTCCCAGTGATAGTAGCTGCAGCACTAGCAGACATTGTTTTAACTGTAGTATTGCTAATCGGAACACATAGGGTGAGTCAAAAGCCTTAGCCCAGTTGCTAATTTAGTGCCCTGAGGGTCACCTGACACTTAAAATTTGTAATTAATCTTAAAGGTTAAAGGCTAATCTGAAAACTATCTATGGTAATGTATTAATTTGTTTGTATGTAATAAAAATGTATGAAATAAAAAAATATAGTTTTGAAGTAACATATGAGCATATGTGAGCTATGACTTATGTAACAGGCGCCACGAAAGTTGGTGTTAAAACATGTCGAGTTTAGGTACTTCTGTTTACTGTTTCAGAAAAACAAATTGATACTTAAGATATACTTCTACTTCGCGACGGTTTCTCAGCTGATGACGTTGATTGCTGACCTACCATTTTACGACTACACCGAACATAAAAAGAATGCTGTCTACTTATTTTATGTAGGTATGTTATTAAAGTCATGCTTAGAATATTTATTACTAGCTACTCTCACGTGGTTTCACCCGCTGCTTAGCTCCATTTGATCGTAGCGTGATGTTTTATAGCCTATAGCACTCAGGAACATTGTAGCTATATATCAGTGAAATTTAGCAATCCGACCAGCGGCGACATACAAACTTACAAACTTTACCTCTTTATAATATTAGTACCGATGTGTTATGAAAATAGTAATAAGAATTCGCAAATAAGCTTGCTTAGTAAATTTGTTTTTTATATGGGATGGGTCTCCAAACGAGCAGATGGATTACCTTATGGTAAGCAATCGACGCCACCCATGAGCAACACCAAACGAGTTACTAGTACGTTGCCGGCATTTTGGGGATAAGCCTTTTCGGATATTTAAGGGAAGGGATGGCGAAAGGAGAGGTATTAAAGGAGGTATATATAAACACAACACTGTAGTCTGATAATATTTAATCAATACTATCATTAATATATTTTTAGGTTTTATTTCTCTTGAGTCTCAAATAAATGTTTTTTTCTTTCTTTCTTTCTGTATTTCTCTCGCTTCACCCTGGGCGAGAGAAGCCATTTGATAATGATATTCCCTTGACAAATGTATCGTATCATTTCAGGGCTGAACATCTACCTGCTGTTCCTGGTCCACAACGTGGTCTACGCAAGAGAGGAAAAGAGAGAGATTCAGTACATCGCGTATGATACGCATCAGGTCACCGTGTAGAAAAAAAAAGAAGATGACGATACGAGGAATTTAACTCTGTAAATATATTGTTAATGTTATTTTATGAAATAAAAAATAAATAAATTTTATTTTATTGTTATTTGTTTAATTAAATGTTGTGATGCGTCTAAATCTGATGAACTTTCCATAGAGGTGCCCATACCAGGTCTTACACCGCATATTAGATCTGTATACAATTTCTTTTTATGTGATAGATAACTAACGTTCCAAACCAGTCATTTTATCAAAATCCTTTATGCCAACATGATCAAGACTAATATTAGTAGTAGGTACAATACTTTATTAAATACAATTTGGAACACAATAATTTTATAATAGCTTTTTGCTGAGTTGGCGACCCATTCGGTTTAGACATGTCTGCCAACCCTGTAGAACTGTATATGATACTGTATAATTAGCGTATTTTTGTTTTTCTGTCTTTTTAACCTTTTTTTTTGTGTTGTATTTTTGTTTTGTTCAGGCTTTCATTCTTTTCATTTCATCTGATGCCGAATAAATGCATTTTCTTTCTTTTTATGCACAATAATAAAACAAAAATTATATGTCTTAGTTTCTGTACTATGTTTTCTTTAGCATTTCTTTCAGACTTCACATTACACCACATCATCAGCCTATAAGTTCCCAACTGCTGAACAAAGGCCTCTTCTCACACGGTTTGAGCTTTAATCACCACGCTTGCTCATGGCGGATCAAACTTCAATTATAAGTTCAATTTTCCTCAAGTTTTTTCGCCATCTGAGAGTGGTGTCAAAATAATCTAAGAACACACACTACATATAACTCGGAAAAAGTCACATTGGTACTTGTCAGGTGTCGAAATCCCACCCTGATGCATGAGAGCGGATGGCATAACCATTGGGCCACCATGAATTTTCGGATTTACAATAACATAAAATGATTTACGATCAGAGTAAATGAGCCTTTTATTTCTTAATGGGGCCCTATAGGGCTGATGTTCAGCCGGGGTACCTGGGTAAGCGCAATGAAGCACCGCGGACTCGGTCTAGAGCAGGAGAAGGAACAGGGGTGTTTTTAGTCAGTAAACGTCTGACATTTCCTCTTCCCTGGGAGAGAAAAGTCATTTGACAATTTTTCAAAAAATGTCAAAAAATTAATGAGATATTTGGATATTTAATGACAAAAGATACACGATTACTAATTACTTTAGACAATTTAGACAATTATTAAAATGCTAGCTTGCTTAGCATAGCTTTTGCCCGCGACTTCGTTTACGAGGAATAGTAACTTAAGGCAGATTTTTGGCATAAATAATATCCTATGTCCTTTCTCGAGTTCTAAACTATGTCTGTACCAAATTTCACAGAAATTGGTTCAGTAGTTTAATCGTGAAGAAAAGACAGACAGACAGAGTTACTTTCGAATTTATAATATTAGTTTGGATTAGGTACAGGACTGTATTCGAACCGATGGACCGCCTGATGGTAAGTAATTTTGAGGATGGGGCTTAAACCACTCCTCATTATTTTTTGGTTGGCCCTCAGGTAACCTCATTCGTACAGTGAGATGAAACTCAAATGGTGTATCACGCCATTTTTTTTAAGGTTGTAGTATCTCTCCCTGTAGACTGCACGGTTGGCACGGTGGCTGTCTGTGGTGTCAGTTCGGTTCCCGCATGGAACAACTCTTTGTGAAATCTACAAATTCCTGTTTCGGTTCTGCGTGTCATATCTGGTCTTTATTATAAACGCACCTAATACACAAGAGAAAATATTAATGTTTTCTAAACTAAAAAAATCTGTCCTCCCATTCAGGCAAAAATAAATTTACTTGCTTATTCATTAAAAATATGGTAAAGTTTCGAACTAATAATTATAGCTGTGTTTGTCATAATAAACAAAAAGTAACAGATTAGACGTTACGCATGGTGATGGTGGGGTGCGTGCCAGAAGACCTCCCCGTGGTGCACCCTGGGTGCGGGCGACAGTCTCCCTAACGGGATGGTGACAGGGTTGGTTTGACTGTCGCCCGCAGCGAACTTCTGGCCGGGCGGAGAACCCGGTCGGGTTCTAGAGGCGACCAGCTCTATGCTGTCATAGGGTCTAAGCCTCCGTGGGGGCGTTCCTCCGCACGACTCTCTGGACCTAGCAGAGAGCGGGGCGGAGAAACAAGGGCGGCGCTCGTTGTGCACTCACCCTGCCAATGAGTAGCATCGGGGCACTAGCTGCGCCCGACTGCACCCGTCGATATCGTAATCCGGGAAGAGATCATGGTCATGTTTTATGACTCGGACCGGGACGAGGGTCTTGGCTTAACCGCCCGGACCGCGAGGAAGATAACCTCTATAAAAAATTCCTCCAATACTAAGTTCTGGTGCGCGGCGAGGGTATGTATGGCTGAGGAGTAGGATCAGTCGTGAGCGCACCCCCAGCTAGGGGACCGGTGGACCCCCTAGTTGGGAGACAAATGCACACTTACCCAGGGACAGGGGGCTCTCCCTGGGCGGACCTTTTATTTCCCCCATACTCGTGGGAATCACATGGAGATACCTAAAAACAAAAATAAAAAAAATAAAAATCCACCTAACGGTGAGGAGGACGCAAGCGAGGTCAGCTCGCTTGCGAATATAACCGAGGCGCTAGAGGCATCGTGTGCACGTGCCTCAAGTAGGAAGGAGTCGGACTCTGAGTCCGATTCAACATCGCAGTCTGGCACAAACATAGCGCTGCGCAAGAAAAAGGCCCGAGGGACGTTCAAACGCCCCAGGCTGGAGGATGGGCGAGGGCCCTCCTCCAATGAACAGGAGGCTCCGGCCCCCAAAATCCCCACGGCGGCGCGGGGTAGGGGCAAGGGGAAGGGCTCCACAAGGGCGGCTGGAAGCCGATCCGAGCCGGCAGAGCGGCTGGCAGCGGAGGGGAGCGCCCTGGGAAAGGCTGCCCCCTCGGACTCCTCGGAGATGGAGGCCTCCGGTGGTGAGGGTTCTGTAGGCGGCGCTGAGAGCCTCCGCCTACAAGTAAAGGAAGCGCTCCGCATGCTGGCTGGGCAAAAAACCCAGGCTGGCAGGAACGGAGTGCTTAAGCACGCGGAGGCCGCTATAATGTCGGCGGCATCCCAGCAGGGCTCAGCAGAGCGGCAGATGACCGCTCTGCAAAAAGAGATGGCCGGAATGAGGCGCGAGCTGGCCCGATTAGCGGCTGCGAACTCTGCCCTGGAGGCGGAGCTTCGTGCAGCAAAGGCGGAACTCGCCGCTGCTCGCGCGGGTCGTCCCCAACCCTCGCAGCCAGCTGAGGCCGACCTTCTCGGCCTTATGCGGCGGGAGATGGCCGCCTTCCAGCAGCGTTTCGACGTGCTGGAGGGCAGGCTCCTCCGACCTCCACTCGCAGCCGGGTCGTACGCTGCCGCAGCGGCTAAGCCCAAGCCGCCAACCAGCCGTGGGGCACAAGCCAGCGCACCGGTGAAGAAGGGGGCGAAAGCGCCGACAGCCTTGTCACCGACGAGGGCGCCCGAGTCTCCCTCGGCGCTGGCTCCTGCGCCGATGAGCCGCAGACGAAGAGGAGCAGCGGCTGGAGCCCCAGCCGCATCGGCACCTACTCCGCCGTCTGCGTCGCGTGCTGGTAGCGAGTGGCAGGTGGCGGGGGAGGTGAGGAAGGTCGCCAAAGAGAGGAGGAAGCTCCGGAAGAAGGAGCAGCGGCAGCGGCGACAGCAGCGGCGCAAGGAGAAGCGCGCTGCGGCAATGCTCCTCGCCCCAAAATCTTCGGCTGTAGTTATCACACTACAGCCGGACGCGGCGAAAAAGGGGGTGACGTATGGCGAGGTCCTCGCCAAATTGAAGGGGGCGGTAACTCCCGCGGAGTTTGGGGCACCCGACGGGTTCGCAGTGAGGGTCACTGCCACTGGAGCCCGTCTCTTGGAGGTCCCCGGCGCGGCCAGCGGCCCGTCCGCTGACGCCCTTGCCGAGAGGCTCAGGGCGTGCATTGCGGCGGACGAAGCTCGCGTGTCCAGGCCCACCAAATGCCTGGAGCTACGCATCATGGGCCTGGACGACTCCGTGACGGAGAATGAGGTGGCGGCCGCTGTCGCCAGGACGGGGGGGTGCCCTGCTGACCAGGTCAAGGCAGGCACTATCCGCCCGGACAATACGGGGCTGCGGACTGTGGTAGTCAGCTGCCCCGTCACAGCGGCCAAAAAGCTGGCAGAGGGCAAAAGGCTCCTGGTGGGCTGGGTTTCGGCGCAGGTGAAGCTGCTGGAACCCCGACCTTTGAGGTGCTTCCGCTGCCTCATTGGCCATCATGTGGGTGCCAAATGCACCTCAGAGGTGGACCGCAGCGACCGCTGCTTCCGCTGCGGTCAGCCCGGTCACAGGGCCGGCGCTTGTACCGCCCCGCCGCACTGCGTAGTATGTGCGGCGGCTGGCAAGCCGGCCGATCACCGGGCTGGGGGCAAAACCTGCTCCCCCCCCACCAAGCCCAGGAGCAAAGGTAGGCCCTTAGCCACCTCCACCGCTCCCACCGTCGCTCCCGCTGCCGCCGCAGTCGCCAACACCCCTGCGACTGCTGCTGTCGCCGCTGCCGTCAGAGAGGAGGTCGTGATGGATACCCAATAATGGCTCCATTACGCCTCCTCCAGGCGAACATCAACCACTGCGTCGCTGCTCAGGATCTCCTGCTCCAGAGCATGGCGCAGTGGTCGATCAATGTTGCCGTGGTCTCCGAGCCGTACTTCGTTCCAGCCAGGGAACACTGGGTGTCAGACCTGGACGGCTCGGTGACCATCATCTCGTCGGCCGCCGCCGGTACCCCAACCCCCGAAGGGCCTCAGCGAGGCAGGGGTTGCGTCGCGGCTCGGTTCGGAGAGATCGCCGTGGTGGGCGTGTACTTCTCTCCGAACCGAACTCTCGTCGAGTTCCACAACTCCCTCAGGGAGTTAGTCACCGTCGTCGTCGGGTTCCGTCCCCTCCCCGTGTTGGTCCTCGGGGACTTCAATGCCAAGAATTTGGCTTGGGGTTCCCGGCTCACTGATGTCCGGGGAAGGATGGTCGAAGACTGGGCTCTGGAGACAGGCCTAGTCGTGCTGAACCGGGGTTCTGTCCCCACGTGCGTACGGATGCGGGGCGAGTCAGTGGTGGACATTTCGTTTGCCAGCCCCGCTCTGTCATCGCGCGTTGTTGACTGGCGCGTCATGGAGGAGGTGGAGACGTTTTCGGACCACCGGTATATACGGTTCGACGTCTCCGCCGAGTCCGCAGACCCGCCAGTCAGACAGGCCCCGTGTGGCCCGCGTTGGGCGCTTAGGCAACTGGACCGGGAGCTTTTCCTGGAAGCCGCAGTCGTGCAGGCCTGGGTGATACCACCGGTCAGGCCAGCCGACATTAACGAGGAGGCGAGATGGCTCCAGGACGCCATGTCAAGGATGTGCGACGTGGCGATGCCCCGGATCCGACCGTGCCAACGCAAGCGCCAGGTGTATTGGTGGTCGCGGGAATTGGCAGACCTGCGCGGTGAGTGCACCGCAGCGCGACGCCGATACACCAGGCACCGCAGGCTCCGTCTCCGCCCTCTGGACGCTGAAACCAGAGAGGCGGAGCTATACGAGGAGTACAGGGCGGCGAAGGCCTCCCTCAGGGTGGAGATCCGGCGGGCCAAAGATCGGGCCCGCGAGGAGATGTTGGAGACTCTGAACAGAGACCCGTGGGGACGCCCCTACCGGATGGTGCGTGATAAGCTCCGCACCTGGGCGCCCCCACTGACTCAGAGTCTCCGGCCGGAGGTCGTGGACGAAGTGGTTGGGGCGCTATTCCCCCGACCACAGACGGGTTACACGCCTCCGGCTATGCCCCCGCCCCCTGCGGTGCCCAATGCGGGCTACATCGACGACGACGACGAATCCGCTCCGGAAGTGACCGAGGTAGATTTGAGAGTGGCGGTGCGCCGGCTGAGCGGCAAGAATACCGCCCCAGGACCTGACGGGCTGCATGCCAAGGTCTGGGTCCTGGCCTCGGAGGCTCTCAGGCCTCGACTACTTGGTCTGTTCAGCGCATGTTTGGAGAGAGGCCAGTTTCCGCTGTCGTGGAAGACGGGTAAACTGGTCCTCGTGAAGAAGCCGGGGCGTCCTGCGGACTCCCCGTCCGCGTACCGGCCCATTGTGCTGCTCGACGAGGTGGGAAAGCTGTTCGAGAGGATAATCTCAGACCGCCTCGTCGGGCACCTGTCTGGAAGGGGGCCGGATTTAGCGGACGGCCAGTTCGGCTTCCGAAGAGGGCGCTCCACGGTGGACGCCATCATGCGCGTGAGGGACCTCACGACGGGGACAGCGTTGGCCGGGAGGCGAGTCGTCGTGGCGGTGTCTCTGGACATCGCCAACGCCTTTAACTCGCTCCCCTGGAGCTGCATTTTGGAGGCACTCCGGTATCACCGGGTGCCTGCCTATCTCCGTCGTGTAGTCGAGGCTTACTTGACGGACAGATGCGTCATCTACCCCGGTCACCGGGGCGTGTGGAATCGGCGAGAGGTGTCGCGCGGTGTCCCACAGGGATCGGTCCTGGGACCTCTCCTGTGGAACATCGGGTACGATTGGGTGCTACGCACCGACCTCCCGAGCGGCGTCAGCATTGTCTGCTATGCTGACGACACGCTGGTGCTGGCGAACGGGAGGTCGCATCAGGCGGCGGCCGACCTGATGTCACAAGCGGTTGCGACGGTCGTTGCAAGGATCCGGCAGTTGGGACTCGAGGTGGCGCTCCACAAGTCCGAGGCCATGTGCTTCTATGGCCGTCGGAGCGCGCCACCTCCAGGTGGGTCCCAAGTAACGGCAGGAGGAGTTACCATCGGCGTCGAGTCGGCGATGAAGTACCTGGGTCTCGTCCTCGACAGCCGATGGAACTTCACGGAGCATTTTCGTCGTTTGGCCCCTAAGTTGGAACGGTCTGGGGCCGCGCTCAAGCGGCTCCTTCCCAACCTCGGGGGGCCAAACGCCTCCTGCCGGAGGTTGTATATGGGAATTGTGCGATCCATGGCCCTCTACGGTGCCCCTGTGTGGGCGCCGGACTTGAAGCGGCGGCCGGCTCGTACGCTGGTCGCGTCCCAGAGGGTCATGGCTATACGAGTAATCCGCGGGTATCGCACGATCTCCGGGGAGGCGGCGAACCTCCTTGCCGGATCACCGCCGTGGGATCTAGAAGCGAAGGCGCTCGCGCGCGTCTACAGTTTGCGCGCAGACGCGCGTAGCCGGGGCGAAGATCCTTTGCCGCGCCAAATAAGTGCGTGGCGGAATGAGCTCCGGCGAGATCTCATGGCAGAGTGGAGACAGCGACTGTCGCAACCGAGGGCCGGGCACGCTACCATAGCAGCGGTAAGACCCCTCTTTGAGGAGTGGCTTGAGAGACGCCACGGCGTCCTCACCTTCCGTCTGACGCAGGTGCTTACCGGGCACGGCAGCTTCGGTAGGTTCCTGTTTCGGATTCAGCGGGAGGAAACGCCCGAGTGTCGTCATTGTGAGGACCACCTAGAGGATACGGTGGAGCATACGGTAGCGGTATGCCCTGCCTGGGCTGAGCACCGCCGTATCCTCAGGGAAGTGATCGGCGGCGGCGACCTCTCGCGCCCGGCCTTAGTCGAGGCCATGGTGCGGAGTGAGAGGAACTGAGACGCCGTCTCCTCCTTTTGTGAAGCAGTCATGCTCGCAAAGAGAGAGACGGCCCGCGTGAGGGAGCAATCCTCCTCCTCACGCCCCAGCAGCCGCAACTGGCGACACTACGGGCGTCGGGGATCGAGGGACGATCTCCGGCCACCGTAAGTACGGGCCTGCGGTCGGCGAGTAAGGGCAGCTCGCCGCCCGACCAGAACCAGGCCCGAGCGTACGGCGCGTAGCGTTCCGCGCGCGCCTCAAAGAGCCAATAGACCACCACAGACGGGGCCCTAAAGGGCTGATGTTCAGCCGGGGTTGCGGGGTAAGCGCAATAAGGTACCGCGACCTCGGCACAGAGCAGGAGAAGGAACAGGGGGGTTTTTAGTCAGTAAGAGTCTGACACTCCCTCCTGCCCGGCCCTGGGCGGGAGAAGTCATTTGATGATTTTCCCCTCACAAAAAAAAAAAAAAAAAAAAAAAACGCATGGTGATGGTACTGCGGCGGTGCGCACGCGCACAGATTCAGTCGCGCGCTCGATACCGACCAACCAAACCGTGTTTTCCTTGCGCGGACTTTCCGTTTCACGCAATGTCGACTTCTATCGAAACAAGTTTAAAGTAAGTGTTAACATACTGTGCGTATAATCTGGTGTTTTGTTTAATTAATCATCTTTTTTGATTATTCGTTAGCTATACCAAAAAAAGTTTCCTATATACATATTTTACTGGAAATTTTCTAGTTTAAAATTATGTTTGTGATAATAGTTCGGATAATATATGCTGAGGGTTCTGCTCCCGTAAGTATGTGTATGATGACTCGGGTCGTATAAAGCGGCCCAGTAATACTTATCCTACTTTTTTATCGTTATTAATATTAAATAATCGATAAGGTGATTAATTTGAATGATGGTCAACACATATCCACTTTTGATTAATAAATAAATAGTGAATTAATATTGCCAATTTAATAAAATAAAAATTGGTGGTAGATACGTAGATACCAATAAACTGTTGGCATTCGTTACGAAAATTCATATTTAAAAAGTTTACTCTCGTCAATTATTATTAGCCGTTCTTATAGTTCTAATTTTCATTGTTCGGTTGATTTTCAAAGTTTTACTAGCGCTTTGTTTGAGTGCGTTGCCAATCGTTTGGAGATTAGGGATTTGGAGATTTTGGTAAGGGAACGGATTGGGATAGGGGAAGGATTGGGCCTCCGGTAACCTCACTCACACAGCCAAACATAACGCTGTGGTTACTTCACGCTGGTTTTCTGTGAGGTCATGGTATCACTCCGGTAGAGCCGACCCATTCGTGCCGAAGCATGGCAAACACTTAAAATCTCCTAATCATATTCTGAACATGTTAATACGTATTTTTTGTACACAATGATAATAGTGATTCTTTTAAGTGTCGCCTTCTAATGCTATGCATTTTACATAACACGAAGCACAATCTGTTGCATGCGCAGACGTCATTACGATGATTAGGTAGAATCATCGCAACACCGCAACTCGTCTAGATTACCTAGATTTAAGTATCATTATAAAAGTCTAGATTTTCTCTGTAGGAAGGCAATAGACGTCAAGGCGTCCCACACTGTTTCAATGACTTTTTGACTTTATGAATACTACAAATTATTTCTTATACGCGTCAATAATTATAATTAATGTAAATGTAGTAGCTAGTATTCTTGTAGTTTTTATACGTTATATAACTTGTAGTTTTTATATGAACTTGTGGTTAGTTGCAGTATGAAACATTGTTATTTAGATAATAGTAATGTTAATTGATAATTGTATGACGAGTGCACAGACCACGAGTCTGTGAAGAACTTAAATTGTAGATGTTATATATCTTCTTATACACAGAATTACTGTTCGTTAGTCTAGCTTAAAGTCGGTTACGGCTGGTTCATTTTGGATACTTTTGTTTTTAAAATATTCGATTAAGTCCAGGGAAGGTTTAAAGGGTCAAAACATATGTAGGTATAAAATATGTAGTTATATTTCAGGTGGTACGGAGTTTAACGGTCAGCTAGTAGATAATATATATTAATAAAGAAAATCTTCTTCAAATTTAATGTTAAAAAAATTGCATCAAAATCCTGTGCATAATTATAAAAATTGGAGCGTACATTAGGGTCAGAGAAAGCGACTTCGTTTTATATTATTTAGTTATGATTCAAGAAATAATTTATTATTGATTAGGTAAAGTACCAAAATGAAATAAAATTATTATTTTGTCAAACAACCGATGGTCGTTGGAGTAGACGTGTTCTGGGCTGGAGACCACGTCTAGGTAAAAGTAGTTTAGGACGCCCTCCAGCTAGATGGTCTGACGATATCCTAGATGGTTGAATGAGAAGAACTGAACATTGACCTCAGTGGCGTGGAATTGGAGAGACCTATGTCCAGCATTGGACGTTAACAAGCTCACAGGCGCTGATGACGATACAGGAGCTTTTGAAACATCAAAATTGAATACATTAAAGCAAGTTCCTCATTTGAAATCGTAAATTCGTATGGAGAATAAATTATATTTCCAGATTACCAAATTTCGGATTGCCAAAATTCTGACAGATAGCTACAATGTCCCTGAGTGCTGAGGCAATAAAATATCACGCTACGATCAAATGGAGCCGAGCAACGGGTGAAACCGCGCGAGAGCAGCTAGTGGATAATATTTACGCATTTGTGGTTTATAAAGAACCTCCGTAGATAAACATTATGGTAAAACCAAGCTCTGTTTAAAAACTAAAAAGCCAGTTATACAAAAATATATAGGTATAGGTAAAAAAACATAAAAAAACCTCTCAAAAGTAGACGGACTTCTTAGAAAATTAATTGCGATGTTTTCTTCATATTGACGCCATCACTTTAGAGTTACCACAACTGGTTGAGTATCTAAAAAATATCCTCAGCTTTATGATGATGGAATAACGATCAAAATCGATTGTATAACTTTGATAGTTTGGTGGAAATTGATGTGCTGTGGTGTGTACTTACAATATAAAGCAATAAATCTTTTATTAGTTAATGGATTAATTTACCAACTAAATTGATATGGCAAAAAACGACCTTCAGATATTTTGATAACCTTATCCACTATTATGTGATATCATATTTTTTTACTATATGAGAATAATGATTAGTTCGTAGAAATGGCAGGGAAACAGGCTTATATTTAGCGTTTAGCTGGGACAAGCGCAATAACGTACCGCAGGTCGTAAATTCGATACATTCTAATTAAATAGTAATACTTTTTTTGGCAGGGGGAAATCATCAAGTGCCTTCTCCCGCCCAAGGCGAGAGAGAGTGTATGAATACTAAATCGTGACGTCATAATTTTAACGTCTTTTAAACATATTTCTTTTGAATCAACTACATAAAATAAATAAAAAATTACATAACATCAAATCAATCGATGAGAGTATCGTATTTTTACCCTCGAAAGCCTCACAGTGAACCGGCGTGAAACAACCACAGCGAGCGCTGTGTTTCGCCGTGTGAGTGAGGTCATCAGAGGCCCAGTCTTTCGCCTCCTTAATTCCTCTTCAATACCTCAATTTATTTATTATTTATTTATTATTGCTTAAAAGGTACATTTTATATTATAAAAAGTATAAAATGTCCAACAAAACTGTATACACAATTTGTCTGTTGGATCAGATTTCAAAACTATTGACTTACTATAGGTTCTATTAAGTTAAGTTTACAATAATAATAAAATTTTTACAATAATAATAAAATTATGTCTGATACCCTGATTCTCAAAAGGACACCGCACTCGTAACTCCTTTGGTGTTATTGGTGTCCATGTGGTACCAGCAATCGCTTTTATTTTTATGTAATAGGTCGGCAAACGAGCAGTCGGATTGCGCACTTACGAGTGCTTGCCGACTTTTTAGGGATAATGGTTTTGGAGATTTAGGGATTGGGTGAGGAGAAGGATTGGGCCTCCGGTAACCTCATCACACCGCGAAACACAACGCTGTGGTTGTTTCACGCCGGTTTTCTGTAAGGCCGTGACTGCGGTCGAGCCGACCCATTCGTGCCGAAGTATGGCTTGCCCACACTTGAAACATTAAAGTGATTTGTTAAGTGTTAATGTATTTTCGACTCAATCATCAAACCTGTAAGAATCCTGTTTACCTCTTTACACATTGTGTGATAATGGATCTGTTTTAACTAATAATATGATGACTTAGTTAAGTAAAAATGTGGTAATATAGGTACAATATTGTTGCATACAAAGCAGCTATACAGTGACTATCTAGGTCACTGACATCATTACATGTATACCTACTTTACTTCTTCAAACAAATGAAAATTTTTCAAATATTTACATTTTTTGAGCCAACCTTTGCAAATGTTTTATACCGATTAAAACTGTTCTACTATATAATCTATACTATATATTATAAAGTACCCTACATAGTATAAAATAAAGTCGCTTTTTCTGTTCCTATGTCTCTATGTACCTACGCTTAAATCTTTAAAACTGCGCAACGGATTATGATGTCTTTTTTTGAAAAGATAGAGTGATTGATTTCAAACTTTACAGTTTGTGTGATAGTGTTTACTTTAATAACATGTATTTTTTCATACTAATTCATCAAACCCCAAGCGAACGCCGGCATTCACACACCTATTGTTCTTCAAATACAATTCAAAGGTTAATATTCTACACTGCACTACAGATATACCTATACATGAACGATCGATCATGACGGATCTGGATGAAATTTGGCACAGGCATAGGATACACCCCGGAATAGGACGTGGGTTATTTTTTATCATCATTTAACGCGGGCAAACCGCCGTTGGAAGCTAGTGATAAAATATATTAAACTAGCTACCCTCAGCACTATAGCACTCAGGAACCTTGTAGCTATTTATCAGTGAAAGATTTTTGGCAATCCGACCAGCGGTTCCAAAGATTACCCCCTACTTACAAACTTACAAATTTTACCTCTTCATAACATTAGTATAGATAAGTTATGTATTGCACTTTAGTGTTTAGTTAAGCTTCCTCTCTGCTGCAATAATGACCTAGGGGTCGTGCATTCGACGCTGAGGTTGGGCAAATCTGACATTTACTAGTTTGTAATGCAACAGTGAAAGTCCCTTTAACGGGAACATAGAGCTACCATTTGTTAACAAGTGAAGACTTACCTACATTTATCTTAACATTTTTTTTATTTTATTTTATAGTCTAAACTCCTAAACCAAGTCTGACAAGCTTTGGTAAGGAAACAGGTCGCAAAAAATAAATTTTATTAGAAAGTAACATGGCCTGAATTTCGCATAAAACTTTTAAACTCAGTCAGAAAAGTCATTAAAACATATTTTATCACTCAAAAAAATCGTTCACATTTATAAAATAGGTAATCAGTAATTAATCATTAAGGATTAGTGATTACGTAACGATTAATTAAAAACATTCCTCACTGGGTAATCAATGTCGAACCAATTTATAATTTACTGCCTATTCGCTTAAGTTTTTCCGTAATTTCGCGATTTATATTTGTACTTCATAGTCGTTTAAAAGTATAACAAAAAAAAAAGATTTTTAAAACCACTTAATTAAAGAGGTTAATAGGTTTTACGGTTCAA